TGACGGCATCCAATCAGCGATGGATGATTTATGGCCTGGGTGATTCCGGCGGATGTTTGTTTAATCGATTACAGGTATTATGACTACCGCCTTAACAGTTCACAGCATCGGCGCCTTAAGTGCTGAATTGCGAGCGCGATAATGTCTTCTTTCGATCACCTTTGGGTGTTTGATGTGATGTTTTAGCTGAAGAGCTGTATTTTACGTTACATAAAAATACTAATCAATCTATGGTTAGTTATAATTAGCTTAAGCCTTGTCTAATACAATTAGTTTTATGTAGAGGTAAAAATATATATTAAAACAAAAACCTTGGCTATAGAATACATAGGTGTCTAATAACTGCTTGTATTAGGAACATTCAGAAATCCTAAGTATTGTCTGTATTAGCCATGATGGCGTAGTAGATTTGACTTTGACATTAGTGACACATCTTCAATCCCTCCGAGGCCACGACTTCTGCAAGGCATCCGCAAGAATGGGCCGTAATAAAAATATATTGTGTAAGGCTTTCACGGCCATCGTTCAGCATATCATTGTTTTTAAGTTAACAAAAATTATCGCGTTTTGAATATTATAAATTATAAAGAAATAGAAACATCTGGGACGTTGAAATACATTGTAAATAAATAATAATAAAATTATATTTCCCGTTTGAATCGGTTTAAATTGATTTATTTAAATCAATATACAAAGTATAGGATTATTACGCCTGGGAAGTGGCAATAATATTTATTAACATGCATTACATTCCTACCCATGAAAGAACGTTTAAATATCGATAAGAATGTAAAATCTAAATATCGCTTGAGTCATTGATTCGTCGAAACGAGTACACTTGAAAAATAGAAGCACTAACATTTTAATATATTCGTAATATCTGTCGTATTTATTATAAATGAAGCCACATGTTGTATACGTAATAAGATACGTTTCGCACAGCAATAAGGGTAGTCACGGTGTATGACCGTGCCTTATGGGAACTGAAGAAGCATTCGGGACTTTCCCACGACATACCTAATTATGCGTTTGACTTTTGACCGACGCCACACACCCACCCTTATCTATGCTTTATTAGCCAAGTTTGCCTGTTTGACCCGACGTTTTTGATCGTTTTCGCGGTCACGGTAGATGGGAAGTTGACAAATAAAATTCTAATTATTTAGGCTTAGTGCTGCCTTTAAATATTTACGCCTATGCTATAGACGAATGCCTTAGAATTTTAACTAATTAAAAACATTTTTTACAGTCTCAAAACATGAAATAACTATATCATGAATTTAACATTGGAGGTGATCTGTGGGTGGAACCTACTTATGTATATGCAAGTTGGTACTGTGCTTTCAGTGACATCGTATAACTTTGGATCGCTTTCTAGGCCCCTAAAGTGACATCAGTGCGATGATATCGTGACAGGGGGTAAATGTAGACACGGTCAGTGCTTCCCATTTAAATAGCAACGGTAAAGCACGCTGACGCCAACTGGACCCAATTACCCGACCTAGATCGTATCGGGTTTATTAGGAATTTGATGAGGGAATTACTTAATACTTAATAGACTTTCTGTCACTTTGAAGACATTTTTAAAGGTTTAAAATGCGAAATCATGGACAAGATGTCTCCATGTTTAAAATCAAAGTGAAATCTTTTGCGCTAGCGCCATTTGTGACTAAGGCTTGTGAAACCCGAAATGTCGGGTGTTAGTTAAAATGAATTTAAAATAAGTTTAACTATGTATTTTCTGTAGTTTACGCGAGCAGTTCACATTCAAACAAGACAATTTTAACGATTTAAAACTAGCAATATATCAGTTAAATTATTTACAATTTGTTGCAGCAGCCGTGGTCGCCTCATGAGCGCGATTATTGCAAAGCATCAGAAACGTCGGGCCTTAGTAAAATAAATCGTAAATAAGTTTAATAACACATTCAAACCGGTAAATGATTTTTTATAGAGATGGATAAATATGAATGTGTAGTAGACCTTTTTTGGCTTTGGATATTGTACTATTTAAATATGTACTTGCTTGAACTACGCTAGTCACTTGTTCTTGTGTATTCTTATGCCAATCGTAAGAGTGACGCGTCAAAAGTAAATTAAGTGGGTGCTTTTGCGAATAGAGTCCGGAACAAAAGGCTACCTCCGGAACCAAACCAACATATGGCTCGGCCGTTAGCGTACGACACCCCACCTGATCAGTGCACGTGCTGTACCGTTTCTCTACTCCTAATTTCCATGCGACTGCGCAGATTACTATGTCTATATTAATCACTTAAAATTGTTATTAGTATAAGAGACATTTTAACACAATTAAATCCCTGCATATTCGTAATCTCTAAATAAATCACTTTCTAATCTCTAATCTAATCACTTTACTATTTATTTTCACTGTACACCGTGACCACGGCTTTTGCAGAGCATTCCGAACGTCGCGCCAGGCCGTAGTTAAAATGAATTGTAAATATTTATAATTAGAATTGTAAATAAGTTTAGTACTTAATATATTTCGCATTTTAAACCGTTAATTATTTGATTTATGATGGTTTAATGCTTGGAAACAAACAATGGGTTGTAGGTTAGATTCTGAGTCGAGCAGTTTTGAAATCCTTTTTTTAGATTTTTCTTAACACTATATCGACATGCTAAAGTCTTGAAATTCCTAACATTCAATGGTGGGTAAGAAATAATAAATTATGACCAGATCACAAACTACTGTCCAGATGTAAAAGTGAAGTTTATCATTTTGAAACACGATTAAAATGTTTAAAGTGCTCCAGTAATTGATACTTATAACCTAATTAAAGAGACCCCACTGAAACATGACCCTTGAAAAGTCAAGGTTAATGCTGTTTGGGGTGAATGCTGGTGCATAATATGCTAGTACATATATATTAAAATAATACTGTTGTGTGCATCCCCGGTTTTTCATATAATTTATCTAATTACTTCTGGTTTGATTCACAATAAATAGATCAAGAAAGCAAGGTAGTAGGTAAATTCTTAATTAGTGAATGTTTTAGCATGTTTGTTTTATTTATTTTTTAATATAGAGTAAGACAGACAAACAAGATTATCACTTTTTGAAAAATCTTAAAGTCAAGGTTGTCAATATTAGCCAGCATTTTTACCATTAGACAGTCTATCATTTAAAACAAGTACATCAGTAAAAACATTTTACTGAATAAACTATTTCCTTTTATTTGAGTACATTCGGTTCGATAAAAATACGAAAATTACCACTAGATACAAAGTACACAGCCGTCAGAAGATATGGCATCGTGCCGCGTTATGTAACGCGGTTTAATATAAGCTACATATCATACTTACGAAATAATTATCTTTAACAGAAAAGTAAGTAAGTATTATACGGCGTACACAACATTTTAAAACCTCAATACCACTAGTAACAAATTGTACCAGAAAGTCAACAAAAATGTAAATAGGACACATTTTTTCTAACGCAAAGGCACCGCTCTCCTACCTGGCCGTTTTTTTAGTTTTTTTTTTCTTAACTTCACGTCGGTTTTTTTGTGCTATCTAGCCGCTATTATTCTGTCATAAACCGTTTACCAAATTGTTCAATGTTGGGTCCTCCGGTCGAATCTGGGGAAGTCAAATTTCCAATCAGTAATGAGATTTTAATTAGAATATTTTGACCGCAAAAGATTGAAGTTTCTGTAAGAGAAACATACAACATCTACCTATTTTTGCTTTCGAGCAAAGGGAACGGAGTTTTGTGTCCCCAATAGTTTGGTACGGTGGACCGTCGCAACCTCCCACGACATCCCGGCGCCCCATGTACGCAAGTTAAAAATATTGGTCATCGCGAAAACATAAATTATTTTGTAGTCGTTATTTCTAGAGGGCTACGGAATATAACCTTTCAACCGTGCACATCTTTTCATTTGAATAAAACACTTTTACCAATTTAAAACGCGAAATATATACGTTTAAATAAATCGTATTTATTAAACTTATTTACAATTTATTTAAACGTATATATTTCAGGATTTAAACCTTACACAATTTATTAGGATTTAAACCGTTAAAACTCACGTAAACTACAGAGAGTACCTACTTTCATATTAGGAAACCGTGTTATGTATTTAAAATATTAGAACTGTCATCTGTATCCATCTTATAACGAGGTGAAATAAAAAAGTGTGATAAGTAGACGTTATACTCTGTGACAATCAGATCAGCATTAAACTGATAGATAAATAATCGTGGTCATTTGTCACCCTCAACCCTCGACTTAACCCTTTAAAAGTGACGTAATTGGGTAACGCAAAAACACGGGTCAATTGCTGTTAGGTCGGTTAAAAAAGGTTTATATGCCAGGCGTGTGAAGGAATCGTTAGATTGCAGATAGATTAGCCGAGAGTTTATTTTCACGTAGCTGTAGGTCGGGGTTCGATTCGCTGTTTTGTCTTAATAAATACTTAATTATAAGTAAATTGAGATGTTACAATTAAATTACTAAAGGACTGATAAAAAACGGAGATAGTGAAGTTAAACTTTTTATTTTAATATTGTTCGTAAAAATGTATTGATGACTTCAAACGCGGTTTCGCCATTTTGGTTTTAGTGTTTCGCCATCATGAGTGGAAACCATCTTCAGGCTGTGTCTTCGACTTGCCATCTACATTGTTGCCGAAACGTAGTAGTATAAATACATTCCCTCTGTTAATGCACTCTTATTGAAAACATCTTGATGTTTGATACCAGCAATTCCCGAGATAAGTGCGTTGAAAGAAAACAAAACTTAAAAAAAACATGCTCCGGTAGAGGCGTAGACAAATACTAATGTAAATAATAATTAGGTGGTAAGAAACAACTATACAGTAATAACTATTTTATTCCATTATTAAATATTACTAATAAGCTACTAATGTAGTTATAAAAGTATTTATGATTAATTCAGTCTCTTACTGAGATTTAAAGCTAGTTTAATGTTATAAAATGCTTTCTGCCTTATCAACTTAACTTTAACACATAACTTAAAAAGATAATCCCTTTTGTTCCATTGCTTCTCTTATCTTCTCTGGTTTCGGCCAGAAAAGCATAAGCAGTACGGATCCTGAAAAACAAAAATGACTTTAGTAAAATCACTTTTTTTATACAATGATTACGTGCGTTATTGTGTACAGAGTCATCTATTGACATATACTACAAACTAAACAATAGTAATTTTAAAATTATTTTGAGGGCATAAAAAATATTAAAATTCAATGGAAACCAATACAGTAATTGTATTAGTATTTTAGATAATTAATAACAATTATTGTTAAAAATAAAGTAATTTTATATTATTATAGTTAGTAATCGTTTTGCATTGTATGGTCAGAGTACAAGCGAAATATCAATAGCTCAATTGCACATTTATTCTGTAGAGTCCAATAGATGACGCTAAAATAAAAACTTTATTTACCAGCAGTGAAGACACCGAAGACACTGAACGCCATTTGACAATGTCTGTCAAGAGTGGCTCCGAGGATATTCGAACCCACTGCCGCTCCTGTTCGACCTACCATATACATTACACATATCGCCATTGCCCTGGAAACACAATTTTACATTATCATGATCTGTATACCTTTAAGTATATGGGGCGCTTTCTATGTTAGTATATCTTCTAATTTATACACGATAGCTTACTGTCCTTTATGCATTATGTATAAATAATACGTCACTATAAAAACTAATTAATTATAAAAATTAAAAATACATTGCAACGTATAACATTATATAAATATATGAAATATCACTGTGTTTAAAACATATGTATCTATTTTACCGTAAACAAGTAGGAAAGACATCAACAGCAATAGCAGCTAATATAGAAGCAGCACAACCAGCACACAGAGCTAAGATTAGCAGTGCTGTTGCTGCACCGCCTTGCGGGACGAATGCTGATCCTATAGTGGCTAGACCGCAGACAAACATTATGCTGCCTGAAATAAATGAGAAATAATATAACTATTTTTGATGACAAATTAACTATTTCAAATCTAAAGAAAACTCATGTTCGCAGGCTTTATCTGAAAATAGCGCCCTCCAGTAAACTTTAGACTAAATAAGATGACGTTAAACTGTAAACGTTGTTTATTTTACATAATAGATGGCGCTGCGCACAATAACTTACAATAGAACGTCTTTCTGCCAACTTTTGTGATAAACAGTCCTATTGCCATGTACGTGACAGCAAAAACGGCTCCCATTCCCATTGATATGGAAAATACGGCCGTGGAAACGTGGGTCTTGCACGGCCCTTGTTGTATTGCAAGCTGTAAACGAAATAGACGTAAGTTAAGGCCCACAACATAACGACACAGGCGATAGTTTTTCTACGGTTTACTATTAAAAGAGGTGAACGACTAATTCATATTATTATATCCATGTAAGTAGGTTTATTTAACAACTGGATGTTGACTTCGGCAACTTTGACAGTTTAAAATCAAGTAAGACCATTCACGTTGCATAACAAAAAAAATATTTAATTGACTTAGCGAGAACACAAATAACTCACCGAAACATTTCTAGCAGTTTGGAACTTATTGTGTATGATCTCGCAAATGGTGACGCTTTTTTCACTTGTGTTACTAAGCATGCTGTTTAGTATGTCGGGAACCCAAACGTACAAACCGCTAGACCTAAGAATAAAAAGTTCGTTAGAGATATAAATAAGAGTAACGAGTTTAATTTATACAGAATGAGTTTATTATATATTATAATTTAGTCTGTTAAATTTACACAAAATTTTACGTACGTACTGCGGCTAGCTTTTCGTTCATTAAGGTCAACTTACAGCATAAAAACAGCAAACATTGAAATGTGGGATATGATGACGCATTTGAGTAGAGGTGGTCTGAAAAGTAGAGAGATGTTCTTCACGGCTCCCACGAAACCACCAGATCTTGACTCCAGACTGCTCGTGATAATTTTCTCAACCTTGAAGTAAATTTTTCATTTTAAATAATCATCGATTCTGGTACCGTTAAATCTTAATCTTTAAAAATTACTAAAAACTTTGAAGTTATTCAGTTTAGGTATGCACCTAACTTGTTCTTACAATTACTTATTTCAGTTATAGGAAAATATTTACTTAACTGAAAAAGGAACAAACAAGTGTCTTTTAAACTTGAAATTTAATTTTTTCAAAAAAAATTAAGTAACATATTACGTTTGAATAGGGAGACGACTCCCCGTGACCATGGTTGCTACAAAGCATCCGAAACGTCGGGCCGTAGTTAAAATAATTGCCAAATATTTTTAACTATCATAATATATATCACGTTTTAAACCCTTAAATTGTTTTATTTAAATGTATACTACTCGCATAAACCACGCACAGTTTTGAACTTGTTACGTAATAACTCACCGGAAAATTATTTTCGCCAGCGTTTTTATTATACGAGTACATTATAGCCAAAACTGGCAACGCCTTTTCTGGACCCTTCGCTGATAGGAGGTATCGGGGACTTTCTGGCAACAAGAATAATAATACGGCGGCCAAAAGGCCCGGAGCACACCACGACCAGATGAACGCCCTCCAGGGTACGATTCTGAAGCCGAAGAGTGACCAAGACCACTGTCCAGGAATTATCAGCCACGCTAGACCTGTAGTGAAGGGACAAATTTGTTAATGGCAAACCGGTTTGAAGCACATTTTTATAGAATATAATTTGCAATTGGTAAAAAAAATAATTACTTGAAATTAAAATCGTTTATAAATTGAAAATAAATTTACGACTTGAATCGGCATCCACCGGCATACCGTGTTGTTTCTCTAATCAATTGAGCTACCGTGTCCTACGCGTTATCGTCGAATTTATTAATTTTTTAATACATCTTATTTATATCTTCTAAAAGCGTGACATTACTGATTGCACTTGTATTAGGTATATATTTTGATTATATGTATGTACTTGATAAATCGATCAGTTATAGGTACAAGTACAGCTACGTTTCATTTATACATCAATTGGATTTATATATTATTCGATTCTATATATCACAAATACATCTTTTACAAGTACTTTTTGTAAATTCCTTTATTCACTGCAAGAAAATCACGCGCAAAAGCTTTCACTCACACCACGCCCTATATTCTGAATCGCGCTATTAGAATTTTCCGCGCCGCTCCGTACAGATAAAACCGGCAACGTAGTTCTTTCGGAAGTGTATGCTTTAGTGTGATGTCACTCCTGCTACGCAATCTGGCCCCCCGCCGGTTAGCAGCTGGTGACGTCACGCGTTAGTTGTCGGGTAACGCTTCTTGTAACGTGCGCTGCGGCCGTTCGCCCGTCCCGGCTGCGTCGGGTCCAGTGGCGCACTTTCCTTGAACGGCCTCCTAACCCTCGCGGTTTTAGTCAATCGTTAGCTTAGCTCCGGTTTAGTCTTGAACACTTCCATGATGAGGCGGCGAGAATACATCTCGAATGCCCGTTTTTTGTTATTCTTTTTATACGTTATACGTATAATAATTGTGTATTTATTAAACTATTGCATTCATAAAAGATACTGTTAAAGTAAAGCCAAAATAGGTCGACAACATATCTTCAAAATCAAAAATCATTATTCATGTACGTAGGTACTAGGTACACTTGTAAACGTCAAAACAGTTAATAAAAATTAAAACTCAAAATTCACTATCTCACAGACAGAAGTTCTCCACTGTTATAATAGCATTTAGAAATCCGCTATAAAGTTGGTATAATGTTTAAGTAAAAAATAAGTTAACTAATAAACTTCACGTTTTAAACTGTTAAGTTGTTTAAAAGTTTCATTCACACTACATGTAACATATTCTATAAATAATAGGTACATAATTTGAAGAAGATTATAGGTGTTAGTGTTTCACATACTCTCTCAAAAATAAAAAAAACTGACACCAGCATGATCGAGAGTTGGTGATAAGGAATTTTTACGCATACTTGTTTGTGTACTAGCGATGAGTACGATTTTAACAGAATGCTTATTTGGGTCACTATTATCACATACAATGCGTTTTCTGATTAGAATCACGTGCAACATCTATAGTAATATTATAAAGCTGAAGAGTTTGTTTGTTTGAGCGCGTTAATCTTAGGAACTACTAGTTCGTTAAGCCATTTACGAAGGAAGGTATTAGGCTACAAAACATCAGTCTGCGATAAATACTAGCAAAAAAGGCAGTAAACGAAAAACTATGTATGATAAATGATTTTTCTTAAATTGATCTAAAAAAATACTGTCTGTAGTTTACAAGAGACACACAAAAATGAAACACTTTTATGGTTTAAACGCCATATATATTAGTTACTACGGCCCGACGTTTCGGATGCCTTGCAGCAGCCGTGGTGGGAGGCAGCAAAGTTTAACTAAAAGATATCGCATTTTGAACCGTTAACCGTTAGTGTTTTATTTGAATGATGTAAAACTGTCCTTGATATTATATGTCTAATCTTTTAAGAATAAATCGCAAGAACGACGCGGAGGAAGGGATTTAGAAGCGGAGGCTTGGAATAATAAATAATATGATCCCCAAGTAACTAATTTACGCGGGCGAAGTTGCGGGCACAGCTAGTTATTCAGAAAACGACTGTTAAAGTGATTAGGTATGTATCAATGTAGCGATAACATGTTAATCTGTAACATTATGCTACGAATTTTATCTATCACATTGACCTAAGTGTTTATTTGTTAGATACACTGTATAACCTAAATAACTCGATTTCGCGTAAATAACATAGATTTGAGATTTGGTTCAAGTTTTATTGGCTTTTATCAAATTCATTATCACATGTGAAGTTCGCAACATTACTACGACTAGACTACCTTACTGGGTGGTAGTTATTTACGGATTTTAGATTTAAATAATAAATATGATAAATTAATATATTTATGTTGAAAGGTTTATTTACCAATTTATATAAATATATTAATATAATATTTAGCATTAAAGATATTTTAGTAATTTTTTTGTATAAATTAATAGAATATTTATGATTTCTTAAGTTTTCAAACCATATGCTTAACAATTTTCAACATTAATCAATTTTGTAATATAAACAAACTTGGCTTCATAGCGTTAGTCTGTGGATTTTCGTATATTCATAGTCAAAATGGGTCAACAGCACATCTTGTTGAGATTATATGTTACCCTTGTTTGTCTGTCCTCCTCTATCATATTATTTATAGATATATATAGATATCTTCTTCTTGTATAACTTGGGGATACGAGTAGCTTGCAGGTGGCCTTTTTTTAGGGAACAAATAATAAGTTTTAATTCTCACACTTCGTCCCCTTCGCATTGTTTATTATTAATAGTTTGTTATTGTGTTTGCAGAGAGATAAGAGGGTCAATACTAGCGAATTTATTACGAAATGTCAATATTACAATGTCAATGCGCTCCGAAAGTAGACCGTCCTACATTCTATTCTTATCGGGCGTTTCACACGCATGATTCTTATGTAATTTTAGCCTCGCAAAATTAGTACCAAATATTATGGATCTTAGTCATATTACAATCTTTTTAAACTAGCTGTGCGCGCGACTTCATCCGCGTGAAATAGTTAATTTGGTCATCAAATTTATTTTTGAAAACAAACCTCTGTTTTTATCATTACAAATTATAGCTTGCTACTCACGATATCGTTCTTGCGAGTTAATCTCAAAAGATAGACATATAGTGTAACAGAAATGTTTTTAGAATAATTTTTCAATTCAAATCAGTAGTTCTTGAGATCAGCTTTATAATAATAGAATAGACTTGAGGTGGAATTGTAAAACCAATTGTTTATCTTTATAATTAATAATAGTCATACTAACCTGGTAGTATGATGAAGGAGAATGATATGAAGGCAGAGCCCCACGCGATGGCTGCGGCCCTACGAGAGCCAGTGTGCATCTCCCCTAAGTAGGCATACACTGTTGCACTTGAGGCAGACACTCTGAAACAAACTTTCTTCTAGTGCTTTTTTATCTAAACGAGATTCATCTGTTTAAACTTTTACTTCACATCAGTTTAATATATAAAGAGGCCTGTCTCTATAGCTCAATGGTTAGTCGTTGTGTGTGTAGATTGCGACCGGTCAATTCAAATCTCGGGAAAATTAAGTCTGTCGAGTAGGGCCGTGGAGTTTAAGCACGTTTCGGTTTCAGTCTGTGGATTTCCGAATATTCAAAGCCAAAAAAGGCCGTCAGCATATCTTGTTTACAAGCCTGGAGAATTTCATCTACCACTAATTGAACCCCAGGCTTATCTGTCCGCCTGCTTGTATATAAATAATCTCATTCGTTGGAACGGATATAGACGGTACATTACGTTATATCTATGATCAGCTGCGTACACGCCGTCGACGTAGTACGACAGTAGTCAGACCAAGATAGATTATTTTAAACTGCTTGCGTGTTATATTGAAACTAAACCTTATTACATTAAGTAACAATTTAGTGTGCGATATTTAAATGTCAAAGACATAGGATGCAAGATTTTATCAAAATTAATCAATCCCTTGGAGCGTTGAAGAGTAACAAACATCCATCGTCTTTTACCGTAATAATTTTCTCATTTCTATGATCAGTTACCAAAAATGTTTGTCCTAGAAAACATTTTAATATACAAAACATTGGCTCGTCTAATTATATAAATAGATTAAATATAAACAAAATTAACTTACAAACATCCAGTGAGTATCCGTAAGACCAGTAACATCCAGACGTTGGTAGAGAATGAGGAAGTGATAGACAAGGCTGCTGATGCCACCATAGAAGGTAGCATCACCGCTCGACGTCCGAACCTATCCCCCAAGTAGCCCCATAAAAAGGAGGTCGAGATTATACCTGAAAAAATTACCACAGTTATACATCAGACAAATAGTTAAAAATTTTAGGTATTGTCTGTAGCTTACGTGAGTAGTACTTATATAAAACACGAAACGTCGGGCCGTTGTTTTAAATTAAAAATAAGTTTACTAATATGTATCGCGTTTCAAACCGTTAATTGTTTTGTTTGAAAGTTTAAAACCCTTTATAATGGCTAGTAGCTAATTACTAGCCAAAATTCAGATTATCAAAATATTTCCTTATTCCCGTGGGAACATAAAATAATTTCGGGATACAAAATACCTGTTTTTATTTTAGTAGCTTAAAAAGCGAAATATATTTATTAACTTATCTTAACTACGGGTGACGTTATGGATGCTGTGCAGCGGTTGTGGTTAAAGCAAATCAAAAATAATTAAACTATCGTATTTTAAATAAATTCTAAGGTCCGGAGTAAGAGATAGAGTAGAAAGACTAAAACTAGTTTGCCCAAGAGTTTCTTAGATTCTATTCTCTTTTGTAGTTTCTGAGATGATCTCACTGATGGGCCTCGGATATACTTTGCCATATGCTCCTGCTTATCACTACTTAATTACTAAAACAAGGACCAACGGCATATGCTACTGGAAGGTGAGGGGGCGTTGACACGTCCTTCCATCCATCGAGCTGGTATTAAACATTTTCTTAAAAGAATTTCTCGATCTCATGATCAGAATTAGTGTTCCAACTAGTAGAGCCCTCATTAAGAACCCCTAAGGAAATCAATTTCCAAGGTTTACAATAAGAGTTAATAAATTTAAAGATATAACTGTGTCTTCATCAAAGGACCATTATTTATTTAGGAACAAACCCGTTTTATATTTATAGTAGTGTATTTTTAGCACCAACATGTTTTCAACCTCTTCCACCGTTATCCGTTTCGTGTAAGTTATTTATATCTGCTAATTTATAAGTTTATTTGTAAATAACAGTTTATGGTAAAAATCTACACTGATATATTGCTGTAATTTTAACTTAACATGTCGGTAGTGGAAATCGGTCAGTTTGATTGATTTCATTCTTTGTTAAGGAATTTAATTTGAAACGAGTTTTAACTTTCTACGGTTCGACTTTTCTGATACTTTGCAGCAATAAATTTACTTATATAATTCGCGTTTTAAACAGTTTTATTATTACCTGTATGTTTTTCATGTACCAAAGTACCCAATAAGTAAATCGACAGATTCCGCTGGACGGTGCGAGCCTAATTCTCCGGGTCCGGGGTCACAATAATTGAATTATTAATAATCTTATTAGACTTAAGCCCGAATTGACACAAATTGTTCGGTGAATCCAAGCAATGTGATCAATTATTATAGAAATGGTATCCCTGTTGGGAGTATTGAACTAATGTAATGTGAGAGGTCCCTAGACTAATGGATTTACTTGTTTTGTTGCTAACAAGGTCTTGTGTGATGTATACGTTGCTTGTAATTTAAAGCTAACTCGAATGTAAAAACGGTTTTTATAACTTCATCTTAATAGATACACTTATACTGTAGCCAATTTGTTTTAAATTATTCAAAGAAGAATAATTCTTTAAAAATATTTTTTTGGTTTCTTTATTAGTTGTTGCAGCGCGCGTAATGGAAAGTGGAAACCCTAAAAGATGAATGATTTTTCCGTTTTTTGCCTTTTCCCCTGTTTCTTAGTCTCTATTGGTTGCATCCTGGTGCTTTATAGCCTTACACCTTTTTAAATAAGTGCTCCAAAGATCAAAAAAATATTTTTCAACCAGTTCCTGGGATTGGCGCGTTCGAATAAACACACAGACTTCTCAGATTTATAATATTACTTTTACGTATTTCTTATTAGTATTTCTTTGGAAATATGACTTACATCTAATACACCCAACTTATATTTTTACTCGCTGTCGCTGTTATACCTTGAGGGACAAACATACAAAATCTTTCGACATTGATATGTTAGGATGTCAATCGTTAAGTAACTTGGAATCAATGCAGGGAAATGATAAAAGTATTGAATTAACCCGTGGTCATCGAACGATGTAAGGTGATGAAAAATACTTGCGTATTGCTCTGAGGGTGATGCAAAGACCTTTTAACGGCACTATAAAGATAATACACAATAATAAAAATGTTCAACTGAAAGATAACAGTACAGCAGTCAGTAACGGAAGTGAAAAAAAAGTGTATAACAGTGAACGAGGCACCGTCAAAAAAAATTTTTTTTTGTATGACTTGATTGTGTATACAACAATGACTTTTATATCTTAACTTCGCCTGCGAAGGCAGAATTGTGTACACGGATCCCTAAATCCGTGTGTGTACCCCGGGTGAGCATCCGTCCAGCTCTTCAAGCTCCCACATTGCTATGGTCATAGGTTATGACTTATGTCAATGACACGGGATTCCTTCGGTCCAGCCGCAAGCGAAGTTGCCCATAAGGAAGAAAAAATTGAGTGGCCTACGTGCTAACTACGTATATATAATCCATAAAAAAACACAATTATTTTGTTACGAAATTTAGACCGAAAACCATTTTTGTAATTCAGTGACAATTATTATATGAAATTGTTTAACTCGTTCTGAGTACCCATGTATGTAATATACACTTGTCAATAGATAAGAATTATCTGACGTGTTGTTTTCTTCTTCATCGATCACGTAACCGGGTTACATTTTCATTGATCTTGATATTTTAAGATTTTAATTTGTGTGCCAATTACCATCAGCTACCTTCAGACTAGTCTATCGCGTGATTGTCTGATTGTCCGGGGTATTTGATAAATTGTAAAACTTACCAATAAAAGCAGCAGCATTTACCAGTCCCTTGTGTTCGCTGGTCAGTTCCAGTTCGCACTCAGCAGCAGTGATGACGTAGCTCATTCCGACTGATTCCATGGACACGTTCAGCATGATCAGGCCACATGTCAGCAACACCAGGTGATTGAACTTGCCGTGCCCTGCAATTAATTGTGGATAATGACCGAATACGCGACTATTAAGATATAATTAACTTCCCAAGTTTGTACTGGTTCAAAAGACTTCGTCAAAGTGTTGATTACTTTCATAATAGCATTGTAAAAAGTGCGAGAGGTCCTAGGTTCGAATTAGAGGTAAAAATTAAAATTTCATTCAATCAACAAACTCTTATTAACTTGTCTGTAAATATTATCGATCAGTGAATCGGATTTATAAATATGTTCGCTCCATACTCCAGGTTAAACGTAATTTTACACAATTGGTATAGTGATATTTTTTTTCTTATTATATCCGTCTTGTTAGCATTGGTGGTGTCGTTTGAGAAATTTGTCGATTAAAAACATACAATAATTTAAAACGAACACAGCTTGGACATTTAGGCTTCAATTAATAATTTTTTAAATTCGTTTCGTAGTTAGTTTAGTAGTTTCGTCTAATATTTAGATTTATTCATATAGTACAATATTTTAATTATCTGTATTTCTCCATAGTTCGACCACCCATTCGTCTAAATAGATAATTTAGACAGTTTGAATTACTCAATTGAAACACATTTACCATCTGCGCATATATTAAGAAGTAATTATTTAGTCTAAATACCATTGTATACCGAATTATAATTTCGAGTTTAAATCAATAGTGCTTTAAATTTTCCCTTTTAATAACTTAATAATTAATTGATAAATTAATTAATTAATGCAACGCTCATAAAAAAATATAAATGTTACCTTAACATTGTCTTAATAATACAAATGTTAAAGAAAAAAAAGTTGCGGAATGCAATGGGCGGCCTTAGGGCTATAGAGCAATCTCTTCTAGGCAACCCTTGTTTGAAAATAAAATGAGACACATAACAGGAACCAATCTTTATAAATGAAAATATCTTTGATGAAATTGTAATTAAAAGTATTTTATTTTTAATTTCACGAATCTTTAAAATATTTTTGTCATTATAAACAATTTTAGAAGAATTATCACATAAGATATCGTGATGTTAAATGACTGGGGCACTTTCCATGAGGTGAAACTCATGTTTTTTTGTTCTTTATCATAAAAAAGCCAACTAACCAGTCAACTCAAACGCATCCTCAAAGCAGACCTCGTTCAACTTCTCCGAACTCCTCTCCAGATCACTGTTCCCGTTCCTACCCAAATTCCTCTTCACATCCAAACTCTCCTTCAGTCCATCGTTCGTACCCGTAGAGTTGGTCGACATTTTATCACAATTTATTATAACGCGTCAATAAATAATTGATATTTTTATCTAATCATTATGTTAAATGTCGTCGAACATTGTGTCAAAAAACGCGGGAACGACTTTTTAATTGCGGCGCGTGTTAACGGCTCTTCGGTTGGGATTGAACTAAACTAAGAAATAGGGTAATGTGGATAAATAATGAACGCACCGCTGTGAATGCGTAGAGATACAAACACGCAGATAAAATATAATTCGATAATACTAATTATAGTCTGTATTTTACGCGAGTAATATAAACGTGTGGCCACGGCCGCTGTAAAGCATACAAAATTAAAAAATGTATATATATTTCGCGTTTTAAACCGTTATAAATTTCATTGAAATTTGATAATATGTAAAATATCAACGCTTTGGTTATTAATTTTACTAACTAATGTTTCTATAAGCGTATCTACTATCTATGCTCACTAATATATATCGCGTTTTAAACCACAATCTTTTTTATTGAAATCTGTGAACATTCAAATGAATATTTTTCACATTTTGATGTCAAAAATAAGTATATATATTTAAAATCACTGTTTGTAATTAGATTACTTGGAAAAAAATCTTATTTTAAATGAAGTAATCCTTTTTTACTCTCCACGTAAGTTTTAATCTTACTAGCGTTTAAATAAAACACTTTAACGGTTTAAAACGCGATATATTAGTTAAACTTATTTGAAAATGATTTTTAACTTCGGCCCGACGTTTCGGATGCTTTGCAGCAGCCGTGGTCACGGGGAGACCACGGCTGCTGCAAAGCATCCGAAACGTCGGGCCGAAGTTAAAAATCATTTTCAAATAAGTTTAACTAATATATCGCGTTTTAAACCGTTAAAGTGTTTTATTTAAATGTGTACTACTCGCGTAAACTATAGACAGTATTTACTAGCGTTTTTCAAATTACTAGTAAGAGTCCACAATTATTAATGAAAAAAAATATAGATAAGTGATGAAATATTATGTAAGTACTAAGTTATTTTAGTATTACCGCGGAAATAAAGTTCGTTATTGCGCGGAGCTTTATGTACCAAAAATAAATTAAATTTTTTGAGGCGACCATAAAAATAAAAAGACAGAATGTCATATTTTTGAGAAAGGGTAGCCTATTAGTAGCAATTTAATTTCGATTTTACAATTTTAAAATATATAATTATTATCAAGGGTAAATTTAACTTGAATCTAGACGTATTTTTAAAGGGCCTCGGTTTTTTTTTTCACTTAGGTACTAATGATATAAATATGCCAATGTAGTGACGTCCACGTTTTAAAGACAGTAAACATACACCAAATTATTGATAATATAGTGTCTAGCTTTTAAAATATTGGGTTTCATATTAAGAATTGCCAAGCCTTTTAAAAAGACTACAACCTTAAAAATACTATTTAACGGATATCTAAGTAGGTTTTTCGAATTTTGTAGTGTAATCTGGAATCCCCAATATAATAATTATATTAATAGAATTGAAAAAGTTCAAAATAAATTCTTAAAATCGTTAGATTATAAATCAGGTTCGAATTTCGTAAATTATGAATTGAGTTCCAACAGACACAACATCAAGTCACTAAGGTCACGCCGTGACTATTTAGATGCTATTTGTCTGTACAAACTAATACATAGCAGTATAGACTCTATACCTATTCTCGAGCAAATCGGTTTTAAGGTCCCCCGCGCTTCTTCCCGCACCAAGGAGACGTTTCACATTCCCACAGCGAGCACTACCTACGTGAAAAATAATTTCATTATAAGAAGCTGTGATTTTTATAATAAGAATTTGAATTCAGTCGATATTTTTTCTAGTGGTATCTTTAAATACAAAACTTGTATATCTAAATTAATACTTAAGTCGTAGTTACAAAATTATTGTTATTACTTTTTAGATATTTTCTTTTACTGTGTATTTGTTGTTTTTACGCCATGTATGTATAATTAATTGAAACTTTAGGTCTATTTGTTTAACGTATTAAGTAATCCATTGTTTTCTAAGTGACCGTTTGTTTCTTTTCCAAATAAAATAAATAAAATTATCATTTTACTGACATAAATTCAATAGGAGTAATATTAGCTGATAAAATGTTTTAATTTACAACCTAGATTACCGATTTTATATTATAAGTTATGTAAAATATATATATATATATATATATATGAAGTGATATGGCTTATCGAATTCTTCTTCTATTAAACGAACACTACTACTTAATCCACTACTACTACTTAAAGTTATTAACTCTTCATAATTAAATAACTAACTTAATTAATTAACTCTTAATAAGTAAATAATCCATTCATAGTAGTCCATTCATTAATCCACGTCCTTCTTGTTTCTAAATCCACGCGATAAAGCAATAGTTATTTAAATAAAACTCTTTTAACGGCTTTAAACGCGAAATTCATTAGCTAACTTATTTACAATACATTTTAACTACGGCACGACGGTTCACATGCCTGCAGGAGCCGTGGTCACGGGGGTGATTTCTTTTTATGTGTAACCACTCGCGTAAACTACAGATAATACTCAATATGTATTTCTGAATATTACTATAATCTGTTGTAACGTACAGCACTTTACACAGCACGTTATAGGTCAACCTAGCCCACTAATGCACGAATGCCTGACATTAAGATTAAAGATATAAACAGTTTACGACGGCCATGTCGTCGGCCACAGATAATGCGATTTAAAAACGTGGCCACTCTCTAGAAGCCTCGCCCTTGGAGTGAATGAGAGAAATTACTGTTAATGCAACCTCTTTGAAGGTGTATCTCTGGTCACTTGCAGGACTTCTTATCTTCAACCGCTCTATAGTTTTTCATGTTTTTTTCGACTGGCTCGTTGTGGTTGGTCGTGGGTTCGATGGTCCAACTATTTGTTTCGCTTTCAGTCTGTGGATTTCCGATTCCTAATGCAAAAATAGGCTGACAGCGCATCTTGCTTAAATGTTTTAAGGCTGGGAGGTTTCACCCATCAAGTATGGGGTATGCTCGCCTGTTCTCTATCTATATAATAAAAAAAGACTTCTATGACTAAATTAAAGAGGATATCCGACTAATTAATGTTATCTATGAAACCAGAATATGCCTTTATTTTTGAAATTCGTCTTTATTGTAGAAATAATTTTACAAGTAAGTAGATCACGGACACTTAAATAAAATGTTTGCATAGACGTTTTATCGCCTAGAGCGATTTCTTCCAGGCAATCTTTACACATAGGAAGAACAAACATAATCAGACTCTAGGCGACGCGTTTAACAAATGAACCAGAAGTCCTCAAAGGCAATAAGCTTCACTTCGTCGCAAGTTCGTTGATCTAAATCTATCAACTTTATGAAAACTTCCTTGCTCCCAATATGATAATTACTTCGGGATAGAAATTATAGGTTCCGCTCCAATTTATCGAAATGGGCCAGCGCCTACTAAAGTTCCAAGTTGCTAAGAGAACGAATTTATACAGGAAATGCTTATGTCGCTGTGTGGTCTGACCGGCGCGTGCGCAGTGAAATACCATCTTGTGGTTTGTGGTAATTTTCTAAATGTGTACTACTCAAAGCTCACGATAACGTACGTTAAAACAGCTTTCTTTCACCCTGGGTGAAACAAACAAACACATACATCGTTACTAGCTGATCCGGCAAACGAGGTTTTGTTGTTAGCAAGATTTGTCGTTTAGTATCTTGATACAACTAATTGGCAATAATGTATTAATCTTAAGAGATAGACATATACTCTCGCGGACATTTGCTTAGATCATTTAAAGAGAACTTATTCTTTCATACATATTTTTTGTTTATTAAACGGTTTTTAGCGCTCGCAACGGAAGCCCTCTAAGCTTCTCTCTCTCTAATTCTACATAGCTTAAATAAATATCTAGCACAAAAATGTATTCGCCTGTTGATATTCGTGTGTTAATTCGAATCAGTAGTTCCCAGATTAGCACGTTAAGCTTTTTTTACAAACAAACAAACTCTTTAGCTTTATGTTATAACTAGCTGTATCAGCGACTTCATCCGCGTAGAGTAGTTATTTTGGGCATCCGAATTTGTTTTTGTAAACCTCCACTTGGTCTTAATAAATTGAAACTGCTATCCGACATCGACATCGGACGCGTCCCAGTGGCTTGTCCGCGGGTCGTCGGATCCTGTCGTTCTTGCGAGTTAATCTTCAATGATAGTCGTGTCGCGAACATTTTTTTACAACCTTTAAAAAGGAATCATTCTATCATACATATATATTGGGTATCTTGAACCGTATTCGCAACGAATGCATCGGAAACCCACAGAGATGAAATTTTTTCTCCGTTTTTCCCGCTGCTTCTTCGCTCCTATTAGTCACAGTGCGACGTTTTATAGCATATATGACCTTTCTCGATAAATGTTCTATCTAACACAAACAGATTTTTTTTTAATTTGAAAGATTAGTTCCTGAGATTAGCGCGTTCAAACAAACTCTTCAGCTTTATATATTAGTATAGATAGTATACCAGGAAATTACCCTTCTTGGTTTCTGCACATATACTACGCGCAAACTAATGAACATTTTCATTACGTAGTTAATATGACAGTTAAAAATAGAAGAAGATAATTATAGACGCAGACGCGAAATAAAAAAATCATTCATCAAGTTAATTTAATATTTTTAGAAAGGTCAAAACCGGTATTGACTAAATGCGCTTTACTACTGCATTTAAAATAAGTTCGTACAATTCGTTGTGCAATATCGTGACATTGGTGATTTTGAAAAAAAAATCGTATACATTTATCTTTAAGAGTTTAATATAAGATGCGGTTTTAGTATGACCTATAATCTTAACATCGTTGAGCTCTGCAAAGATGTCAACAATCAGGTTTTCCCTAGGTGTTGGAGCATAGGGCAGACACGCATTTTTCCTTTTCCTGATAAATTTTATTTAGACAAGTAGCATGTCTATCGAGTGAAATGTTCTGATTACCTAGACAACATTTCCATCTTAACGCGACGCTAAGCATTTTGACTACTTAACTTCGAAGAATGGAAAACGATAAATTCTAAATATCTTATTAATTATTACTATATTGTTGATAATAGTCGGAAACAAAATATGTAATTATTATATTGTTTATTTCTCATTTCTACTTTATAATCTCCAAGTAAATATTAATTTACAAGGTACGTAAATTGCAGTTCTGTTCCTCTTGTTATATATCATATTATAATATTTCGATGTTTCAAAAGTCCCCTTAAATAGTATTTATCTAAAAAACAATCTTGTACATTATTACATTTGCAAATATTCGTTCAGTTTACTCAAAATATAGCAAATCCACTGTTAATAAAAATTGCTCAATATAAAACACCAGGCGTTTATTTAGTTTGATATTTTGAAAATATTTGCATTTAATTTCAATTCTGCAATATTACCAATTGTCTGTAGCTTACGCGAGTATTACGCTATAAATTTTGCATTAAATGAAATAGTTTTAACGGTTTTAAACGCGAAGACATTTGGTATTACAGTAAAACATATTAATTATCCACAACTTTTGTAAAACATTCTAAATTTAGGTATGTGTTTGTGCTTTTTTCAATCGAAACATATGTAACAATGTTTTTTCGAACGGGCCTACTTTACAAACAAGCGGACAAAAAACTGTGTCTACCCATGTCGGAATTATATAGTTTGAAGTTATATTTGTTTTGGTATAAATTTAAATTTATAGTTTGTTATCAATTTTCCGTATGACAGCTGGCACACGCGTCGCTAGGGAAAAACAAAGATCTGCCAATGCGCAAGCGCTTGGTGATATTTTCGTTCACGTGTACGCTTTCCCGACCTTGTGTTTACGATTTCATTCCTATTTGGCATTTTGCCATCTTCTAACAAAGATATAATGAAAGGTGCATATACCCAAACTTGTAAATGTTTGCGATGATAGCGAAACACAACCTTAAAATGTGACAAAATTCTAAACTATATAAGTTAGTGAGATTGTTTAAGAAATGTATTCTTTTAATAATCTTCATCCCGCTCCCGGCGAGTTGACCTTTTCAAACATTCATTAGAAACCAAATATTTTTAACATTTTTAATAGAAGTTGCAGGCTAATACCGTTGTTTTAGTTATTATACAATTACACACAATTCTATTGGAATTTTGTTACACCAGCATCGTATTTTAGTTGTAACAAATATCCTAGGTTCGGATCGAAGGAGATATATAAAAAATGTTCCTTTCGTAACGGGACATATTAAATATAAGTTATAATTGCTGTGTGCATAACTTTTGACAGGAGCGTTGGTTAAATAGCAGCAATATATGGTTAATAATGAAAGCGTCCTAGGTTCAGTTCTCACCGGGGTTACATGAATGAAAATTTTAAAATTTTCCGACATACTACGTCTGGTAATCTGGATAATAAATGGGTGGAAGGAATAACGAAATTCTGTCCGGGTCACGAACCAAGACTGGACCAATCGTGAAGTGTAATCGAGTTTCGTTTTCACTCTTTGGTTTAACATATAAAAGGTAAAACAGATCGACGGTGCCCTAATGCTTGTCTGTCCGCTTTTATCGTAAAAATTAACAAAGGTCTTTTCTTTGTCTTCTTTGCGTGGATGTGAAAGCACATTGTTTGATGTCAGCGCAATATATATTAAGCAACAATGTTCTTATACCAAGAATACACAAGTCTTTACAATTCGAATGTCTAAAGATTGATACATAAGTAAATATGTGAGTCATATAAGTTCACGTGTTAGTAAAGTAATAAATTTTTATTATTTAATTATCTTGTGTACTAATTACAAACTATGCACGCTTAGGATGGATATGAAATCAAGTGTTCGCAATATGCATCTCGCGCAAAAACAGGAAACAAATAAATTGTTAATAAGATTGCGCCTTTTAAACCGTTTTTCTTTCTTTAAATGTTAAGGGCTTCGCGTTGTACAGTTGTAGAGTTTTAAACGAAATCTTTAAAAATCAAAATCAAATATGTATGTATTTGAACTTTTGGTAAACCATATTTTTGATAAATTATAACGCAAAGAAAATCTACGTTGTATTAATAGTTCTTCTTCAGTTTTAATTTTGAACATTGTTGTCTTTTACTTGGGCAACTGTAAATTTGACGACGAAATTTAAATAGTAAGTCCGTTACAGACAAACAGACAGAGTTACTTTCGCATCTTATTAGTAAGGATAGTAAGGATACTTTTAACGGTTTAAAATGCAAAATATATCAGTTAACTTATTTTTTATTAGGCTCCGAACTATGTATTATGCTTATTTTATTTTGTTTAGCCTGCGTATCTCTTTTAATGAGTTCATTAGTCATATCAAAGTTAATAGCAAGAAAACAAAAGAAAGATATTGTCCAGTGTATATTATTTGACTAAAGCGCTTGGCACCAAGTAGAATAGGTATGTAACAGAGATTTAATACTGCTTGAATATTTTTTAATTATATAATATCTTGTCTACAATTATAATAAAATAGTTAAAAGAAGAAAATTCAATACGTACAATGCCTAAGATAATTCAATGAAATCTTTCCTAAAATTTTTGACCTAATGACATCGACGTGTCTTTTTAAAGCTTTAGAATGCGCATGCGCTTTTCCCCAGACGATTTTCCTTTTCGTACTGTTTACAAAACTACCTGACGTAAACACGACGCGTTCTGCCATGGCGTTTCGCGTCACGTCGTGACTTTGAACATTTCAGAAGTTTCATTCAGTCCAATTGGAAATTATCGGTGGGCGGTCGTGCGATCATGACCACCAAGGAAGATGCCGTCGCGAACTTCGAAGCCGCTCTGGAGAGGACTGGTGAATATCCATTAGATTGTTTAATTTAAGTGTTTTATTAATACGTGATTAATAAAACATTTAACGGTTCAATACGCGAAACGTGAACTTTTAAAATTAATTTTAACTCAAACCAGATATTTAGTAATCGTTGTTTAAGCGAAACGCGTGCGTTTGTATGTAAGACATATTGATAATTTTTTTTTAAGATTTCAGCTTTAGTGGTCATTTTCGTGTGCGTTTTCATTCAACGGATGGGTTTTTACGATACTTCGAGTGAAAAAAATATTTCGTTTTAAAATTCAACCAACTACTTTTTTATGTTTTAATAATAGTTTTCCCAACAGAATGGACATAGATAACACTAGACGTCGCACAAATCGCAATATAATTGGGAAGTGCAATATTTTCCACTATTAGAAAAGTTAAACATCTTGCTATTTACCATAATGAGTGAAATATTCCTTTAACATTAGATAAGCTGTATACTAGAAACACTTTTTTATAAAATTTAATGATACCGAGAGGAACGACTATAGCTTATCTTGCCAATTGCTTTACCGTGTCGTATTTTTTTCAATTGAACTAACTTATGTCATCATTAACACGTGAAAAATAATAATGGTCCAAATGCTCTATTCTGAATACGTATTGTGTGGCTTACGCGAGTAAATTTTTGAATTAATCACTTAACGCGTTTAAAACGCGTAATATTTTCGACGATACAAATGTTCGTATTTTAATCTAGCTAGAATAAAATACATTAAGTCTTATAGTACATAAATGGCGATTCGTTCTTAATAATATTAAAAATAAAACATTGGAATTTGTAAAGCATAAAAATGTTATGAATACGATATTATCAACATGGCCATAAAGGTTCGGTATGTATTCAATAAACTCTTGTGGAAATTGGAAACCTGAATTTCACATGGTTTTTATCAACCCATTAATTACGAAAATGACATGTTTGTGATGGCTCCATTCACGCAATGGTGTTATGTCAGATGATAATATTGGGTGGGTGTGGTAGCAGCTTCTATGTATATGATACTATCAATTGGCAATTATCCGGACAACGTTGTGCTATAGGTTTACTAGCTGTGTCAGCGACTTCGTCCGCGTAGACTAATTATTTTGAACCTCAAAGTTTGTTTCCTCCTCGATAAATGCTCTAACGAATTTTTCAATTCGAACTAGTAGTTTCTGAAATTAGCGCGTTCTAACAAACAAACTTACTCTTCAGCTTTGTTACCAATTTGCAATTACGTGGACAAAGTTAAGCGATAAGAATATATTCTAAGGAAATTACTATTTAAAAAAAATGAATAGTCTAGAGATAACTAACCTGAAAATTAATTATTATTTAATTTCCTGCAAAATAAATTATTACTGGATGACGTGCGAAGGGTGCACATGTATTTTATCCTCTGTAGTTAACGTTTGCAAATAAATTATTTTGAACATTGATAAACGAACTTAGGAAGCAAAGTTAATAATGAATTGTTTGCACAATGCTTCATTGCTTTTATTCATTGCTTTTTTAATCCCTAACATCACAGTAGCAACTTAAGCACTTGAGCAACGCCAGGATCCAATCTAGTATCAGGATAAAGCAATGATCTGTGCTTACACGCGGTACGCGCAGTTAATATTCATAAGGCTTAGCGAAATGACTGGTACACATCTAAGTTATGTAATGTAACTGAATCTAAGCTTCCAATTGCGTAATATTGAAAAAGCTGCATCAAATAATCATAAGAATTTATAGATTTATATAACTAATCTACTAATCTCATTTGGTAGCAACTTTATCTACTATAAGCGTTTTTGAACTATAAATCTAAAGGTAAGAAAATGTTTGAGAATAGTTATAAAGCAGTGCCTCTAATTTATGCAAGTAGTACACATTTAAATAAGACACTACTTTCATTTACACACTCTTCTTGACATTTGTCCCCTTCAGTGACTACGGTTTCTGCATAACACTACTCTGGGGTTTAAAATACATTATAAATAAGTTAACTAACGGATTTCGCTTATGAAACCGTTAATTGTTTTATTTATATAAGCATATTTATTACTAAAATAGTTTTGATGAATTATAATAATCGTGTTACGCGTTACCGAATCTGGTGTGTACTCGCCGTATATCACTAACAATATTTATTAATAGCTCTACAAATTAAATAGCTTATTGGATCTTATTAGTAACAGGAAAATTAAATAACCGTTTTGCTATCGGGAAAATCGAAATTTACGGAACTTGCTTAGTGGAATCCCGCGCTTTTATATTCATAGGCATCATTTAAATATATTCCGGTCTATATTGTAATACTTTAAATTTATGTTTTGCGTGTTAATGTATCGTTCTAAAACAAGCAATATATTACCTTAGTTTCAAGACATGCCGCTTCGGTCGTTTTGCAGGAAAGCATCGAGTTTTAAACAGTTTAACAGCTCCCTTTAGCTTTCTCTCTTCTTTTTGATTGTATATTTGCAATGCAGCCCGTTTCCACGGTAACGCTTCCTTCATTTTCATTGGTTAAAGACAGCTTTATTTTAGTTCGCGTCATCTACGTTACTCAGAAATACGTAACCATTATGTAATGCAAACAAGTTTTTAATATTCAATCACTATTTATAAAGTTAGAATTATGTATTTATTATGTATAATACATAAGATAGAAAAAAATGTGAAGTCTCTTTACGAAACATCATTGGAAAAATCATTTTTTTAGAAAGTCTAAACAATGTAAATATGAGAAAATTTAGTTTTGGCTCTTATCCTAAGATCCCATTGCTCAAACTTGCAGGGATGCATAACTAGTTTTTTTTTTTATATAGAGAAGGATAGACAAGCACGGGGTACACTTGATATAACATCTAAGCAGGATGTGCTGGAAAATTTTTAACCTAAATTCAATTTTAAATTTATATTGTCCAATAGTGATTTAATACAAAAATCAGGACCAATAACGCATTAGATAAAAAAAATCAATCGACCGGTCCAGCGATAAGTTATTGAGGAAGGAAAAAGCAAAAGCCTGTGAACATTTTTTATAAGAATTCAGGTAGTGATATATGGGTTTAATACTGGGAAAATTTATTTTCCTTATATAGCCTATATCCTTTTATCGTGAAGAGGTTTGTTGCTTAAATATAGTAAAGGATAGAATGTACTGCGATAAAAAACATCTGTAAAACGTTAATGGAGTAATAGGTGGGAAGGATTTATAAAAAATAAACAAGATATGTTATCACTGGATCCCGCGGCTGGGATTTGGGTCTCGTAGAAGGGTACATAGGCGATTGGTCTTAATCTACAACGCTGCCTTTTGTTGCTACAAAGACAACGTTTTCCTCTAGATCCGTGACTTCTTCCCAGCGATATCTGGGCCGAAACAAATATTATATTAAAATAAATATATATATATTAAAAGATAATTAATATTTTTGGTGTCAACTCCACGACCAGTCACGAGTAAACACAGTAACTAGTACTAGACTAGTAAACAGACGTAAGATGCTCGCGTAAAAAAGTTGGTGAAATTTGTTTTCTTAAAGCCTTCCTTTCTTTGTCTCTTTTATATCTATTGAATATTGTTTGTTAGTAGTCGCTACTTTACGTTATTGGCTGTTACAGAGACGTAACATTGTATGTGGTTTTGAGATGGTTATGTAAGAAATGCGGTTTTCAAATTAATATGTGCCACGTGGTTGTACAAACGATTATGTCCGATCTTATCATTGTAGCGTTTCCTGAGTTCCAAATAAGAGAATATATATTTGAGCTCCACGTTTAGTAGAAGCACCTACCACAAAAGTTACCACAAATAAACGTCGAGGTTTTTCTGAAGGAAAATTGATAAGACACATGAATGTTACAACCTAATTACATAATTTGTATTTACACAATAAAAATTAAGAAGTACGTCAATTGCGAAATTACAACTCTTCTACTTTAATGTAAAAATTATGTAAAAGAGGACAAATTGTTCGATTTCAATAAAATTGAATTACTAAAACTAATGAAATATATTCATTTATTCTTTAACTAATAATTTTTAATAAATATGTTAAAACGTGATTTGTGAAATTACAATACGTTATAATAATTATGTTAATTTGAATACTTTATTAATTTTTACATGTTATTGCACATGAAGGCACTATATATAAATTATGTTCATTGTTAAAAAGAACTAAATTCGTTGATATGTAGTATAATTTAGACTTTATGTCTTATACGTATTGTAAAAATGAACTTGTACATTTCAAAAGCTGTTTACAAAATTCTCTTCGTGTACATTTGTGTTTACAGAATCGCCTTGTCTTTTTCGCAGATGAAATAATAATATTGACTTCTTTTGTAGGCTTACTTGGTATTAGCTGGTTCTTTATAAACAAACTTGTAGACTGAAACATTTATTTAAATCTGATTCACACTTTTAATTCTGTCCTTAATTCTTCACACGATTTTAAGACGTTTTTGGGATGTTTAAGGAAACAAAAATAAATATATGTTTATTACTACTTTTTTAAAAATTTATTTCCATAGTACACTTAATAACAGTTTTAAACGCAAAATGAGATAACCACAGCTGCTGCAAAGCATACGAAACGTCGGACCGTAATTGAAATTATTTGTAAATATGAAATTAATGCGTATCGCGTTTTAAACCTTTAAGTATTTTATTTAAATGTGTACTAGTCGTGTAAACTACAGACAGTACTCAAAATGATATTATAATCTATACTAATATGTAAAGCTGAAGAATTCGTTTGTTTGTTGAAAGAACTATTGAAAAATTATTTTTGTGATGGCCAGAGCATTTATCGAGGAAGGCTAAAAAATATTTATAATATATACGTGGTAGTTAAGAGAGAGAGTTTATAAAGATGGGGTTTTTCACACAAATTTTGAAGCCCAAAATAATTATTCTACGCCGACGAAGTCGCTGGCACAGCTAGTACCTTATATTTTTCCTTTGAAATCTCTTTCAATATGCTTTTGCTCATTCCTTATAGCTACGAAAATTTGATTCTTGTTTTTTGTTAGTTCTTCTCTTTCTACATTAGTTTGGGAACTGCAAGTAATAGTGTTTTGTTTTGTTTTTAATTTTATGGATCTACATGAATGGTTTTCAAATGACAGGTAACGGCCTCTACAATATCCTCTTGGTGGCAACTTGTGGTCTGATTCTCCTCGGAATCGGGGTGGACCTCTTCGGTTTCAGTTTGGTGGTGGCTGCTGCGTGTGACCTAGAATTGTCAGTTACACAGAAAGGCATCCTGACTTCTTTGCCTTTTATTGGTATGTATATTATTTAATTTAATCTTAGTTAAATAAAGTTGAAGTTTAACTTATTGTTACTTCAATAGTGTTTAAAATTAAGTGAGGGAAATAAACAATATTCTGGATCACTACATGGAAAATGATATACACCAGTTCTATAACATCTAATAAAGAACTGTAGACCCATTTTTACTTTTAATCACAAAGTGAAAGTTCACACAGTGAATCGGAAACGCGTTTTTTCCCTCGACGGCCCTCCCACTTGTGGATGGTCGTTCGTAACCCAGTGACTTTCCAGGTTTTGAAGGCCCGGTGAATAGGTAAATATAGCAAGAGAAGGGTCAGCTGAACTATTTAAACCTTAATAATTTAATGCTTAAGTAATCGATCGCAAAGCGGAAGAAAAACAATACTGCACAATATGTGTGTCAAAATAAATAAATACTAAAATTCATTCAAATGACTGAACCAAGTTGGATGTATGACATTTCGATAAACATAACACTTGTACATACACAATTAACTTACATTCACATTTGCGGGAAATTGATTAACGTAATTGTTATTTTAATTCCATTGTCGCGTTTAATATTTGCGTTTTTCAATGAAATGATAATCAGTGGGAATTTCAATTTGTCTATTCAATTGTTTTACAAATTCGTCTCGCTTATTGATGATTGATGATTGATTTCTTCGTTTCTTTGGTATTTGGACGCGTTCTGCTGTTTTGTTATCATCGTTAGCGACTAACATCAAAGTTTACTAATTCAATTCATTTGGCTATTAATAAGCCAGAATTGCGATTGTTTATTGCACTACTACGCATTGATACTATTTTCAATCTCATCCAAATTTTGTAGTGGAACGTAGGTGCCGATGCTGGAAGGAGTATTACAAATGTGTATCTCAAGACTTTCACGAAGCACATCAAAAGACAGTAGTTCCATATGTATAATGGTCAATTCTTACCACGTTGAAATATGTAATCTTTACATATAATTTGTTTCCTTTTTAAGGCATGCAATATCCAATGTTTAATCTTTGTTTTTCAGGTATCCTTCTAGTATCCTACCCATGGGGCTACGTGGCAGATACTAGAGGGCGTCGCTTCGCCTTAATCATTTCAGTGCAAGTGGCTTTCGTGCTATCCTGCTTAGCTAGCCTGGCTACTAACTGGATTCTATTGGGCGTAATCAAGTTTATCTCTGTGTGCTTGTAAGTTTTTTTAATGATAGAAGAGGTCAGACTTGGCGTGGGGTTTAGTTGATGGTAATCGATAGCATTAACTGAACTCCAGCCTATACTAGCAGATATTCGGAAGTCCAAAGACTGAAAACGGCGAAGGCGATTAAGCTTTTTTCTTCTGTGGATGGTAGTTCGTGACCCGGACGGAATGGACCCGGAGAAACATGTTGGACCTGGTGGGGATCGAACCCATGTCCCATTCACCATTAGCCATACATTGCTACCATTAGACCAACGAGGCCCTCAAAAGTAACCGTGCGACATAACTACTTGAATCGGCAAAACGAGTTAATAGAGCTCTATCTCGAAAGACACGAAATGTCGACAACTCTTCTCTTATGTCTCCATATTAACTCGATACGGTGAATCAAGGAAACTTCGTTGGAATCAGCGCGGTACTGTCGCCTTGTTTACTAATATCAATTTAATCGATCAGTTACGTAATCGTCCATGTATCGGAGGCAATGCGCACGTGTTATAATTGATTAAGATATGTATATCTTTTTTATGATAGTGGAGGTCAGATGAGCATGGTGTTAACTTCTTGGGAGGTCCACATGATCATCATGAGCCACATAACACCTAAACGAGATGTGCTGTTGACTTATTTTAGCTTTGACATAAGTTTAAACTGAAACATGAATGGGTGTAAAACATGGTATTTTCGTGTGGTGGTTTACGGTGGTTCGTAATCCCGACTTTTGATATTCGTACACCCATCTGCTGTCTAGATTTTCGAGACGAAGTTTGGAAATGCAGGAAAATGTGGGTTTTCGAAACGTGTCCATGTTGGAACGTGTGGAAGTCGAACCCACAACCTGTGCTACATTACCATCAAAATATAAATGTTATATGCTGTACGTAATAAATATTATACTCGGAAGAAACGGGGCTCTGCGTCTTTTTATTATCCTAAGAAACATGAGGAAAACCTTCGAATGAGTTCTAGAACTTGTTGTCCATCGGTTCCAGATACTATAATACTTTACATCTTCTTATTAAATCGCGTATTGGGAAGAAAAAAAGCGAGCACATAAAATGCCTCGAACTTGACACTAGTAGAATATTCCACTCCAGTTCAACAAAGTGGGTCAAATTAATTCTTACACTAGTTGCGCTTACGATAACAACATTGTAAACAGGATTAATTTGCTTGCGCTATAAAAAATTTGCTAATTGACATGATGGCATTTTAATGGTCTTATTTATCTTCTTGTTTACTTTTTAATTTTTTCTTTATGAGAATCGAGGATAGACAATCACGGTTACTCGGTAGTACATGAAATATCCCAACCGTAAAATATCTAACAGCGGATTAACATGTTGCAGCCATTTTATTTATTGATTGTGGGTAGAAATGTCAGGCTGTAGTTAAAATAAATGTAAAATAAGATAACGGAGAAAATAATGTTTTAAGCGTGAAATATATGTTGTTATATATAAATGTGTCGTTCGATCCCACCAATTGACTTTTGAAAAATGTTGGCGGGACCGACGGGTGCGTCAATCTAGATTGGTTCATAGTAATGATTATTACAAGTCTCATTTCAGTTCTTGCGCAGCCAACTCGGCCACTTACACACTAGTGGGGGAATCTTGCATCGCCCGCGTTCGCAGTAAATACATGCTCATCATCACATGCCTTATTATCCTGTCGCCAGCTGTTGCTGCAGGTACACATTTTATTAATAATATCGAGTTCGGAACGAAGTTACGGCTTCGTTCTTCGGTTCATTACGAAACATTGGAATGTCAGGTTTCTAAAAACATTGTATTAAACAAAAATCTTGACAGACGAGAACAGCATCAGTATTTTGTCTGAAGTTTATCACATTAATTAGCTTAATATAGCTGTTTATGAACGCGGAAGGATTTCTTTATATTTAATATGAGTGTCAGAATTGATTTTCGTCACAAACAGCCACTTGCCACCGTCCAAATGACTGTAATACTCTTCAAATGTATTTTAATCACATTAGAGATTAGAATTAGAGTAACGTAGGTTAAAATGTCCTACTGTTTCAAAATTCGGTTTTGGTTACTGTTAAGAATATACAGATAGACATACCCGAGTAATATATATCTTCTAAATACCTCACTTAACGGATAAGGGCAAGAAATGCATCCAAAAACGACATACCCAGAAACGAAAGGACACCACGAGTCAGTTTTGCGAGGATTTATCTAGGTTCTCCAATTACGGGAAAATGGCGCTAGTACAACAGATGACAGTAGAGACAACCTTTCTTTTAAGTCCCTCTGTCAACAATTATGCAAAGTAAATTGTATAAAGCTTTCGTTGTCGTTTTAAGCTGTTAAGTATTTTATTTAAATGGATACTACTTGCGTAAACTACCGACAATACATGATGTAATGTTAATGGCATTTCTTATATGTAATGGAGGAATTTGTGTTAACATTTGGTATATTATATTAATTAAATTTTTTCTCAATTTCAGTTCTAACATATCCTACACTATTACTATCGTTTAAATTGGACATTCCTCTGCTGGGAATCACCTTCACCCCCTGGCGACTCCTGAACATAGTCCTGGCAATACCGGTTGGTATCGGTGGGGTGGCGATATGCTTCTTCAATGAGTCGCCAAAATTCCTCGCAAATTGCGGAAGGAAGGAGGAAGCTGTACAAGTATTGAAGTCAATTTATGCAATTAACCATGGAAAGAACAAACATGATTTACACGTAAGTAGCCGTGTTATAAAAAACGTCGAGATTTTAATACAATTTACAAAAACTAAATTGCCGAAGCGGAACTCTGTGTAAGTAATGAAAAGCCGAACGAAAGAAGTAGAAAAGTTCTGCCGTCTAGAATACGGCAGAGGCGGTTTATTCACTTGATTATAATTCAAAGTATGTAATAAGATTATTTTGTCTTACTTTGCCAAATTTTTTCGAACCATAATTTCTTGAAACAAACTGCGTTTGCACATATTATTTCAAACTGTGTCTATATTTTTTTCATTGTCATTCTATTTTTGTGCTAGTGAATGTTTTCATTGGTTCTTAAACATTTTCCAGCTTTCATCGTTGGTGATAGAAGGACCTGTTTCAAAGAAGAGTCTATCTCTTTTACGCGCGATGCAAGAACAGAGCGCTCCACTCTTCAGGCCTCCACTCCTGTGGCGGACTCTGCAACTCTTCTTCATCGTCTCCGTAGTGTACATTACGTGAGAAACAGGTTTTATACTTAATGCAACCTAGTCAGTATGGCTAAAATATGTGATTGTATTAACACGCTGTCTTCGTGATCAATTCAATCATAATTAATGAAAATCTTTTAAGTGGTAAAGTTCATAGTTAAATTATTAAAAATCTAAAGATTTAAAAGGAAGTCTTTACATAGATCCATCTTTTTACAGTAACAACAGCTTTCTGGTATGGCTGCCTCATGTGCTGAATGTGGTGAGACTTTCTCTTGAAAAATCTTCTGACTTCAGCGGTCTTTGTGACCTGATATCAAACGAAAGAAGCAGTAATGAAACAGTCCTTTCTGATAATTCTACAAGTGTAAGTAAAGTAGTATATTTTATCAATTAAAGTAGTTGTTTTGACACTTACTTATAATAAGACAAAACTGTTTAATGTCTTCGACAGTATGCTGTAGAAACTAATGGCGAATAATCAACAGGTTCTCGTTAAAATTATAAAAGGTTTTAGAAACATGTTGGAATAATGTTTACGGATGCGGATCCGTAAAGTTCGGATTACGAATCAACATCGATAGGTGAAAGTCTTGAAGCTTCACGACTTTTTCGGTCAATTAATGTAACTGGCTATTGCCGTTTTATTTGTTTCTAATAAGAAGTAAATAAATGTAATAAAATGGTTTTAATCGAAATAGAATTTAACAAGCAAATATATTTCCACGGCGCATTGTGTTGATGTTCATTTATCAACGTTTTAATTTTAATTTCCAGACTACGCCTTGCCTCGGCTACGTAGAGGAGAACATAATCATCACTCTAGTCATATCGCAATCTATCTTCTCTTTCTTGAACTTCGTTATCTCCTACCTGATGGCGTGGAGAAGAACGGTTCTGCTGTGTATCCTTTCTCTTTCCACCATAAGCGGAATACTTATCAATTTCATGCCAGAACCGATCTCCAGTGTCATGTTCTTCATGATATTCACTTGTACAAATTTGGGGATGGGCATATTGGCGGCTTACTTCGTCGATTTATATCCCACTTCTTGTAGGTAAGTATATTTTAAAGGATCTATATATTTATTATTATAATATATTATTTTTTGGTTATTTGAAGAATCGATTTGTTGTTATTGAGTAAAAAGCCTATAGTGTCTTTTGTTGATTATATAAAAATTTTAATCATATATTTTACATAGATTGTATATAAAAATTGAGGTATGTAAAAGTATGAGAGGAATTAACTAAATCTTATCTTTGCAGAGGTATGGCGACCTGCCTCAGTGTAATGGTAGGAAGAACCAGCACTTTTATCGGCATAAACTTGGTTGGGAACCTTATCTTCAGCCACTGCCGTCTCACTTTCTATCTGTGGTCATTACTTGTACTCTGTAAGTCATATAATTATTTCTACTTCACTTATAGATCTTTAAAGTGTGTCCGCCATATCTGTGCTTTTATAACCAAGTGGATAACAATTTTGACGACCTTGTTGAATAAAATGTTGAATTTTGGTTCGATTCTCATGTTTAAAATTAATTCATATTTATTCTAGTATATGATTGACTTTGCTTCAAAACTCTATGGACCTAATGAGCGGTAGGGGTGCTAAAATTAATAGAAAACATATAAGAGTATAGAAGAGAGTTCTGTGTTTTTATACTTGCATAAACTTTGACCTTTTTTCTTCTTTTACAGGTAGCGTATTTGCAGCATGGTTTCTACCGCGAGATAAAGCAAAACAAGTTCCCAAATGAAATTTATGCAATAGGATTTAATTTATTGGTTACTATAAAATAGATAAATGTTTAAATATAGGAACAAATAGGCTATTACCGCAACGATGATGTTATCAATGTTAAGTGGCGCCGGTAAGCAGTAATAATGAGATCAAACGTGTAAAAAATCTAAAAGCATGAATAAAAGTTGACATGTTCATACTAGTGCGTTGAAAAAATTTATATTGATAAAGGACTGTATAATACGTATCATTTCCTGTTTGTTTAACGTAGGTACTATATGTGTATTCTCGCGACTTCGTCCGCGTAGAATAGTTATTCTATACGACGTCGGTCGCGTCCCTTCCCGTCGTTCTTGCAAGATAATCTTGAAAGAAAGACATTTAGCGTCGTCGACTTTTTTAGATCAATTAAAGAGGAATCATTCTCTCATTCATATAACTTAGGTATCTTGAACCGTTTTCGCAGGGTACGCCTCGGAATTCCACAATTATGAATCATTTTCCCAATTTTTGGCACATTTCCCACTGTATCTTCGCTCGTAGTTACTAGTTATAGAACGATGTTTTATAGCCTATAACCTTCCTCGATAAATGCTCTAACCAAGGCAAAGAATTCTTACCCGTAGTTCCTGAGATTAGCGCGTTCAAACAAACAAACAAACAAACTCTAGAGCTTTATATATTAGTATAGATTACTGTAAATGTATCAAATAAGTAGAGGAGCAATTCTCAAACACGACCGTATGGTTCGAAAATTTTTTAAAATAAAAAATAAAATATACTTTATTGTCCTTAAAATTTTAAAAATTGTTTAGATTCGTCAAAACAAAAATGTATGTATGTAAAAGTATTTTGAATATCAATTTGACACTTTATTTTAGTTTCTCGTAAAGATCCAAGCGGATCCACTCCGTTTTGGCAGCTTTTGGTAGAAGGAATTCATCATGCAAACAACTTCCTTCTCCAAAAAATCGGTCTAGCCTCCGTCTCCTAGGATTTCTGTGCCTCTCTTTCCTCGCTTTCCTAAGTTTGCGTTGATTCACGACAGTAGTGTGTTTTCGAAAAATGCATGGCTCTACTTATGACTTCATACATAACTACTGCTTTGTCATCCGAATGCGTCGAGGTCGGGGCGTGTGCTTGTATGACCTTAAGCGAATATCTCCGACATGTTCCGATTAAAAAGTACACCACCTTGTTCAATACCCTTTTGACCATCTGCATTATAAAATCTTATCAGATCTTATGACAAGGAAAATCCGGACACCGCCATGAGCCTGCTGTCTTTCTTGTCTCTAGAACATGTCGTACGTCCGAATACCCTAATGGTAGCCGGATCTCTGCCGAAGATTCTTTGCCGCGCTACCGTAGCCAGAATGGGTCTTCCGGGGACTAGAGGAATGAACGCTGCTGCCCCGTCCATCGCTTTTATCCCTTAGTAGCCTCTACGACACCCACGGAAGGCTAAGAGGAGTTCTTACTCCGGCAGCCCATGGACATAAATACGTTATAAAATGTCAATTAAATTTTGTATTTCTCATATCGTAAGCGTATTATAATTGTATAATAAAGTATTAAATTTTAGACACATTCGGGTGTAAAATTATGTCTGTGATTTATTTATATTTAGCGTAAGGTATTGTTGGTTACCACTAGATATTATTTTATTGTAAAATCTTAAATAAAGGAAGATGTGCCAAGATTTAAATTGTGTATCCAATTAAAAAATATTTATGGTTTTCATTTTATTTACTATCTTAATAAATAATGTGTATGATTTAAAACCCATTCTTAATATGTAACAAACATTTCTGCCACATATGTCTAAGCCCTAAGATGGGTTATAATAAAAGCAATAATAATAAAATACCATTTATTAAAAACGTATATATAAAACAATCTAGTCCATTCAATAATCTAATCACATTAACTTACATTCAAAGATATGTTAAGGATAATATATTATGGGAGATCTTTAGTCCGAACTTATATAGAACTTACTTACATTATTCTTCTCATTTGTAAAGAATACTTACGTATATAAATCCGTAACAAAATATACAATCTGATTAAACGTCGTAGAAAAATATTTTAAAATCTCAATATATAGGATGATCAATGCTTGTGAAATTGTCTATAGTTTACGCTCGATACACATTTAAATAAAACACTTTACGTTTTAAAACGCGAAATGTTTGTAGTAGCACAAAGGTTGCCCCTGCGTAAGATTTAAAAGCTAACTAATACATTTCATACAAAAATAGCTTTGTTAAGGGCGACATATTATATACAAGCACAACATTTATTAAAAATACCACAGCATTGCGTAAGAAACATCGTACACAGATGTCTTTAAATACAATAATAATATTATATTTATACAATTGGATTATATGCATTTCTTTACAAACAGTATTTAAACTCGTAATAGTAGTTTACGCGAGTAGTACACATTTAAATAAAACACTAACGTTAAAAATATATTTAAAAATAGTTTAAAAAAATATTTTTAAAAGTCGGATGCTTTGTAGTTAAAAATAATTTAATAAATCTAACGGTGTAAAACGCGATATATTTTAGTTAGTGTTTTATTTGAATATTCTTAGTTTTTTAAAGGGTTTGTACATCCAGGATCATACTTGTCATAATTTCTTGGGACGGAAGTAGACCATTTGCTTTACAATTTCTAATGCACTTTTAAAGGCACATCTGTAAATTTTTAAACAAAGAGATAACCATAAGTTTCGTAATGGTTATAAAATGGAAATATAAAAATCGATAAACAGAGTCGAACGCGTGTAAATGTCCAACTGAACTTTATTGAGAGGTGAATTAACTACAAATTTTATTAAAATATTTAACAATAAAGCCGGTATTTGAAAGATCATTTGAAATTTGAGATTCTGTTATTAATGTATACATTATTTAGTATCACTATTTAGCAACTTTGTTGCCTTATAATTTTATCGATTTCTTTAAAATCTAAAACCACTAAACGCTTATATTCGACTTGTATCCATTAGCTAACTCAATCAGTTTATCCTTCATGTCAATTCCTTTATATCTCAAAGGCCGATGTCTTTATGTAAAAACTATATTAAACAATTGTCTACATATGCGTAGATATATATCTCTCTAAGCCAAAACTCTTATCTGTAAATTCATCAGTCTTATCTTCTCGTTCCTTATTTTCTTCTAGTTTGATCATCATAATGGCACCGATTGATACTGAAAGTAAAAAAAATCAACCAATCCTTATTAATAAGGTATGTTTAAATCGGTTTAACAACCAACTCTTTCATTATAATATAATTTTAATGTTTTAAGGAAATAATTGCACAGGAAAATGATTTTTACGCATAAACATATTAAATAAAATTAATTTCAACAGTTTTAAACGCGAAATTAATTAGTGAAATGCTTTTTTCGCGTCTTACTGTGACCATAGTTGCAAAATGCCGGGTGCTAGTTTAATAATTTAACTAATATATTTTGCGGTTAAAACCGTTTAATTAAATGCGTGCGTTAAACTATGGACAGTAAATAAAAAAAATGCATTTTTTAATTACTGTTTAGAAGAATTTCTTAACAAAAAAAACTAGTATAGATATGTTTTTGCAAAAGCAAAATTTTGCTATACTCACAAGCTAATAAGGCGGCTACCGAAACGAAGGGCGCTGGACATGAATAGTCCAGCAGGACACCAACGGCCAAGTTAGAAGCTACTCCTCCAGCTCGACCCCACCAAGCTCCCCAACATACTCCCAGACCACTGAAATATATATTAGTACAGTCTACTCATTTTAATTCAGATTGTATTTTTTATTATTTAAATTAGTTGTAATTTACACAATAAACCGATTGTTTAATTTGTTTGTTATACACGCCTGACTAAAGAGTCTTAGTAATCTCTTTTCTGCTTGCTAAGACTGTTTTGTCAGGCAAAGATTAGAGAATTGGGTCGATGACTGAACGACACTAGTTAAATTTAATAGGACGTCAACTAGGATGTTACGTTTAACGTAATTAAGGTAAATGGGCGGCTTTTGTTCGTGCTGAATATTTCCAAGAAGGCAACTGAGCAGTCAATTATGCTGTTTCCGATCTTGCTGCACGCGTCTGAAGTGCGATTGGTTAAATTCCCCCCCTTCAATGTCAAAATCAAATGAAAATAAGTACCTTCCTAAAAAATTCCTTAATTGGTCTAACATATTTCCGAAGTAATTTATACGTAATGTACAAGTAGTTTATTTTTTTTAGTTTTAGTTTGTAAGTAATGTAGAAGTAGTTTAATTTTTCTATTGAAATTTAGATTAACAACGCCTTATAATAAAATGCTACTTCATATCTACTAGTCAAGCCAAAACAAACAAACAAATTAGCGATTGCATATTATATGAAAAACAAATAAAATATACATTATTGTCTATTGTATACTCGCCTAATACACATTTAAACAAAACAATTAATTTAAAAATCGAAAATAAATTGAAAAAGTTTTCGACTCGGGTAGTCGGAAAAAAAAATTTTTCAATTTATTTTCGATTTTTAAATTGTATAGTGCCTTCATGTGCAAAACATGTGAAAAATATTAATGTTTTCAAAACAATTAATGTTAAAATGAATTGTGAATAACTATTTTCGTTAACTACGGCCATTTCGGATGTTTTGCAGCATTCGTGGTCACGGGGAAACTGAAGTCTGCTGCAAAGTATCAGCGACATCAAGCCCATAAGTTAACTAAATATATTTTCAGTATTAAACCGTTACAGTATTTTATTTAAGTTCAATCCGTCGGTAGTTTAAAAAGATTTATCACGATTCTCATACCTTAACTTAGCAGGCAGCGCGTGTAGTAGTAATCTTATCAACAGCACGTTTCCATTAAGCGATGCTGCATTCAGCGCTGCAGCGGCTGCAACAGCCACTTTACTGGATGCTGTACATGCGCATACGCATGCTGCGAGACAGGCGCACGCCAGGGCGCAAGCTAGTGTGCAGATGGTGGCGGCTCTTTGCACACCTTTGCCCCCACCACGGGAAGAAATTATTGCGCATGCCGCATTCCCAAGGACACAACATGCGCCAACTATTAAGCCCGATGTGAATACCTGAAATTTTAGTTTAAGAGATTAGTAAAAGTGTATGGAACCGAGTGTGGTTTTAAACCGCATACATTAATATGACTCTACTTTTATATCGTTGGTTTTGTGTTCACATAACAAGGATAATATTTCTAGATCGGGTGAAAGTAACATTTCTGTTACAGCCGTTCATAGAACACAGGCTTTCTCTAAAAAGTATGTTCTCTAAATCTAAACTGGGTACTAAGCATCACAATTTAAAGACTGTCAACCCGCCAACCCACAGCGGAGTAGAGCGATGGGTGCTCTCAAATCTATGAAGAAATAATTTACATGCTGGGCCCTGTGCCAATAACTGAGACTCATTCCCTTTTGCCGAAAGAAAATTGGGCAGCAAAATTAAAGATTTAAAAATACGGTAGATTTAAGAGATTAAGAAAGCCTTTAGACCCTAGCGGGATAATAAATAGTAAGTTAATGTATGATTTCTGATCTACACAGCAAAGTACTTGTTCTATAATGAAAATACTTACAGACACGTCGATATCTTCATAGCAAGGTTCAACTCTGTCTTCTAATCTTGTGCTAGAGTTATATTGATCTACTTCGGTAGCAAAGTTATCATATATTTTAGGTAAGTCTTTCCACGCTATGTTTGTAGCGTTGAAGAGTTTGGCATTCTCTGGTAACGTTGACTTGCATTCTTTGCCTTGCATTCGGAGGAGAAGTTCAGGGATCCACAGATTTAAGCCGAAACCACTGTAAGATGTGATACCGTCGATTACACCACAAAAACAAGTTAAAAGAAAATGAACCTTACAAGATACTTTATAATGTGGTGAAATTTTTCACTTATCAACTAACTATGTCTAAACTTTTAATAACTTATTAAAGGACGGAAAAAATAAAGATACTGTTATAGACAGTTTACGCGAGTAGTACACATTTAAATAAAACACTCCAACGCTTTAAAACACGATATATTAGTAAAACTTATTTGAAAATTATTTTTAATTTCGGCCCGACGTTTCCGAAACTTTGGGCCGAAGTTAAAACTAATATATCGCGTTTTAAACCGTTAAAGTGTTTTATTTAAATAAAGAGTGTAGTTATAATAATTGCTGGTATCATCGGTACAAATGAACTGAATACAAAAAACATAAGTATTTCTGCTGTAGAAGAAAGTAATGTTTGCCTATGATAGCTTTATAAACTCGCCATTTGGTGTTTACAGTTTTACGGTGCTCTTATAAATAAAACTGGTAAAAAGAGAAGTGGAATGTTAGACACCGCAGTATTCTAAAATCTAACTCTACTCACTAACTGCTCTTTCTCTACTTTCTTATTTGAATCCACTAAATCTATCTATCTAACTTACCAACACCATATACAAGTACGGAATACTTACGCCGCCATATTCGCGAAGAACACAAAGAGTATCAGGGAAGATTTCATAGCATACGTCTTCGATACAAACATCTTGAGGTCCTTCAGAACGCTCACGAACAAAGCTTTGGTCCTACTCTCTTCGCCGCTTAAAGACTTTTCTACGAATATATTGTCTTGAATTATCTTCTTTATCTGTAATAATCGGTTTTTGAAAATGTCTAACTGAAGAAAGTGCACTTGGGACTTCGTCTAGAAATCTGAATATTAAATGGGCGGTAGGAACATCGATATTCCTTCCAGGTCGCGAACCGCCGTCCACAGAAGTAAAAGTTTAATCGGTTTCAGTCTATGGATTTCCGAATATCCAAAGTCAAAATAGGCCGACAGCGCATTTTGTTTAGATGTTATATGGTTGGGTGCTACACCTGCTCTCAAGTAAGTCCCATGCTTGACTTCCTCTATATTAAAAGAAAAACTATGATTCGTCTCTGGACGGTCAGTGCTGCCGCCTAGTGGGTGTTACAGACAATTCTTCTTGATTCAAATAATGATAATACGAAGCTCCCAATCCTTTAACATTTATATAGCATATTAAACATATAGCTTCCAAGAAAGAAACGAACTTGTTACGAAGTTTCTTAATTAAATAAACCATAAAATATTTACCTTAAATTCCGAAACAGACCCATTATTTCTTTTATTAATGTAGTTAATAATCTTTAGTGCTTCATCTCCTCTATTGGTATCCGTAAGTAGTCTCGGGCTTTCAGGCAAAAGTAGAAGCCACAGGCCGGATATAAACCCAGGAAGGCTTCCAAGAGCAATATAAAGCCTCCACGAGTGCGTTGGAAACAGAGAACTGTTGCTGGTGTTGAAGGGGATGACTAGCCAGGCGAGTGCTGGAATAAAAGGTAAGGTCAAAAGTTTCCGCTAAGGGCCTTTTCTCTACGAAAGATCTAACAAAAACCATGCGTGGAATTGAACCGTGGAACCACACGATGTTATTGCGTCGGCTATTTATAGTTTTGTTAAGATTTTATTATAAACTACGCGTGATGAATAGTAAAAATGTATATATTTTATAAGTTTCTCATATAAGTGATTCTTGTAATCTTAGTGGGAAATAAATGTCTTTAAACCGGAATTGCTAACTCACTATAAGATATAGCACACAAAATGGCCGCTAAGCTATACACATTTATACCTTCGTCGAAAAAATCTATACTAATATATAAAGCTGAATAATTTGTTTGTTTGTTTAAACGCGATAATCTCAGGACCTACAGGTGCAAATTTTTATTTTCGTTTGAACATTTAACGAGGAAGGCCATAGACATCGCGTTGTAACTAAAAGAACGGAAACAACGGGAAATGTGAAAAACGGGAAAAACCATTCATCTTTGTGGGTTACCGATGCGAACATACACTGCGAAAATGGTTTAAGATATTCCAAAAATATGTATAAAGGAATTATTCTTCTTAAAATGAACTAAAAAAATGTCCGCGACAAGATTAACATGCAAGAAAGACGGGATGCGACTGAAGTCGTCATGGGTAACACACAACAACTATTCTACGCGTTTATTATAAAATAAATTAAATTAAGATCATCGATCGTGGCAACTTTGTGAAAGTACTAAATGCTATGGAAAATTTCGATCTATGGATACAGAAAAAAATGAGATCGCAAACAGGAAACAAGAACTGAAGTGAGAATTTCGCATTGACCCTAATACCGAATTAAAAATGACAGTGCACGTCACATATTATCGGCTCGACAGCTTCTATTTTCACCTGTGTAAAGATTGCGGTCCACAGATAAAGCTAAGAAGCAAAGCGATGTTTAAGTTTTAGTAACACTAAACAGAGTAACACTAATAGGTTTATAATTTTGCCACATAGAACAACTTGAATAAATATTTAAAGTCAATATAAATGAGGTGGTAACGATACCCGACACTGCTCCATGCTGTTTCTATATTCATTCAGCTAAGGAGACTTAGCTCATTCTATAGGTTACGCGAACGTCATATGTAAAGACTGTGTGTAATTTACGCGAGTAGTACACATTTAAATAAAACACTAACGGTTTAAAACGCGAAAAAACAACATACTGGCAAACGTGAAGACACTACTTAGTCAATTCTGCAAGTCCGGCCAGTTTCATCAAATATCAACTACTTTGACATTAGAGATATTCCCCATCCTATTGTTCCCGTGACCACGGCTGCTGCAATAATCCAAAACATGGGGCCTTAGTTTGGATAATAAGTTCAACTAACATATATCGTGTTTTAAGCCGTTAAAGTGTTTTATTTAAACGTCATATATATATATATACTCGTATAACCTAAGACCATATTGTACACTGCATTGCTATAAGGAAACATAGTCTCGCTTACTCTGTGTTCTAGTACCTTGACGCATGATTGATTTACAGTTCTGGAGGTCACGGTCAAATACACTCGAGAGCACAACAGTTAAATAAAACAAGGAAGTTACAATTGCAGCGTTAAAGAAAGTTTTAGATGATCTAGTCTAGATAAGCTATTATGACTTTGTTTCGGGGCCATGTTTTGAAGAAATTTAATTGTTTTTAAATATTTTGCGTGTTCGCATTAGAAAAAGTGAAAGGATGTAGCCAAAAAGCATGCCGCCAAATTTATTACATAAGATTTTACTCATTGTAATAAAACTATTTGTTAAAAATTGATTTTCCATTAGATTTCAATAAGTTAATTTTTTCATACAAAGTCAATAGCGCAAAAGTAGTTTTACCGAACATATGACGTTTTAGTAACTAGAAGTTGACAAAGAGAATGATAACACGCACTTTGGAGCGACTAAAATACTACGCAGATTTTGATGAAATTTTGCAAATACGCTAAATACCTATAAATAAGCTACATTCTATTTTTTTTATTTAATATGTCTAAGTAAGATAAGAGATAGTAACATACCACCCATCATTTAAGTACCTGGTAGTATAAGCCACGCTGCGACGAAGCTCATGCCAACCATGTCGAGGTAGAACTGTCGCTTCTTCACTCCGACTAAGTCTGATAGATACGTGAAGACTAGCGTTGAAGGTGCTCCTACAAAATAATTATTAAAATAAAAAAAGTAAGTTCTTTGTTATGTTGCCGTATACATGGTACAGACACTTGGTACCGACCTGTAATTAATGTACTGTTACTTAAAAAAAAACCGAGTAAATAATTGTGTTAATATCAATTTAATAAATAAAATTTGACACAAAGCGATACTTGAAAAAACCTGATTATCAATGAATCTGGTTCTTGACAATTTCTTTTTTACACTTGTACGTGTTACGTAAGTTTAGGATTGGAGCTCTGGAAAGACCCAGAAAGGTCCTGAAAAAGAATAACTTATTCTAGTGGTTTATTTGTACGTACCGATCAAGAAACCATTTATAGACCTCGCAGCTAACAGAAGCCTGTAGTCAGTAACAGTACTCTGAGCCAGTAGTAGAATAGAATCTACTAGTAGTGTGATACTAAGTACATTCTTTCTACCGAACACATCTCCTACGATGCCCCAGAAGAATGCACTAGCTACTCCACCTGATAACAAAATAGTGTTTGATTAATGACTTAAAATACCAAATAAACTTTGAATCGTTTAAAACCTAAATTAAGTACATAACTTAAATGATCCATTAGTTTTAAATAAAACACATTTTAACGGTTTAACACAAAACATGTAATTTAACTTCTTTTTAATTAACTAAGGCCCAAAGTTTTGGATGCTTTGCGGCAGCTGTGGTCACGGCTACAATAACTTGCATAAACTACAGACGACATTCCGACAATTTCATACGTAATTCGACAATTAATCTTCCAAATAAAAGTAACACATTTTTGGTTATTGCTATATCAAATATTGTCGAAATTTGCTCAGCACTTTTACACACGGTTTTACAGGACTTTCAGTATTCAACGATAAAGGCAAAATAACAAAGATATAATAAATTGTAAAAACTTTATATACATATAAAATCAAGTGCACAAACATACTTTTTAATTATCTTAATAGATCGCTCACGAAAAATAAAATTCAACGCTATCACAGTCAGAAATCTGTTTTCTTGGCAACTTAAGATTTTCAACATTTGAAAATCTTCTACAACCAAAGCTTAAGTAATTTACACCATATTCTTTTTTGTGTTCTTTACCATAGTATTTTTTTCTAATTGTATAATCATGTTTTGGCTAATGTTTAGTGTTAAGTATGTTTAACCGAGGTATACTATGTGGCTGTAGGAATACCAATAAACAAAAAAAATAAAAAATTAACATTCTATTATATTAAATAAATATATTAAAAACAGATAAAAGTACCAACTCAGAATTATGTATGCCTATTGTATTCGCAAAAAGTAGTAATAATATTTTATTTTTGTATTTCCAAGAGAACTAAGTACACACTATGCCATATCAGTTACTAAATATATGCTAAATATATCTAACATATACGATTAGCATATATTATTTGGAATAATATAAAAGGAGTTCTGGGCTTATGTGCTAATTTTCATAAGATACTCTCTACATTGCGTCTGTTAAGTTAATAGTGACATCAGTTTTCAAAAATCATACCACCAGTTGACATCCATTCTAAACGGGCGTAGCATTAATAATATTTGGACAAACCAACAGAATAAACACAGCAAAGATATTTTAAGAAGTGTCTGCAGTTTGCGCGAGTGCAAATTCATATAAAACACTTTTAACGGTTTAAAACGCGAAATAATTGGCTTAACTTATTTTGTTACTTGTATTCTAATAAGACGATGGAGATGTAATTTTCTTGAATAATAATTAAAAAATCATATACATAAATTGTAAATAAGTGAACTTATACCTTTGGTGTTTTAAACCGTCAAAAGTAAAATCTTAGATACATCATTTGTGGTTGATTCTATTTACCAGTTTCGAAGAATAATACGTTTAAATAAAGACGTATCTATGACGTTATAAATAAAGTATAACGGTCAAAGTTTCTGGAATATAAATACATAGATATATAAAAAATTAAAGTTGCAGTTATGACGCACTGTCGGCTCAACAAGTTAACAGACATCTCGCCAATTACTTCGTTTACTTCATTAGACGGAAGGAATTGATCGACAATTAATTAATTTAACTCAACTGCGACGTTCGCGATTCACCTAGCATTTTGCTCGCTTTTTGTCAAAGCACTCGCTATTACCTCTAGAGTTTACAGGAAGGAGACTATAACTATGTAATTATTATTATCATTTAAAAATCTGAATATTAAATGGATTGTAGTTTAAAATTCCGTTCGTTTAAAACGTTCATAGATAGAACAGCCGTTAAGTTTAAATTCGTCAGTCTGTATCTGGTAACAACGTATTATAGATGTTATTTAATTGGAATATGTGACCTTCTAAAAAGTGAATTTGATGTGTTGATATTAGCGTTACTTTTAAAACAATAATCATTTATTCCCAGTACAATAGTTTACACAAAAATACATCAATTACGTATGATAGGTAAATACAACAACAACAAACAAACTACAAAAAATGTACAAACGTGGTTATAATATAACTGGACTTGAACTGAATAAGCCACTCAGCTTGTGGTGAAGCACATTGCGATATACAATAGCACCGATGTTCAGTGGTCGCGGCTTTGAGCGTTTGACAGTCACAAAAGTAATAATTACAAGATCATTGACATAGTAGAGAAGGAAAAAAATAACTTAATATACTAACCACTCATAAAAGCCATGTTGATGAGTCCAGCCTGATAGGTAGTCAGTTGCAGTTCGCAGCGCGCGGCCGGCAAAACGTAGGACATGACGCAGTTCTGCACTCCCGTTGTGAAAAATGCGCAAGCGCAAGCCCCGAGCACGCTACGGCTGAAGCGGCCATAACCTGTGAAACATTGTAAACAGCCTCTGAAGTCTTTGAGAATTTGGAGCAAACATCTTTCTGAGTCCGTTTCTCTAATCGACCAGTAGATCAATCGGTTATATTGTAAAAAGATGACACACAAACCACATTTACGACCAAGCCATAAGCGGTACCACAAATAATATTGTCCCCGATATAATTATGTAGGAATAGTTATTTACCTGTCAATTTGTCCGCCAGCAAACACGACCGCATAGTTCATTATTGAACAATTTGTCGAACAATAACAGCGTGTGTATTTATATAACTGGGCATTGTCTTCACGGCGAGATGATACCATCGAAATAATAACCTCATTTTACGACTACCCACAACTAAGCCGAAATTGTCTAATAAGATTAGTTAATAAGTTACATAAGTGCCCTGTTAATTGAGTGGTAATATTTGAGGTCCTACATTCGAACTAAGGATCGAAATTTGAAATTGAAATTTTTCCCTTTTTTTACTAGCTTGGCGTTTAAAATTAGTAGTCGTTGATTCTGGTTTTCATCGTTAACTCATAAGTGGTATTGTGCCATACTAATGCACGCTCATTGAAGCAACGTGGTGGGCTTAACCAGACTCACTACTACTAGAGACACGTCCCATCTGTGGGACATTTGTTAGTCGCGTTGTTTCAATAAACAAAAAGGTCGCAAATTAGATTTATCCCGATATCCAATTATTTATATTATGCAACCAATTTTTATTTATTGGAAATATGTTCGACCTTGTCTGCAAGATCTAGATATCAAATAGGTGGTAGGAATATCGAATTTCACAAACGCCTCTCTGTAGATGAAAAAGCCGTAAAGTGTAATCGCGTTACGATTTCGTTTGTTCATTTCCAAATGTACAAAGCCAAAGTAGACACCAGGTGTGATCACCTTCTACCAAGAAGCTCATGCTTGTTTATTTTCCTCTATTATAAAAAACTGCTTAACGAAACATCGTAACGTCAAAGCACCAAGAAAAATGTTTCTCTATAAGATTGTGTGTTAAAAAGCTAAAAGCTAGGAAACGTTAGCAATAGTAAATTATGAGGATTTTACGGCGCCGTTTTTACGACTGAAAAACATCGTCATTCACACGAGGCCATCGCGTAAATGGAAAAGTGCATTTTTACTGTCCGTCTGTTTGTCTACCAAACGTAGGCGAGTCTTAGTTTAGTCAAGTCCAATGGTTTTTTATTACAATCGGATAACTAAGGCTAATAACTGTAAAAGAGTGTATCACTGGATCTAATTTCTATGTTTTTTTATAGAAAAGGGTTATTTTTTTAAGGTTTAATTAAACATTCCTATGTTGTAAATAGAAAATATGTTTCTTGAGTATATTCTTTTTTTTATGTAATTTAATTAAAAACGCTAAGTATTACATACATTTTCACATTTAAATAAATACTTTAACGGTTTAAAACGGTAAGTAGTGTTTCTCCCATTACCACAGCTGCTGCAAAGCATCCGAATCGTCGGGCCGTAGTTGAAATAATTTTCAAATAAGTTTAACTGAAATATATAGTTTTAAAATAAGTAGTTTTAAACCGTTAAAGTGTTTTATTTAAACGTGTACTACTCGCGTAAGCTACAGAAAATATACATTTTACCTTTTTATGATAGTCGGGACATGCACCTTAAGGAAGGCGAAATACCTCAGCTATAGAACATATAAACAAGATGTGTTACCGGCCTATTGATTACAAACCATACATCGATATCATTGGACCAATCAAATCTTAACGAATTTATCATTACTAGTTTATTGAATAATCATTGAAAACAATGATAAAACATTACAAATCTAGCCCAGGCTAGGCTTTATCTATGCCTACGTGAACTATTTCCGTTAGAGCGACGTCACAAAAACGTGCTGATGTTAGGTAATCAAAATCGTTATCAATGTAGGTTTTTGATTGCTTTACAACTTTAGATTACGTAGTTGTATAATAATTATTATTTTTTTGTATTTTCGACTTTCGCATCATGTTCAGATGTTATATACCTGTAATTTTTCACCTACGTTCAGGCGAGCCTCATGTTTGTCTGTGTTCTTCTATATTATATAAAACCGATTTTTTAAAATATTTAATAAGTAAACATTTCATTATTTCTTTTTCAACATTTAAGTATTTTGCTATGTATTTCAGGAACTCAAATTTGGGCATTCAAAATTTAACCCATAAATTGAACTTATAAATCATCACATTTACATCATCTTATAGAACATTTGCTGATGCAACAAAGATATATCCACCGTCATTAAACGGGACTTGCAAAAGAAAATGGTGAACGCAAGTAGAACTGGTTTACCACAGGCAATTGTGTCTTGACAATTTTAATTATGTAATGGCAGGTTTTTTGTTGGGCATCCTGCCGTTCTACGGGGAGTCTGTGACAAATATTAGGCGGGAATTATCAATTATTGATATCTTGGAAGTTGTGGAAATAAGTTTATTTATTTAAATAAATCACTAACGGTGTAAAATGCGATATATATTAGTTAAACTTACTTGAAAACTATTTTTACCTACGGACAACGTTTCGGATACAGCAATTGTGGTCACGAGGAGACGGGGACGTTAAAACTAAGTTTACTCATTACAAATAACATTAACAGATTTTGCTAGTTGAAACAGAGAAAAACTTATGTTGCACTTAAAACTGAAAAGATGTCCGTTTACGAAAAATGAAAATGCGTCTACTCTCTGCGTGAGCTTCGTCGACTTAATCTACCAGAAATTCAGGATTCAGTTTATCCTTTTACTGGCTATATATTGTGTAGAGCTTTTCCGAGAATCAAACTCAAACCTCTTGTTAGGCAAGACTGTGCACTACTGCACCAAGGCGACAGCGGTACACATACTTCTGAGTAATTTCTTGTAATTTACTTTCTAAGAATAAAAAATTCGGAACATAAAGTTGTATGACTTTAACACCATTTGTACATAGAAATATTTAATAAGTAATAGCCATGTTTACTGAGATATCTTCTAGATTCTAGAATCTATCTATCAATAGAATATTAAGAAAATATCATAAAATTAATTAATTAAGTAAATTGTATTTTTATGGCGATAACTAGGTTTTGGTTCGCATATAAAATAAGATTGTAACTTACCAGCTTTATCTAAGGCAGTTTCAAAATCAACGATTTCTGAGGATGTCTGCTCATTTCCTTCACCATTCAACCTATGATTAGCTGTAAAAAACATAAAATATCGTATAAAAATAATTTACCATATTGCATTAAAAATATTAGCGCTGTATATACATAAAAATTATATGATCGTCTTTTTAATTAACCTTAAATAAATAATAATATTAATATATAATAAATATTAACAATTCTGAAAACGATTCTATTCCCATCTTGTGTGTCTTAGTTTTGTTTTCCCGTTGTAGTTAAAGTATTAAAATTTTGATGACATGTTGATTTATAGCCTGTGTCACTAAAATTATTATTACTTAATTAATTTGAATTTTAATGTCGATTTTGAAATTGTTTATTGTCTTCGCTGGGACTGGGTAAAATTATTGCATGCTGAAAGTATCTATTGTCGAAGCTAAGCTTTTTCGACAGCCTCGTTAAAAGAATGAAAGCTGTATATAATTAAGGGGTGAGTTAGTTTGAGTTTTCTTAAAAATGAAATTTTTTCTAACAATTTTTTTATATATTTATTGAAACATTTTAGTCTTCATCTGGAGAATCTAGACATTAAATGGTTTGTAAGAATATTGTTGCTTGTCCTCCTCTGTCATAAAGAAATATATACGTTTTCAGTTCGAGTTCAGTTGACGTTTACAAACTTGACATACGTTGTTTTATCGCCGCATGTTTGACTGGTGATAAAACTTTTATACACCAAATTGTTAATTTTAAACAAGTTACTTGAATCGACGTAGGTACTTTGTTAATAAAACATCGTTTAACTTAACATTACTTATTACGGACTATTACAGTGATGTGTATACTATATTTTATGTAGTATAGAAAATGGTATTTAATTAAAAATTGGTTTAATTTCTCATCACGAAGACAATTTAAAAAAAATAATTTTAATGTCAATAATCGTACTCACGACTCTCATGCTTCGGTGCTATCTTGCAAACCATTTTGCCACCGGGTGCGGTCTAAACGAAAATCACCGAGCACATTTATTAAGAGTCCGCGCGCTATCCGTGCTGCGTCCGTCAATACACTGACCGGCCGTTACAGAGCTAGTGGTGTTTATCAACTCCACTCTTCATAATGGACGGAGAAAGGTGCACGAAAAGCCGGGTCAACGGCCGCTACATTTGGCAGCCCTTAACAACCACCGAAAGCTCTACACACCAAAGAAATTATGAGATACACAGCTATCTACAAATATGTGCTATTTGCAGATTAATTTATGAATTAAACGGTTATTTATTAAACTACTTGTTCACGCTCCACAAAAAACTGTATATATGTATAATTATTTAAATTCGAATTATTTTTAATTATTATTTTCTTAAATTAAAAATCGATTATAAATTGAAAAAAAATGACGACACGGACAGGACTTGAACTAGCATCTACAGCGTCCCGTGCTGTTGCTCTAACCAATTGAGCTACCGCGTCATGGAAGCTATTTTATATAGCGCCATTATGTGCGACATATGAAGTATTAAAATTTTCAAATATTATTAACTGACTATATATTTTTAATTTGTATTTTGTATATATTATTCTATAATCCTGTTAAATCTATTATATATTCTCTTTTCCGATTTTACACTTGGCTTTATGTAAGGTATCAATTATACAATTGAAGAAACACAATTATATTACGCAACTTTTCATTTAAGTTCGATGACATAATACAAGAATGTGTACTTTATTGTCTCGGAAAAATGGAAAAAATGTTCGCTTATGCATTTTTCTTAGTAGCGGAATCGAAATTACGTATGAGAATATCGCTGTTTAACTAATTGTGATTGAAATTGCGTCATATATTGGGAGCAATGCAGTTTCAAACTTTTAGGTAAAGACTTTGTATTTCATGGTGCTTGGTTTTCAATGGTGAACTACTAGTCTCCTTTTGATTTATGTATCGGTCGACGACAAAGGTCGATAGCGCATCTTGTTTAGATAGTTTATTCCTCCCCCCCTCAGTTGAATCTCATCCTTGTCTATCTCGTTTCGTCATAAATTAACTTCCGAAACCGCGGAAAATACTAGTGAAGCAACCCCAATAACAATTTTCCTCATATTTTACTTCGCACGTTAAGCGAATTGTGGCTCAGCCAGCGATTAATGGGTTGTATATACTTAGCTAATGCCATTTACGTAAGTCTAAAAATATAGTGTAGATAATTTTAGTATTTTCTACATTCCGCCTTTTCTCTTACGAAGATTCCAGTCCCTGGCGCCAGTTGACGCCACGCTAATAACTTAGGGACTAGCTAATATCAGGGTTGCTACGAAAAAAAAATTACTTTGCAACAAAACAAAAAAAAAATAATATGCTTTAACAGTAAAATGTTTGTTAATGTTTTGAAATATAACTTTTATGTCTGTTTTCTTCGTATGTTTGGTTTCTAATCTCTTGTCTACTAGTCTCTGCTGTAGTGTATCTGTTTTTTTCATCTGAAACTGACATAGTACAATGTCTGTTCTGTGAAAAAAACAGATACAAAATTAACACACTTTTGTAACCTTATAATATATTTTTTATAGAAAAAAGAATAATATTCGGTTAAAATCATGAAAATTTAAATTTTTAATGTTCTAACAAATTTGCCGTCAAATAATTATATAAAAATAAAGATGTTTAAAATGGTATTCAGGTAAAGTTATACATTTGACTAATAAGTTACTTACTTTAAAAGCACCTTAATTAACAGCTTCGGATTTATTTTACGAAAGCCGCGGTGCAACTGTAGATCGGAGGGCCCCTGAACTCGTACTTTTCCCAGGTGAGGTTTTTCAATAATATGAAATACAATAAATAATAAAGTATAGCTTGTTTACTGGCATCTCATAAATTTAAATAAAAAAAATTGGAATCTCAATTACGGAGCCCCCACTGGTAGCCTCTGTAGTCCCGCTTAAAGCCAAACTTGTACCAAAGGGATCAAACTCCGGTTTCGATTCGAGCCACATTCGGCTAATCCCTAGATATTGGTAGCCCTAACATAAGAGGATAATTACTTCAAAACTATCTAGATCATCCATTTGCTAGATACGAGCACAAGTGCGATAGTTCTTTGCGAAGTAATAGTCGCACAATAAAAAAATAATTTGTTAAAAAGTTTCATAATCCTTTGACACTTGGATTTGTTGGTCTAGTGGAAGCATTATGTGGATAATAATTAGCAGGCCGTGGGTTCGATCTCCGCCGGGTTTCTAATCAATGGGTGAAAAAGCCGTGTTTAATCGCGTTTCGGTTACAGTCTGTGGATTTCCGAACAAATGTCATAAATGTACCCCATAATTAACCATCCTCCTGTATCATGAAAAAGCTTTGATTTAAGTCCCAGAAACTCGAGATCATGTCTTACTTTTGGAAAATGGGATTTCACTGCCAAAAGTACGAAACATAAATAATTAATAGCAATTTAATGACAATTTTTAATGACTCCAAGTGTCCGTAAATCCTTCATTATATAAGGTCTAAAAATGTCTGTTGCGACACTGTTCGAGGTGCTGTCTTCGACAAGACGATGCATAAATTGTCTGTGACTATTTTTAGATTTCTAGACATTCCTAGGGGATCGTGCGCCTGTTAGTGTGACTAAAATGCTATTTTTTGTAACCTGACTTGTATAATCTTAGTAAATAAACATACCTTTAGCATTGTCTGTAGTTTACGCAAATCGTGCACATTTAAATGGAACACGTAACGAAAATCAGAACCATCCATGTTCAGTCCCCTGTGACCACGGCTTCTGCAAATCATCTGAAATGTCGGTTAGTTTTAAAATCAAAATAAACAGTTACGTAAAATATATTTCGCGTTTTAAACTGTTAAAAAAGTGTTTGATTTAAATATACTAACCTTAATTTAGTACTGGTTCCATTAATAAGTATTGTGATTAAATGTAAATCCAAGTACCAATTATGGGGCATGGGACAAACTAACTTCTTTACTTTTCTACTTTCTTATCCTCAGTTACGAAGCACCAATCTTTAAGAGTTCCAAGAAACACTGAAAATGCTGTATAAGCTTATAGTAAATTGACATTGCAAAAAAACGGATACAGATAAATGTCTGTTCCAGTCCAGTAGTTTAATAGATGAAATCATTTATAGTAAGGAGTTGATATCAAGAAATATATAATTACAACGCCAATGAGGCGTTTTAGACTTTCACTTGAAGTATTACATTAAAATCTAATTATATTATGACTTACAGTATTTTATTAAATAGATAGAAATGTGACACGTAAGTTCTAAGCTAGAGAAAATATGTATAAATATAGACTATATAGGTAATTCGTGCTTTTCGTTTGTTATTAATATATTAAAATCAATTATATGATTTTTTAAAGTAATTAGTTATCTATAGCCAAATGGTTAAACGTATTGCCCAGCATTGCATTACGCGCGAGAGGTTCTGGGTTCGAATGCCAGGAAAACAAAAAAAATGTTTCGGTCGGGCAGGACAGAGAAGTCTGATCAACTACTTGCATGTTAAAGAACGGATCATACGGACACAGATTTGCCCAAATTCCAATAGGGGAATTTGATGGTCCGACAAATCTTACTATTAAATACTTAATAAAACATGACGCTCATTTCAATTCCAATAGATTTGAGGTGATATTTTTCTAGCTATGTAGGTATAATTTTTCTGCAACATAATGGACTTTGTCTGGTAATCTGGATATTAAATGCGTGGTACGAATTTCAAAATTCCGTCCTGGCCACGAACCACCGTCCACATGTAAAAAAGCCGTGAAATTTAACCTTGTGTCGGTTTCAGTCTGCCATTCCAAATATCCAAAGCCAAAATAGGTCGACACCAACTTATGTAGTTTGCTGGGGGATCTCACACATAAGTGAAGAAATCGATCTTAGTCATAAAAAAAATCTAATAGAAACGAAGAACAGCACCTATTTCTTGTCCTTGTAAACGAAACACCAGTACACCAACAGTAGACGACACGTCTTTATTTAAAATACGAGAGACGAACCCGTAACACACTTAATCGGTTACATTGTCCGCTTGGCAACAGCCCCCCCCCCCCCCCCCCAGTCATTAACCCCATACCGAAGTGTCAAAAATCAAATTTAAAACTTTTGTAACCGTAAGTACGAAGTAATTACATCGTGTCCAAGAATCGAAAACGCGTATAGAGCCTTCGTAAATCATTATTGAACACGAGGTGAGGCTTGACTTTGAACTTGGACAGTCGCGCACGAAATGCTACCGTCTAAAAAAATTATCTTCTCGTCTTTTTCAAAACACACAGTTCTTGTAATGTATGTTCAAATTTATATATAATATTATATTGATAAACACTTTAATTAAATTATATGACATAACTTTTACACTTTACTGTTATTCATTTAAACACTTTACAATGCGTCCTTCACAAGAGACACGCTTTATTTTATACACTGTTAATTTGAGAACCGCAACGTAATCTATAGTCAATCGAGCTACTTTTTATAGTAAAAGAACATTTAAAATGACGGACGGTCGGTAATTATCGACCTCCTATGACCACTCGCCACACAGTCAGACATTTGACACATTTTCTCATTAGTATAAATAAAGTGAATTATACGCAAAAGAAAACTTATACTTTAGAAAAGTTAGATTTTTTATTTAAATAGAACAAAGTAAGAGTTTACACCCTTTTTATTAAATTTAAATGTCCAAAAAGATGACAAAATTATTCTATTTTTTTTTTCAATATTAGTTTATTTATTGTCATCTCTATCAACAGTTATTAATTTTGAGATTGGGCGCGGCCACAGTAAGTCTTGAATGTATTAAATATCTAATCTTAATGCATTTTCAAGATCACTGTACAAGCTTGGAATATTTCGAAGAAGCAAAAGTAAAACCGATTGGTGTGTTTGCGTCGCGCCCCAAAACCGCGCATACGTTACGTACGGTTATGTGCGTACTTGACTTTTTGCTTTTAAGGCGCTTCACACGAATTGGCGAACAAGCAAATTATAACATATGTAGTGATTTGATTAAAAGCACTACATATGTTATAATATTAATAACGACCCCTTAAGCGACATCAACGAACAAAATAACTATTTAATTAACTATTAAAATAATTGTTAATTAAATAGTTATTTTGTGGATTGAAAAAATGTTCTAACACTAGCGGACTTGAGCAAACATCCACAGCGTTTCGCATCCACAGAAGCAGCTAAGAATGTTTAAGTAATTTATATGCCATTATGTACAATCACATGTGAAAAATAACATATTTATTAAAACCCATATGTACCATTTTGATTACGTCCTTGGTCTCCCCGAGACCATGGCTGTATTCAGCCATGAGATAGTCAGTAGGTATAAGAACCAATTAATTAATACACATATCTCCTGTTTTAAACTGTCAAAATAAATTATTAAATATGTTCAAACATTTTAAATTCGATAAAATTCTTAATAATCGTGTCTCGCTCCTTATTGCTTACTGCAGGTTTTTTAGATTACTATTTATATGATAAATGAGAAGTATGAATAGTTACTTGGTAATGGCGCTACTCGTGTGTAAACCCCACCCCAACCCACCCAAATTTCACGGTGACTTGTTATTTATGATCCACGCCATCTTTCCCAAGGACGTGTCCAAGTTCAAAGAAATATATAATATCGTCGACATTTATCAAAGAACGGTACAAGGGATTATGCATTTTTGATTTCCACTCATAATTAAAATCTGCAAATCGATTGAATGAGATACCATTAAAAAATATGAAACCATTTTTAAAGTATTTTCTAGCGATAAGTTGTTGATAAGAAAAAAAATGAAATTAGATTGCAAACAAATCGATGACATTTGCGGGAATCGAACTTGTGTCAATTTTCAGACAAACTTGTTAATTAAATGGTAGCAATGTACCTATGCATTATAATTACAAGTACACAATTAGGTACAAGATGGTTCTAAAACTCTATAATTGTTTCGAATCATCCTGGACTCCGTCTGGGTTGGACTCTCTAGGTATAAAATGAGTCGAAATTCCATCCCTCACGAAATCACCATCCTCAGATGAAAGAGCAGTGAAGTGGTAAATCTGTGCTTTTCAAATTGTCCATTGACCAAATGTGGGAACAGCTCATCTCATACCGATGGTGTGAGATGGGCTCGTGTCGTTTCTCTCGTACCTCCTTGAGCAGATTAAAAATATTTTTATGGCCTAACCGGAAATCGAGCTCCCCAACTTGCAGTAGACCGGCACGGGCCTCAAATATGTGTCGATTTTCATACTAATATATTATTTATTATATTATTTTTCCAGTCGATAGCTTCGTTTACAAAAAAACGAAGACTTTCCAATCAATTTAAGTATAATTCTCTAATGGGCAAACAGTTTGACATTGTGGCATTTGTGTGCAAAAGACGCGTGCGAGAATGTGATCGGGATCATTCACCTTTTATTAAAATACCTTACATTATTAAAAAAACTGTCTTCTGTTTCTTCGCCGCGAATTTCCTTGCGTTTATATAAGTTAAGTAAATTACTAAATATACTGAGAAAGGCATCGAGCAGACAAATTTTTATGTCATTAACAATTTTTACATCATTCCGATTTAAAAAGTAGATAAAGTTTTCCTGGAGCATCGAACTCAAGACGGAAAAGGAGAAAATAGCGCATTCACAACTGAGTTATAGGTACGTAAGCTTGATCAAAATTAAAGATTTTCTTATATTTGAATTTCTTTAATATATCAGTGGCCACTGGTATTATTAATTACATAAACAATCATACAATATTTGACGATTTTTCAATTACATCGCAAAATTACAGTTCATTCAGCAATTCTTTTAAGATACATGCGTAGGAGCTCCTGCTGTATTTACACTACAAGACAGATATACAAACTTACGTGAAACTATTTGGTTCAATTATAAAATGCTTAAGTTGGGTTACATTACACTTTATACAAAAATATACTTAAAGTTAAAACGACACCGCTCCTAAATAAAATAAAATAAGCTAAGGAATGAGAATTATAAGAGAAAGAAAGAAAAGGCACTGGAGTTATTTCCCCATCTGCTCATTTGAAGACGTGTTGGAATTCATGATGCAAAGATAGATGAAGCTAGAATTCTGTGACTAAAAAACATTATCTTTCGCTAAACATATGCTCCTAGTGTTTAGATTTTTTCAAGAAAAAATTCAATTAACTAGGTACTTTTATCGAACCGGTTTAAAATGGAATTCAACTTTAAAAAAGAGGTAAAATTAGGGAATGGTGACATTATTTGTGACAATACTTCATTTAATTAAAAAAAAATGGAAACTATTTTATTACAAAATATATAATAATAGAAACAACATTATAAACTAATGTCACACTTCCTAATAGACAAAAAAAAACAGAATTAAGACGACTTACAAAGAATAACGATATCGCAAAAGGCAAGGTAATTGAAAAATCAAACGGTCATTAAAATCAGAATCGCTCTTGCGATATTATTAGATTCTGTAAAGTTAAAATAGTTCATATAAATAATTTGAAAATGTTACAAGAAGAAACAAAGCAGTCATTTATAGTTGAATTCCGATTTTAAACCCACAATTTCTCGAAACTCATGCCGATGTAAAAGAAATTTAATGATGTTGCTCTTCTTTGAATAATCTTAAATCAATTGCTGGGATATCGGGACTGTCACACGGTACAGGTTCGTTCCTGTCAATAAAAAAGTATTAGCTTCTTATCCTTCAACTAATCTTAAGTAATTTGTATGTGTAACATTACGTTAGGCTAATAATCCTTGGCTCGATTACAAATTTTTTGATTGTTATTTATTTTTGATATATGAAAAGGCTTGTTTATTTATTTATCGTTGGCACAGACATGGAAATGTATCTAGATAGAAAAAACTCACCCCGGTAGATCTGCTCTAAGAAAAGCGTTCGGAGACTGCGACACGAGTTCAATGTGGTCACTATTGTCGCAAATTATCCTCGACAAGGTCGCTTTCTTGAGCTCCAGCAATTGACCTGGTGGGATTGTAATATTTATATTATGATAGACATCGACAGACATAATGGTGTGGGGCATGGAGTAGTAATGGGGGCATGACAGTAGGCAAAATGGCTGAGGTAGCCATGTAACATTTAAACAAGATATGCTGTCGACTTATTTTGGTTTTAATATCTGAAAATCCACAGACTAAAACCGATTTTTCCGCTGTGGACGTTCGTTCTAAGAAAAATTTAGAAACTGTTAGTAAATGTAAATTTAGAGGTTTTAATTTTTAATAAGTATACCTAGCTATTGACATAAATTAATGATTGTTGATTTGATTTGTATTTGTTTTTTCATGCCATTAATTATAAGAACCCACTCAGATATAAGAGAAACGTCATAAGGATATATAAAAAAAAGAACTTACTAATTGTAAATGCGCCTGGATTGACATCGGGCCCATGTTCAAAGAAATATCTATCACCCGCCTTCAGCCTTGCGAACTGATCGGCCAATATTTGGGAAAACGTTGGCCCCAGCAGTCCACCATCTATCGGCTTCTCTAGAAGCCCTCCGATCCACAGGTCTATATCTTGGGGTGCACCGTACACTGAAGCTAGACGCTGGGCTGCCTGAAATGTTAGGAAGAATTACTATGTATTAGATTCCTTTACAAGGCTGCAGGCAGTTCCCCCATGATAACTGCTGCAAAGCATCCGAAACATCGGGAAGTATTTAAAATTAGATAGAAATAAATGAACTAATATATTGCGTGTTTTAAGCCGTTAAAGGTGTATTACTCGCGTAAACTACAGACAATATTAAATATGACGGTATCACGTTACAGAATAATGTTGGTGGTTAATTATTGTCATCAAATTTTAACAAATAAAAAACTTGTAATCGAACCAAATTCTAACCGAAATAACGTTTGCCGGACTGGCTAGTATTTTATTGAAACGATAAATGGGCCTTACGTTTGGAGAAAAGGTAGTAAATTCAAACGGATTCAACCCAATCAGCATTCGGTAGTCGTTGTACGGTCGAAGCCCATAGTCCCTGCCTCGTTGTATGTTCATTGCTGCCAAATCTAAGCCGTAAGGGTTTCCACCGTGAAATAAGAACTGGGACAGCTGGAAAAAGATTTAAAAAAATTAGCAATGCAATACACAGAAAATTAAGAGGAATTTCGCGTGCAATTGAAAAAACTCCACTGACTAAATATCACGATACGTCCATTGGTCCGCCATTTTGTTTTTTTTTATTTTTGGTGATGACATGCATGATGCAACATCTAAACAAGATGCGCTGTTGACATATTTACGCTTTGGATATTCGGAAATCCACAGACTGAAACCGACACGCAATTTACTCCGCGCCTTTGTCACATGATGGTAGTTCGTGATCCAGACGGATTGCAATTTCGGAAGAAGTCCAACGAGTTAAAAAAAATATATAAGAGATTTATTATTATTGAAATGCGTTTGACCCTATGGGAATCAGACCCACGACCGATTGCCTACCAATACCATAAACCAGCGATCGCGTTAAAATTATTGTATTCAGACAAGACAAACTCAAATTAGTTGAAAAGAATAAAGATTTTACAAGCAAATCTTTGATTAGACGGTAGTGTCCTAAACCGAACCTTAGTCTGCCTGTGTTTTTAACCGCACACTAACGTTACATTACAAAATAGTTGTAGAGAGGCAATAATATGCTCAAAACTACTTACAGAATTAGACATAAAAGGACCAACATTCAGCATTGGTTGCCAAGACATTCCAACAAGAATTCGGTCTAAAAATGGTTTCAAACGAAGCCGAGATGGTTGGAACATTACTTCTGGTGTAGACAATGTTTCAGATACTTCACCGGTCTGTGGATTGAAAAGCCTGTAAAAAAATAACAATAAGTTTTACTAAGGCGTAACTTTGTCTTAAAAAGGTTTAATAAATGAAACTGTGATTGGAATTTATTTCTAGGTATTACATGCGAAATATATTCGTTAACTTATTTTTCTATTTATGTTAATGTGGTAACGGGTGGACATAAGATCCGAAACAGCAGATCTAAACCGTTAAAAGTGTTATTTAAATGTGTACTAATTGCGTAACACAGTACAGACAATAATTTCTAATTGTTTTGTTTGTTTATTTTTACAACTTCTCCTTGTTAGGGCTACGCTTATGTTTTGAATCAATGGTTTTTAATAAAATTGAAGGACAATGCGTTTTTAGCCTACATGGGTAAATGACTTGAAAAAAATGGCCTGTATTCCTGTTATTCTAATATATACATTCCTTATAACATTTGTATGTGATAGATATAAAATATAATACAAATTTTAATTATTCAACTTTGCTATAACTAATTTATAAGGCGCCATTAATTAAAATATTACAATAGTTTTTAAAAGGAAAGAACAAAATATACTCAAATATATAGTATAAATTTTCGTGACTGTCTTTTTTAGTAAGAAAAGTACCTTATAATTTAGTATTAAACGGGAATCGGTCAATTATTTTAAATAGATTTTAATATTTGCAGAACGAAATCAGATTTTTAATTCCTATAATGTCGTCATGTGAAACCTAGTATTCAAATATATACTATTATTCTAGAATAAGTTTTATACCAAATTATTGTATTTCAATCCTTACATCATTTTTCCATCTACCGTGGAGTGACCAAACCTCATAGCGGCACTCGCAAACTCAGCTGTTACGGCTGGGTTGACTCTTGGATCATAATTGGTAGAATAGCCCTTAGTTGGCGTTATTCTGAAGAGCTTCATTAATTTCGTTCCTGTAAATATAATATGTAGTGGTTACTTTTAAACAGAATTTGACTACAACAGCACTGAGCAATGTTTTTCGTGCCTTAGCACAAGCAATCCATTTTTCTTCTTTCTAAAACGTTTTATTTCTGAAACCTTTACTTCTTCATTTGCAAAATATAAACATGAATCACAGATGAAAAATCCACGTCTCAGTCTGTGGTTTTATACGGTTTACCTTCCGTCAAGAGGATCTTATCATTTTCTGTTCTACTCCTAATTACAAACAACTTATAAGTATGGAATAATGTGATCGTATTTTATATTAACGTATTTCTAAATCTAGGTCTTTGTATAGGTATATCCTCTGAGCCACACCCGAATAATTTCAAGAAGACACACAGTCATCGTGAATATCATCAGAAGTATTAAATAAACATTAACTGAAATGATAAAATAGGTGCCATATTTCTATTTACATACAGGATTAAACGGTGAGAAGAGATATTGTATAATGTATGTCATGAGACTTTGACAAAAGAGACATAATTTTTATTAAAGCACTGTAAGCAATGAAGAAAACAGAACATAGAATTTACAGATTAACAAACCGTTTACATTATTACATGTAAGTTCGCATATGTTAACGGGCTTGATGCTTCAGTAGTAGTGGTATTAGATTTTTTTGCAATGTCTGGAAAACCTAGATTTTAAATGTATGGTTGGAATATCGAAATTTTGTCCAAATCACAATCGTCCTCAGATATGAGAGCCGGGAAACTCAAGCACGTTTCAATAACAGCCAGTGGATCCTATGTCCTAATCATTCGACAGCACATATGTGTTGTATGTCTCTATCGAAAAATAAATCCAACTAGGATTTGTCATCCCGTCTTAAATTATAAGAACGATGTTAAATCTAGTGCTAAAACTAAGGTACCTATTAACAATGGTAGCCACTCTTTGTAGACTATATTCTGAAACTCCGCTTGTACTATTCGCCTGGCTTCATGAAAGATCTTCTCTTCGTCCCACTCTGGGTTTATTAAGGCCAGAGCTCTGGCGATTCTATTGTGTTCTCTTAAGAAAAGAGTGTGCAGCAATGTTAAAGATATTATTTGGTTTCCACGATTGTCCCCTGAAACATAACAATGGAGACGATATCATAACTATTATAAAATAGTGTATAGTTATTAATTACACATTTCAGAAATAGAGATTTTCAGAAAATAAGGCAGTAGTTATTTTAATTATCAAACTTTCCTTACAGCGACAGTTGAACAGATTTAATTATTTTTGTATTCAATCATCAATTCTTGAAGACAAAACTGTTTTGGTAGTTATATTCATGGCGTATATTGTATGTAAAAATATGAGTTATAGTTTAAACGTGGAATGTAAATTATAGTGAATTAAAATACAAATTTTATTACAATAACCGACTGGTGAATAGGTCGATAGTGCATCCGAATTGAATGATAAAGAGCTGAATTTCACCATTTATCAAAATGGATATTGCTTCTTAATTTTCCCAGCTGTTTGGCTGGAAAGAAGTCTTTCATCGTGAAACCTTACACGCTAGTTTATCTGCAAGTGCTAAAGATCTCTTCTATGTATTCAAACATTGTTCATTGCATTACGTACCGGAATCAAAACAAGCTGCGCCGTGTTTTTCAGTAAGACACTCGTGTCTCTTCGTGAGCGGAAGCAAAGTTCTACCATAATCATGGAACGACTTCAGCAGGCCCCCGACTCCTCTCAAACTTCGTGATTTCTTTAAGGAACTGCCATAAACTTGCGACAAATCCAGGTAATGTGTTGCACCATTCATCTAAAGAAACGAAATGTAAAAAAAAAATTTACTTGTTAACAAAAAGACTGTCTACATTTTTTATATTTTGATCTTAACATAATTATGAGACTCGGAAATATCTCACACATAAAGACGAAAATTGTGTAACTTGTTAATCACATACAATATTGTTTTCTACAGTGATTAAATGTTATTTCACTGTTTAATGTTTGTCAAAGTCTGCTGATTTCCAACTTTGATAACGCAAAAGAGAATGTCAAAAAATTATATCCTATAACTAATTATCTGTATATTTTATTGCAAAAATAACGTTTCTTAATAATTAAAGTTCGAATTTTATTTTAAAGAAGGATAACAAAAGATTCTCATGATGTCTATAAGAAGATACAAAATAAATTACGTGGGTATTTTTTTGTCAAAATACAGAAAAAATACTTTTTTCTATATTTTCACAAATTATGTATGTCTGTTGTCGCTACAACAGCATATAACATGAAATATTGTATGCTTTACATTATATAATGTGACATGTACCTGTTGACATTCGTTTGTTTCTTTCAATTGAAAGATTTTTGATTTTAATTTTAAACTCATCTTAATCAAAGCTAGTTTTAATCTCTGTACGGAACCCATCTTGTGCGTTCCGACTCGAACTTAGACATATTTTAATTACCTGCTTCGCATACCCGACCACGCAATCGCTCCAAGGTGCTAGCTGGGTCCTGACGAAGTTCAAACAACGCTTGTCGAACTGCCCGTAAAAGGGATCCTTAGGACTCACGTCTATGGCTGCGCAAGCCCAGTGCTGATGCTCTATGGGGAGGTGGGTTCCATCAGCTGAGCAGCATGAAGGTACTGAATCATTGGCTGGAAAAAACAAATATAAGCTCTTAAACGTTACTGTAATGTGGAGTTCGTTTAATATATGAATTTATTATTTTGATAGCTATTGTATAAATATTTTTATTGATATTGAAATAAAACTTATAGTTTGATAGGATATTAAAATTAAATATAATCGCTAAGCTGTGACGGGTATAGTAGCACTGTGTGGCTAAAAATCAACGGGTTATAAAATTTTTCTGCAACATGTTGTACTTAGTTTGGAAATCTGGATATTAAATGAGTGGTAAGTCGACATTCCATCCGGGTTATGAACCACCGTCCACAGATGAATAAGCCGTGAAGCTTAATCTCTCTCTCTCTGTGTATTTCCGGATATCTAAAGCCAAAACAGGTCAACAGCGCATCGTCGTCAGCAGCACTTGCTTAGATGTTACTGTTATGTTATGACTGAGGTATTATTATTTTCTATTGGAGACACCGATAAAAGGCCCGATGAAGGTCCACATTATATGCTGACTAAGTATGTTACCCATTTTCCCATTTCCCAACGGAAGACTGGTGATTGGAGTATTTCACCTACCCTCAACTGAACCTGTGTTTGTCCTCCTTTATCATAAAGAAACTTCTAAATTTCCATATTTTCTGATATACGAGTACATAGACAAATAACTTGGATCTTAGTAAGTGGGTGAGTGAGAACTTATTCGATAATCGATGTATCAGTTACCTGTTCTAAAAAGAACTCCTGCGCTCAAATCGTGAGCCAAGAAATGTCCAAACTGCATGAACATGAGGTTGTGTGAGCGGCTCTGGTGGTTCTCAGCCAACAAGAGGGCGTTGCTGACGTCTCTGGCACTTGGAAGCGGGGATCCTGAAGCGGACAAGCGGAATGCCCAGGTACCTGTAAAATAAATAATGAATACGTAAGGCCTCCTTAGTTATTGGTACAAAGTTTTCGGTTTGAAATAACGTTCCAGCACTTCGTTACCTCAACCCCGGTTACAATGAAAACGTTTGAAGACTTTAATATTTTTCACATGTTATTGCACATGATGGCGTTATACATTCAAAATTCTATTTTAAATCAGTGAAGTAAGAACAATGCCAATAAATGAGTTTAGATCGTATGTTAGATAAAAACTGCTTGGAAAGTATTCAAAATCGTAAATCAAAATTTTAATGATAAAAATGCTTGGGGTTTTTTGGAACCCGCTCTAAAAAAGAAAAAAACGTACTCAACAAATGCGTAAGGAACTTGTAACAAAAACCAGACGTTTGAAAACTTCATTATTTTTTCGACTCGGGCAGGACTTGAACCGGCATCGTCAGCGTTTCTCGGTCGTGACTCGGTAGCTCAATTGGTAGAGCAACAGCACGGAACGCTGACGATGCCGTTTCAAGTCCTGCCCGAGACAAACATTTTTTCAATTTATTATATGATTTAAAAAAAAAACAGACTATAAAAGGAGTGACGGCGAGTTTCTTGCCAAGTCTTCTCGTTTGTTCTATGCCCTTAATTCGGAAACTGATAGTAAATGTCAATCTGTAAGTGTAGTAAGCTACCTACATACATAATTTTTGATTGTTTATATATTACCATCCCTATAGTCCGGAGGTAAGACTCTCTCGTATGCAGTGAGAGCGGCTCCCCAACTTGGATGATTGAAGTTGTTGCAATTGCCGTCTATTCTTCTGTATTTGCTCGGTACATTTGGACAAGAAGGTGGCTTTGGGCAGAACAGACCTAAGTGGAGATATTATTTATACTATTGATTAGATTACGGAGTTAAGACTTACTTAAATTATTAGAACTTGGTGTTCAAAATGGCCGCTCGGCGTAGTTCAGCCTATCTGCTTTTCTTATTGAAAGCCAATTTAAAAGCTGGCATTGTTAATGTAATGTAAGCTATGATAGCACTAAAGTGATTAAAATTATCTTTTAATGGTAGGTACACGTATGGTTTGAAGAAATCCGATGATGGTGTGCGAAACACTCAATTAGTTAGAGCAGCAGGAACGCCGTGCACGTTGGTACAAATCATATAATTTTTGCGATCTAAACAGAATTTAAATACTGTCTATAGTTTACGCGAGTAGTACACATTTAAATAAAACACTTTAACAGTTTAACTAATATATCGCGGATTAAACCGTTAAAGTGTTTTATTTAAATAAACAGAATTTTATTTTATAAAACTTTTTCTACTCAAACTGTAAGCCGTTCATGCCTGCTTACGTCCTAGCAATATTTATAACCATAAGATGAAATTAAAAACTGAGTTTAAAAAACAAACCGTATGTGTCCTGAGTCAAGCCTAGCGCAAGATCATCGTCAGATATAGCTTGACGTGCCCTCAACTCTTGCGCAGCGAAGACATTGAGCAGTCCACCGTGGCCCACGTCAGTCGCCTCTTTGATATACTATTTTCAATAATATAATGAATATATACGTGCAAGACATAATGTTATAACGGTAAAAAGAATATGAGCGATTTAAAACAGATAAATGTTATACTTGTCAGCTACGTTCGTTAAGCTTTTTATATTGTCAGACAAAAGAACAGCAAAAAAAAGAATTTTCTAAACCACACTTGGGAAAGTTTGTCAAACATGTATGAAGGAAAGTGGATCTTTTAATTTTGGAAAAAAGATGTAGTATTTTTTAACCAACTTCAAAAAGAGTTTTTCGATTCGATTTACTTGTTGGCAGGCAACTTGTATGAATTGTGTTTGATAGCTCTTTGTTTGTTGGAATATAAATATGTGCAATTAGTCTCCTTGGTAAAATTATTTCTTTCTTTTTTTTTATATTTACTGTTTGTAGTCGGTTATTTTTTTCCGAATCTGATGCTAAACATTTTACCTCATGCTGACTATAAAATGGCACTGTCTCCCTCTGTATACTTGTATCTCTGTCTAGAAGTGTTTCTTTCCTTAACCAGTCTGAAAGCTTCTGCAAGGAAGAATTGTGAACTGCTTTGACATCTTCTATGTTGATTGATGAACGAGAAGCTAAGTCCGGTTCAGCTAAAAAATAAAAATAGTACTATAATAATACCTCGCCCATATAGAATGATCAGTTTGACATGCATTTATGTCCCTTACATTAGGGATAAGAATCATAATGATCAAGAACTTATCACCATTAATAATTATTAAAATTATAAATTCTAATTTTAAAATTATTAGTTTTTACATTCAATTAGCAATGTAGATAAAAATGAAACTTACCTTTTAATTTTCAGCGATTAATGCTTAAGACAAAGTACAAGGAGGCGATTAACCAATTCCACTTAAGAAAGTAATAAAGGATAAATGTTATGAATAAAATCGTACTTAAGAAGTAAAAGTGAAATACATATTATAACTTTAAACAAAATACTTTACCTGTTTAAAACGCGATGATGCGGTCCCCCCGTGACCACGCCTATTGCAAAGCCTTCACATTTCGAGAAGTGTATAAAATGACGGATTTCACACACTTTCAGTAACACATCTATGTAATTGTAAGTGGTTTAGCTTCATAACTTTAGGGGAAACTTACTCATACAAGCGATAACACGAACTGGCGGCGTTTCGTCGTCGGCGAAAATTTTGCTAATCAGTCATTGGATACCCAATAAGATAAAATCATTTAGTCAACCAAATTATCAGTCTCACCTGCATGACTGTTTCCAGAGAAACAACACACACCGATGTGCTGCCGGTCTATGTGACAACGGGGGTAATTTGCCCCGGGGCGGATGTGCGAGGGGCATTGTATTTTTGGGACACAGACTCCATTTCTGGGGCAGGTCGCGCATGGTGCTTCAGTTGCATGCTTGTGATCTGAAATTACCAAAGGAAAATCTAAAACTAAACACATACAGCCGCTTATCAATACAATATCAATTGTATGTATAAAATGCATTGACCGCATTTTTTCTATTTAAGCATAAAACTTCAGATCTTCCTATTAAAACTAAATTAACTGTTACGAACAACCAGAGCTCTTATCGATTCATACCTCTATAACTGAGAATAAAATAAGATAAAATAATAAAAAAAGTCAAACAAACAGCAGAAGGAAAACCGTATTGTCGTGTTTTAATTTTTATATATAAAAAGATAAGCGAATAAAAATACAGTACGCTTACTTCAGAACTATCAATGTGGAACATACTGGGACCTATAAAGTTAAGTCCCAGTATGTCCCACATCTCTCACATTCATATTGAATTTATTTATTGAAATAATTTAAAAAAAATCTACCTATCTACGGGCAGGACTTGAATCGTCACCCATAGCGGTATAGACACGGTAACTCAGTTGGTTACAGCTACCGGGTCGTCAAATTTTTAATTTAAAAATCGCCATCATGTGCAACATGTGAAAAATATTCATCAAACCTTTTTCATCTATTACGTAATGTCCACCCAGTGCTTCTTTATAACTTAACACCAATATAGGACAGCATATAACACATATTAATACGTGGTACACAAACTTTTCCACTTTCATAATTGATTGAAACTTAAAACAAAATGAAAGACCTCGCGAGCGTTGCGCGTCATTGTCGGTCGGCAGACGAAATGACAGATGACAGGTTGTGTTCAAAGAAATTGGAAATAATGGGGGTAGTTTGCTATTTCCAGCAATTTTGCGTTTCTCCCCTAATCTACCCTAAAAGTTATAACTAAATAATTATCTACTATAGATTATTTCTATTTTATAATTTGAAAGGTTCTCACCAATACTTAATCTATACTAATATATAAAGCTGAAGAGTTTGTTTGTTTGAACGCTCTAATCTCACGAACTACGGCTTCGAATTGAAAAAGATTAGATCTGTATTCTTTTTAAAGGACAATCTTTGTGAACAAAATAACGCAAAGCTATGTATAATTCAAATTTGATAACAATTTACTAACTTAATTTAAATTACAAAGCCGATAAGTGAATATGCAAATATTATTTTGGATTCAACATGTTACCAGAAACGGAAACATGTAAAATGTAGTAACTATATAATATAGCCACAAACTTAAATTGTGATTATTTCAAATTACTTCGTTCAAATCATCGTCTATAAGACCATGCTATTGATAATAAAACTCTATTTTAAGATATGTATTATTAAATAGTTTCATGAATAACGTCAGACAGATTGGAGAAGAGAAAAACTCTGATAAATTTTACAAAACAGAGAGGAATATTAGGTTTATCAACTAAAGATCCAATCAGTACATTTATGATAAGTAAGAAATGCCTCCTTGACTCAGTGGTAAATTGTCGTCTCAAATTGTGATAAGTAAGAAATGTTTAATTTTCGTATTTTCGTAATAACGTTTTTTATAATTTATATGTGTTCAATAAAACTAAGAGATCCTGTATTCGAAGCCCGGTAAAACATAAGAACATTTCCTAGTAAGAAATACTATATTGTATCGTCAAATATTTGCTATTAGATTACAAATATATCCTATAAGATTATTATCATTACACCCTGTACGTTGCCTTGATAAGGAAACTTATATAATCTGTTACTGTAGATCGCCCTGCAGTGGCAGTGTGCGCGAAGTTATGAGGTGATCGTACGTGAATTTCGAGATGGCGAAATTAAACACTGTGGCCTTTGAGGAGGCTCTCTCTATGACAGGTTAGTGCTTGAAGTCTAAGACAAAAAAAATCGCGCAAAGAACGAGAAAGTAAATTTTCATATCTCGGTTTCCGAACATGTAAGATAGGCATATTAATTATACCTTTTTTTACTGATTAATATAATTTTACGCGAATAACTTGACAGCTTTTAAGAAACTATTTCGAAAAAAATTGAAGTGATTACTGAAAATCATAATTTCAACAGACAGAGAGAGGGTCTCTCAGCGACCACGGCTGCTGCGAAGAATCCGAAACGTCGGGCCGTAGTTAAAAATAATTTTCAAACAAGTTTAACTACTATATATCGCGTTTTAAACCGTCAAAGTGTATTTGAATGTAAACTATATAAACTACTGACAGTATTTAAAAGAGCTTAGTCAATAATGAACAATTTGTGCACATCGCTAATATATATTTTTAACATATAAGGCAATTCAATCTTAAGTGTTTTATGGTTATTATCGTTTATTTTATTTTTTTAACCAAATGGCAAAAGCACGAAACGCGAAAGAAATCTCAAAGTGTTCCGTACCTACAGTGATTTAATAGTAACCTTATTTTTTGTCTTTTTAAATGTCAACCGAAATATTTACGAAGTACTAAATTTTTCCTAATATTGTGAGATATCCCGTTTGCCCCCGTGGGGTTGCGAACGCATTCCTGCGTTCGTTTCGTTGATCGGTATTCTTTACAGGCGAGTAGTAGATCAGACGTCTGTGCCCTGCTAGATCAAAATACCTCGGGTGCTTAACATGACAGAGGCTGTCTATCTGGATTTTATTTAAATATTGATTATTTCCCTCGGTCTAGTTACTTAAATAAAACAACGATAAACAGGACAGTCAAAATAATGACATCACAATCTTTATTATTTATTTTTTTCATTTAAAGAAAGATATTATAATTACGAGTACAACAATGAACTACAGATGTTTAAATATTAATATAAAGAGTCATTAATGACATAGTAAATAAATGTTATTTTTAAATAAGGTTAACTTATCTACTATTAGCAATACGATCTGCATCTCTTAGTTCAATAACAGCAGCTTCGTTGAACAGATGTAAATAATAAACTGTAAATTTTATTGCAATTAGATAAACACTGGTAGAAAAGCCGTTACCTTATTATACGTTTCGATTTGAGTCCATGGAATTACAACAAAAAAAGTTTTTTTAACACTTAACGGTTTAAAACTCGAAACATATTAATTAACTTATTTACAATTTATTTTAATTACGGCCCGACCTTTCGGATATTTTGCAGCGGTAAGTTTGCTGTAAACCGTTATTTTTTTTAGTGTGTACTACTCGTCTAAACATGACTCTTAGATGAGGGCTGGGGCGTGGGACAATGGACATTTAATCCTGTTAACTCCATGCGTCTTACTATGTCATATAAAAATCTGATTAGCCAAGCATGCTTAAATAAAACACTTTACCGGTAAAACGCGATGTATATCCATTAGTTAAAGTTATTCGGAAGTTATTTTAACTACGTCCCGATGTTTTTGATGCTTTGCATCAGCCGTGGTCACGGGAGACTAAAGATGCAGAATGTCTCTATTGTCAAAGAAATAACTGCTACGCTATCGCCACCTGTTCCGTCGTAGTTGGTATTTGACGAAAATTGACTAACGGTGTCTTCGCGTTGGCCGGTAAGCTGTTTTTACAGCGCGTTTTAAACAGTAAAATTTTTATTTAAGTGTGTTTCTTGCGTATAGTATCTGTACTACTGTACTAACTGAACACGTCACACACGTCAGGCTAAATACTGCAGACAGTGTTTAGCCTGACGTGTGTATTTTTCTAGAAAATGAAGATGATAAAGGACATCGTTACATTTTCATCAGTTGATCAATGTGCAACTTTAGATCGAAGTTCACTTGACAAAAACGCTATTACTAGGGAACGAACGGAATGACTTTTATTTTTCTCTATTTACCGGGTTTCGTTATCTTTTTAAAGATAACTATGATCACAAAAAAGATGATGACTTTTTTAAATAATAATTAATTACGTTTTAAAATGTCGATGTTTATAGGTAAACATAATTTTTAAGTTTGACTTTTTCACCAAAAAGTGCTAAGTTACCAACATATACCTACCTACTTTAAATGTATTATATTTAACGTATTGCACAACTGTATGTAATGATGCACGTTTTACATTAAAAGTTACCTACATAATATATAATATGTACTTAAAACGGACTTTCTTTACAATTTAAATTTAAAGGATAATTAACTTAAGCGAGACTGAAAAATAGTACGATTCGTGAAAAATAGTACATATAAGTAAACTAACAACTATTATTTTTAAAATAGTTATTTCTCTCTTTTAAAATAGTTGGTCGCGGGTTCGATCCTGACAGGGTTCAACAAGTTTTCTATCTATTTATAATGTTTATAAAACACGTTGGACTGCGTCTGGATTTCTAGATTGCGCAACTAACACTTTCAATTAATGAGAACTAATTTATATCGCATCTTAAGCCATTAAAAGTGTTTTATTTAAATAAGTGTATCTATGTACCTGTACTTTTATCGAATAGGACAAACACACAAAACGTTTTTTTTTTCGGTTTTGACGTGAAATATGTAGGGTAGTTAAATGAAACACTTTAACGGTTTAAAACGCGATATATTAGTTAAACTTATTTGAAAATAATTTTTAAATAAATTTAACTAACATATCGCGTTTTAAACCGTTAAAGTGTTTTATTTAAATGTGTAATACTCGCGTAAACTATAAACAGTATGTAGGGTATTTATGTTTTAACTGAACCCAACATTTTGGATCGACTTTGAATCATTTTAAATGGATTTAAATACAGTCTATAGTTTACGTGATTAATACATATTTAAATATTTATTTAGCAAAAGGAAACAAACAGATACATTACATAAGTGGCTAAGGAATAACAATAAAAAAAAAAGATATAAGGTTAAAATGCATCCTTAACAGTTTCACAAATAGTTAAATGTTACATACAATATGAATAACCAAACGTCGATAAAAATTACAACACTTTAACGGTTTAAAACGCAATATATTTTAGTTAAACTTGTTTGACCACGGGTGCTGCAAAGCATGCGAAACGTGCGGGCCTTAGTAAAAAATTTAAATGATTTTATTAAACAAAAGATAATGTTCATCTTCGTAGGTCATCACAGTCAACAAAGAGGCATCAGGTTTTCGGAGATGACAAATCTGATAATGATAAAACAAGATTATCTTAATACGGGTTTAAACTATTCTTTTCATATCTATGCAATATGTCACATTTGTTACACATTAATATCTTATATATAGGTCAATTTTATATATATAATATAATTCTCGACCTAAATATATTTCTTCAATTATATATATATATTATATAATTCTCGACCGAAAAAGGCTTGAATTTTATGTAGCTAATTGTATATTTATGTATGATGTTTTTCTACAAAGTAAAATTTAAAAATACGTACTAAAGAAAAATTGTAAACTTCGTCAACCACAATTTCGTCACAATAAGTTAATTTGTAATTAAATAAGTTGGTGTTTTTTCTGCTTCTAAAACTACCTAGTAGCTATGTTAAATGACTGCTTCTGTAGTCAAAAGGTAGGCATTGAGTTAAGCGCGATAGGTTCTGGATTCGAAACCCAGGGAGACAATAGATTATTTTAATCGGGTAGGATACGGAAGTCTCAAACTACTTCTCTGTACATAACTTGCAGTGCAAACATTTTTTTGTCTTTAAAGAGAAATCATTCCTTCATACATATTCTCTGGGTACCTTAAATTGTTTTCTCAGCTCACGCAACGGAAACCGTTAAAGATGACTAATTTTCCCCGCTCCTTCCACATTTCCCACTGCATCTTCATCCCTATTGACCGTAACGTGGTTTTATAGCCGAAAGCCTTCCTCGATAATTGCTCTAACCAAAAACAAAAGAATTATTTAATTCGAAGCAGTAGTTCCTGAGATTATCGCGGTCCAACAAACAAAATTTCAGCTCTATATATCAGTGTAGATATAGATTCATATTAGTACGCTATATATAACAAATTACAGGTCTAGGCAAGTTCAACTTCCTGATGTTCATTCTGGCATTGCTGGTGGTGACAGGAATGACCTTCGAAGTCTTCTCCGTCTCGTATCTGGTGCCGGCGAGTGCTTGTGAACTGGACACTACAGTATTTCAACAGGGATTGATCGCTGGAATACCGTTGTTAGGTACGTGTCACATATCTATACTACATGCTAGGCAAACCTTTCTCGTCTACCAGATATTTTGATCCAAATACCATCGAGTTATAAATAAACAACCTAAAATTAAATACTGTCTGTAGTTTACGCGAGTAGTACACATTTAAATAAAACACTTTACCGGTTTAAAACGCGATATATTAGTTAAACTTATTTGAAAATGATTTACAACTTCGGGCGGACGTTTCGAATGCTTTGCAGCAGCCGTGGTCATGGGGAGACTGTCTTAATAAGTTTAACTAATATATCGCGTTTTAAACCGTTAAAGTGTTTTATTTAAACCTAAAATTGATTAAATAAATTGTCTGTCAAGTCCATGTGTATCCGATTTGGCTCATGGGTTTGGATTCCTCCCTGGTCTAACACTTCCACGCCACAATTAACTTAGTGTCAGATTTTCTCTTTCATAGTAGGGTAAGAGGTTATATCTACCGTGCTCCGGTACTATTCAAACAACTATTAAATCTTACAAAGTTACCGCGTTTTGTCAACAAAAAAAAACTATTTACACCAGTTTATCAAAAACCAAATATTTAATAAAAATTACACCATACGCAAACAAGTGTTACGACAATGATAAGATTATTTGAAGACCTTTTCATTAATTTATACGTTTTAAACAATATAATGGTTGTTCCGTATTTTTTATACCATACTAACATTGACGACACAAATACTAACGAGTACGCGAGTATACATTTAAATAAATTAATACATATTTAAATACAACACTGTAACGGTTTTAAACGCGAAATGATATGTTAAGTAACTTGTTTTTAAGATTGGGACACCCTCCACCTTCAGCTCCACCGTGAACATGGCTTCTGCAAAGCATCCGAAACGTCGTACCGTAGTTAAAGTAAACAAGTATTATTAACGACGTAAAAAGTCGAAGTAAAATTTTAAAGAAAATTTTACTATTCGATGCTTCTCTTTTCAGGAATAATAGCAACCTCCCACATATGGGGATACCTGGCTGATACCCAAGGACGAAGAAAGGCGCTGCTTTGGTCCATGGTCTTGGGTTACTGCGCTGGTTTCCTCGCCACATTTTCTCCTAATTGGATCGTATTTGCTGTGCTAAAGTTCGCCTCTTCTGCTGGGTAAGTTAATTTTCGAGGTATCCGCGGGAATCGGCTTAAAAATTTAAGAAACGTAATGTTATTTATTTTATATCTTAATAAAACACTTTTGACGGTTTAAGATACGAATTATATTGAATTCATTTTTAATTTATATTAACTACAGCACGTCGTTTTGCATGCTTTCCATTAGCCGTAGTCGAGGTATGTACTTAAAATAAATTAAACAAAAATAAGTAATATAATTTGCGTTTAAACAAAAATAATTTTAAAGCAACAATCATGATTTTGCAATAATAAAACAACAATAGCCACATATATATTATGATTCTAGTCTGTTTTATTTCTATTATCAATTAATTTTTACAAAAGCTTTTTTTATTCATATACGTACATTAAATACTGTCTATAGTTTACGCAAGTAGTACACATTTAACTAAAACACTTTAACGGTTTAAAACGCGATATATTAGTTAAACTTATTTGAAAATGATTTTTAACTTCGGCCCGACGTTTCGGATGCTATGCAGCAGCCGTGGTCACGGGGAGACCACGAAGTTAAAAATCATTTTCAAATAAGTTTAACTAATATATCGCGTTTTAAACCGTTAAAGTGTTTTATTTAAACATATACATACATTCTTTAAATTAGATATAGGATATCAATATCTATTGATACCATTAATCTGTTCTTTTTCATATTAAAGTATTTCTCTAGCTATTCGATTGTCAGAGGTAAAAACGTAATTTCCTAAACCATCTTTCCAGATTAGCTGGTTGCTACCCGTTGGTGATCACCCTCTTGGGCGAATCAACGCCACAGGATAAAAGATCCGTCATTATAGCTTTCCTGAATACGCAGTTGTTCTTATCATCAGGGCTTATGGCTTGTAAGGAAATTAATAGTGCTATATCCTAAGTATGTCTTATGTTTCTTGTTCTTGCGATTCGCGGAAGAACAGTACCGTTGTGACTAGGTCTTTAGTACTCCAGCAGTTGAAAAAGTTTTGGGTGACGTTCATAAGTGTACATAGTTACCTACTAACTTTTGACTTTGACTTTGCCGTTTTTGCCGGGCTCGTAAGTCTAATGGTAGCAATGTATGGCTAATCAACAACGCATCGTGGATTCGATCTCCACCGGGTCTACATACACTCATGTTTCTTGTCTTCCAACGAAAAAGGGCCCCCCCCTTTCCCCCGAATGATGAAGTGTATATTTAAGTATTTTGGTTGAATCGTGAGCTGGTTTTTTTATAAATACTTTTATGAATAATTATTTTGAAACGTTTCGTTATACGTTATAAATATCGCAAAGGTTAAAGTCAAAAATAATTTATTCACGTAGGTAACAGAAAATTAGGTACATAGTCTATAAACATCAAACTGGTAAAAAACATAGAATCTCAATTTAAATCTACAACCAGTTTCCTAATCACGGGCGAAAAACAAACGAGAAAAATACCGAATGTTATATGTTTATATTATACGGCTGGAGTACTTCATCTACCATTAAGTGAAACACGTGCTTGTCTGTTCTCCTCTATCATAAAAAAAATAGCAAGAAACTCGCCTTAACTCCTTTTATCGCCAAGTTTTATTGTATAATCTTCACGTGCTTGTGTGTAGTACACGAGATCATCATCGAGGATTCCTCAAAGACCCAAGCACTTTGAATATTGTTTTACGTATATCAGTTATTTAAAGGGCTTTTACATAGGATTAAAATCTTAAAAAAATTTCTAGTCGCAATAATATAACAAGTTGTGCATGTTTGTTTTGTATTATTTTAATATTTATGTTAGTTCTTTTATTTTTAGTGCTATCTATCCCAGTTTTACACATGACGTTCGCCTACTATATTCCGTTCTTGGGCATTCACTTCCAAGCTTGGCGTCTCCTCAACCTGATATTCTGTCTACCCTGTGCAATTAGCGGCATCTCTATATATTTCTCGTACGAGAGTCCCAAGTACCTGCTGAAGGAAGGGAAACATGACGAAGCACTCGAAGTCTTGAAAGCTATCTATGTTATCAACACTGGAAAGAGTCAGGAAGAGTATGAGGTGAGTCAGAACAGCATACCTTTACTCTGTTCCATTGAAGTTCATTCTTTTATATCTGTACCTCTATCATTTAGTTCTTTATATCTCTAAACATTCGTACCCCCAGTCTCCCCGTGACCACGGCTGCTGCAAAGCATCCGAAACGTCGGGCCGAAGTTAAAAATTATTTTCAAATAAGTTTAACGAGTATATCGCGTTTTATTTAAATTCGTACCTCCATTTAATAATTTTGACGTGAATATTTCAGGTGCATGCACTTTCTCTAAATGAAGCCAGCGCTGAGTCAACGTCAACTGGCTTATGGTCATCCTTCGCGTCGCAAACAATACCTATGTTCAAACCACCACTACTGAAAAGCACGCTGCTGTTATCTACGTTATTCGTTATAGCTTATGTTGGGTATGTCCTTTTATACACACCTGTATAAACGTCAGACTTATCACATTAATTCTAACCGTACTTACATTATACTAAAAACTTATTTTGAGAAAATCAATTTCGATTACTTTGAAAGTGACACACTTAGCCATCAGTTATTTATCAATGATTGTCATTTATTCTAGTGTTTAGTTAGACTTTGTAGTTTAAAGACTTTGTTACGTGTAAACTACTTATCAATAAGATTGCATTAGTGCTTGTAACCTAACCTCGGTAGCATAACTTATGCGTTTCTGAAAATTAAAACTTATAAACCTTATAAAATATATACTAAACATCCTATCAACGGACACGGCTAGAAAGACTTAATCGAAAATTAAAGGTATATTTGTTGGTAATTCTTTTTGTTCTAGTATGCAGCCTTTCGTAATTTGGATGCCATTCATAGCAGATGCCTTTATGCGATCTCTAGAGAATGGAGACACGGGAATCAGTTTCTGCGAAATGCTTCGGCTTGCACAAAACCAAACCGACACCGAGGTAACACAATACAGGACCAATTTGAACTGGCAGAAAAAGGATTCAAAAAATCGTTCATGGCACCTCAAATAGCTTTGAGGCTGTTGCACAAGATTCAACGCTCTCCTTCGCATGGATAGTTAAACTAATTACTATTAAAACTAACTAACTAGAAATAATTTTCTTTGAATACAACTAAAAAGGAATGTGTATCAACTTACAACGTTCATAGCTTTGTATGTTTGAATGTAGAATGACATTTATGGGAGTGTGTGTTTGAATGAGTGGGTGAGTGAGTGCGTAAGTGACTGATAGTAAAAAGTGCAAAAGTTAACTTACTTACAATTTATTCTTTGAGGATTACGAGCATCTTCATATGTAAAATTCCAGGTCTACTAAAAACTAACAACAGGTTTACTAAATTTACATATTAGTATAAGTTTATTTTTCAGATTACTGGTTTTTTTTTTCAGACTAGTGATTGCAGTTTGAACGTAGTTGCTATGACATCGGTGTTTGCGATCTCTCTTTTCTTGGGAATAGCCAATGCTCTCTTTGGTTCGAGTGTAAACACGTTTGGCAAAAAGAAACTTTTAATTGGATTCATGGTAATAATCTTTATATATATTAAATAGTGAGCGATTCTTCCTTCTAAGAAAATCCCAATGTTATTTAGTAACGTATAGTCGACAAATTTTATTGTCATTGGAGGATCTATGTTATCTAGGTTTTGAGGTTGATGCTAGGCTATATTGATCATTAATCATCTTCTTTTTTCAGTTAATGTCTGGAACATGTGCCATATTCCTAAACTTCATCCACAATTACATCGCCAGCGGAATCATGTTCATTCTATACGTTGTCAGTGCTATCAACTTTAGTTTTCTCTCCATTTATACAGTGGATATCTATCCCACTTATGTGAAGTAAGTAAGACTTTGTATACATTTTTAGTAGGGATATTTTACAATATTTTAATATTTGCGGTTGTGGTATCTACAAGCAATTGAAAACTTTAATATTTTTTACGTTTTATTGCACATGGTGGCACTTCATAGAGTAAAAATCGAAAATAAATTGAAATTTTTTTTGACTCGGGCAGGACTTCAACCGACAACGTCAGTGTCGTTGTGTCGTCGTGCAGTTCGTTGATTTACTAACTTACATCCCAAGTATTGACATTAACACCAAATTTCCAGAGCTATGGCTGTCTGTCTAACCCTGATGGTAGGACGTGGCAGTTCAGCTCTTGGCATCAACGTTTTAAAATCTTTGCTGACATACAACTGCGAGCTGGCATTCTATCTCTTTGGTGGTTTGACATTGAGTAAGTCACTTTTTTTTTCATTTAACTATTGGATCTTCATTTGTTATTTTATATTAATTTGCTTCTAGTTGGCGGTATTATTTCGTTCCTTCTACCTTCGGATAACAAGAAACCAAAGACTGTCGACGAGTAATTGCAACGAGACTAACATTTGTGTATAACACAGCTGGTCCATTCACTACACAATTGGGATACCTAAGAACCCTTTTTTTATGTATGGTCCTCTACGTTGCTAAGGTATATATGGATAATTGATTTTTAAAATTTGAAAATGTTTAATGGAAGAAGTGTTTTTACTATTCGAACTACTTAATACTATAAAAATGTAATTATTAACATTACTACTATTTCGCCCTAACTACGGCTGTTAGAAGCTGAAGATTTGTTAACACTACTGTGCATCAGATTAACGTAAATATATATTAAAGAGTAAAAAAATCGATGTTCGACCTCCCTTCTACGTTGATTCGTGCACTTGCTTGTAGTCATACACTCTTGTGCATACAATAATATATTTGTTCATCCATCCATACATCCCGAAACTTCGTGTATTACTTTATTGTGATAGATAAATACTAAACTTTTCATTGTTAAATCTGAAGATATTTGTTTAGAGAATAATTTTAATTACCTATTAAGCTGCCTTGTTCTGCACATCCTGATCCAATTAAATTTAAACATGTAACTCTCTAGCAAAGAAACTTCCATCTTACCCGTTGCACGCGGGTAGAATTACAAAAATAATGTTGCTTTGTATTGTGTTCTTATGTAAGTGATGTTAATGTTATTTTAAGGAAATTAAAATACATTAAACTTAGAAGTTAATTGTAATATGTTTAATATGTATGTACACTTTTTATAATGTAAATATTGAATTGTAAATATAGTTATTAATTAAATAAAGTGCTTGGAATAGATAAAAGGATGACATAACTGAATGTCATTTGCAATGTCAATGTCGTCTTTGTTTTCCTTATATTTACTCTTAACGCCTCATTTAAACGCTTGTATAGCTTTTGTGTATACACTGAAAGAAGGAGTACATATTAATTAAGTAAATATAACATACTGTAGCTGTGTCTGCTAAGAATATTTATTTTGAGTTTTTGCAAACCGCTTTATTTTGTATACATCTTTAGTTGTTCCCCACGACATCGGTCGCGTCATTTCCCATCGTTCTTGCAAGTTAATCTTAAAAAATAGACATATAGCGTCGTAGACTCTTTTTAGATCATTTAAAGAGGAATCATTCCTTCATACATATTTTTGGGGTATCTTGAACAGTTTTTGCAGCGTACGCCTCGGTAACCCATAATGATGAATCATTTTTCCAAATTGTTTTCACATTTCTCGCTGTATCTTCGCTTGTATTAGTCACAGGGCGATGTTAGCCCATAGCCTTTGTCGATAAATAGTCTAACCAACATGAAAATATTTTTTCAACAAATCGAACCGGTAGGTTCTGAGATTAGTGCGTTCGAACAAACAAACTATTCAGCTTTATATATTAGTATAGATTATAAATCGTCTAGGCAAACAATCTAAATTAAAACTGTTAACGATAAAAGATAATAATTAGTTTATTTTGAACTATGGCCCGACGTTAAGTCAAAGTTAAATCTGTTGCGCAAGCGCCACCTGTTTATAGGCATTTGGAGTTATAATAATTATATAAATATTATGAGCATAATAAATAATATAGTAATCTTACATTAATTTATATAATATAAATAATATCACAGGTAGGTACCGATCACTAAAAAACCGTTTGTGGTCTGAACTCCATTAGGGACTAACTTCTTCTTTCTTCTTATCTCCTGGTAACATAAACCCAGTGAAGGCTCCAACTGAAAAGCATTGAAATTTTCATAGCCGTAGGAATATCAAAGCAGTACGATAAACGATTCCTGGATTCCGTATAAACCTCTCCATGCAGCAAAGCAACGCGGTTCAACGACTAATTATCATTACTAAATATTTGTATTGTACTTTTTGAGACTTTAATTTCTATAATTATCTTCTGCAAGTTAGTCTTAGTTAAGATTAGTGTATAACATAATTTTTACCTATCTCCTTTGAAAAACAAATTTACATTATGTTTAACATGTAAGTGTGTAGGTAACATAATGTTCTTGAATCTATCATATAAATACAATACCCAATTATCCACTAAGTAAGATGAAATAGGAAAAAACTACCACTACTTCGTGCCTGTAGAATAGTTATTTTGGACACCATAATAAGTATTTCCAAACCTCCTCATCTTTATCAATTATAGCTGATACCCATGACCCCCGTTGTTCTTGCATGTTCATGTTAAGATATAGACATATATTCCCGCGGACATTTAAATAAAACACTTTAACGGTTTAAAACGAGCTATATATTAGTTAAACTTGTTTGAAAATTATATTATACTACGGCCTACGTAGTCTCCCAGTGACCACGGCTGCTGCAAAGCATTCGAAACGTCGGGCCGTAGTTAAAAATAATTTTCAAACAAGTTTAACTAATATATAGCTCGTTTTAAACCGTTAAAGTGTTTTATGTAAAAGTGTACTCTACTCGCAAAAACTACAGACAGTTTTTCGGTACCTTGAACCGTTTTTACAGCTCACGCAACGGAAACCCTCAAATATGAATAATTTTCCCCGATTTTTTCCACATTACCCATTGTTCCTTTGTTTCTATTTATCGCAGTGTGATATTTTATAGCGTATCCTTCCTTCGTAGCCTTCCTTGATAAATTATCGAACTTTTCAATTCGAACCTACTTCAGCTTTATAATATTATAGTAAAGATTACTCACTGAACGCCAGTGCTGGGAAGACGTAAAAGGCCAATTCGCAGTTATAAGCCAGCATACTCTTAACCACGTTAATGCCGATGACAGATGCTCCTCGTCCAATCATCATGGTCAAACAGATGGCCATTGCTCTAGAAGCAACAAGAAATATGTATCATTACAAATTCATTTTCGCCAAAGTTAAGTTAAAAACATGAGCCATTATATTCATTCATTCATTCATGTTTTTTGTTATTAGGCCACTTTGCCTCTAGCAATCATATATTATTTAACAGACTCTACGTTCTTATCTAAGCACGAAATAAAGGTGGGATCCTAAACCTCAAATCACTAGCTCCTACCAAGCTAATTGTAAAAGGCAATGAAAAACTCACTTAACATAAGTCGGAAACATATCCACGCTAAATGTACACAAGAAGCCGAAGTTTAGTATCCCAATCAAGAACACGAGATAAAGAGCGCCGTTCAAAGCCCATTTCGTACTAAAGTTGATACAAAACCCTGCTAATCCGGAGATTACCTGAAAAATAGAAAAACATGAAGTAGATACTACCAAATTAATTTAATATGAAAAAGAAATTTAAATAGTTTTGCCAAACATTGTGTAGGCGATATAGTGGGAGTTAAGTACTTTGAATATTTATGATGGCATTATATAAATTAAAAGTCTATTCAGAAAAAAATTACGACACGGGCGTATACGAGAATATTGAACGGAAATAAGACATACCTGAACACATATCAGAAGTTTCTTTTTTCCGATATAGTTAATAGTTGAGCTGAGGACAGCATTTAATAAACCCAAAAATACAGTGACGGCAAACACTACCAACATTGCCGAACTATCCAAAGTACATTGATTTTCCTGCAAAATATGTTAGATTTAAAAAATTATAGTGAATAAGAATTTGTATAAAACTAACTGCTTACAAAACGGGAGTCAAGGACTCCTGACTATCGACGATAGTATAAGTTAAAAATGAGATATAATCCTCAATTTTGGGAAATAAAAGTGGGATACTCTCAAAAAAAGCCGAAAGAAAAAAAATTATTAAGCAAAACGGACACACACCACTTTTTTTACATAATTATGAATTGGCGGGGGGATTATTCTTGTTAGACCAATGTTTATTACTATAATTCGTCTGTTTGTGACCTTAAAAAAGATAATCAGACCAGTATAATTCTTACTATCCCTAACTATATAAAGCAATGTGCATAATATACAAAATTGGTAAAATTTGTATAAAAAAAGTATATATACACACAGTATAGTATAGAAATCTTGAGAATATAATTTTTACATCACGATTTTTTAAATATTCAAAATGTTTGCCATTTTTTATACCTACCTACAAACTAACAACAAACAAGTATTTAAATAAATACTTTAACGGTTTAAAACGCGATATATTAGTTTAACTTATTGTTATGCAGCAGCTGTGGTCAACCCGTGACTACGGCTGCTGCAAAGGAGCCGTCCGGCCGAAGTTAAAAATCATTGTCAAATAAGTTTAACAAATATATCGCGTTTTAAACCGTTAAAGTGTTTTATTTAAAGGTGTACTACTCGCGTAAACTATAGACAGTATTTAACAAAAAAACAAACTAACCTACCTACAATCATTTTTCTTCTTAAAACAAATTGTGCTACGATAAAGGTTTAATGTATTTTTTATTTCTGAATATATTTATAGCCGTTACCTGGACAACGGTTCTATTCTCTGAATATCTTAGAGTCTCGCAAAGGTTAAGTCCAGTCTTGCCACTGTTCCGTGTGTGAACAACGGCATCTGCAACTACTGGCAACCAGACGTAGAAAGGGTTAGTTCTGTAAAAGGAAACATATTTTCTTCAAGCTTATAACCTAAAATATTATTAGCGTAATTTGAAGGGTCCGTCAAGTTAGATTACCACCGTATAAACATGTATAAATCGATTACAGTTTTTCTAAGACATCTTAACCTTCGCGTGGACAATCAGGATTTTAAATAGCTGGTAGGAATATCAAAACTACGTTGGGCGTCACGAACCAACTCCATAGATACAGAGAATATACATTTACAAAATCCGCATTTCAGCTTTAGTGTGTGGATTTTTGAACTCAAAACTCAAGATACAACAACACATCTCGTTCAGTTATTTTATGTCTAGGATATATTCCATCAAGTGAAGTGAAGCATGGCTGGTCTGTACACTGTTATAATGTATTGAATTGCGATGTTAAACCTTACACAAAGTAAACGATGATGAACATAAGAGACAGCATTAATGTGTTCTTCAGCAATGGTAACTTCAAGAGCGGTTTCGTCTGCGTTTTTATTGAACCCCACAAGCCTTTGCTATCTTCTGACCTGGACTCGTCCAATGATAACGAGTGTACCTAGAAATTAAATATTTACAAAAATCAACACCAATTACCAAATATAATGTACCTATAACTGCGAGAAATATATGTAATAATATTTTTCGGTACAAAATAATTATGACTTTAATAAGAGGTCGTAAGTAAGTACCTTGTTTTTGTAGCAATGTGTCTGTACTCTACCCGAGTAATACACACTTAAATATACAGTGGAATAACCACACTCAAACCAAACATAAAATATTTTCAAATACTCGTAAGATTAACTAATATACAGGCGTTTTAACCGTTAGTCTTTTAGTTAAAAGCATGGTGATATTAAATCATTAGGTATGTATGAAGATATGAGAATCGACTTTTATTATACGCCACGTTATTCTTAGATTGTGAAAAAGATATTTTTGGAATTATGTTTAGACTGACTGTATATTAGGTATAAAACTGAAATAAGTTGTTTTTATAAACAAAGGATTATGATTTCACAGATTAAAATTCGCAACAAAATACTCTTTGTTTTGTGTAAGCTCACTACAATATCTTCGTATTACGACGTTAACAAATCTTCATAACACGGAACTTAAATAACTACGATTTAAACAAAACACTAAAGATTACATTCCACGCTGTTTAGCTTTGGCAAATTTAGTAGTCACTTGTTTAAATATTATATGTATTTCTATTATTCTATATATTGTATGTTTTTCTTATCATAGATAAGAATTGTTAAACTCCATGTGTAATTAATACACTTATTTATCTTCATAAATATTGCACAATGTATGAAATTACATGATTGACAAGTTTTGTTATGAGCTAACGACTTTTAAATATTTTTAAAGCGTGGTCGTGACAAACCAACGTTTGCACTTTCTGACTTTGATTGACACATATTTGTTATAGCAGTTGTACTCGTCTAAAATCCTACTTTTGGCATCATTTTTCTTCCAATTAAAGCTAATCTTTTATATTCATTGTTTTATTGTGATTAGATTTATTATTCTTCAGGTCGGATGAGACGTTTTTCGGCCTCCTTAAGCTGGGAACAGGTGCGGTATGAGTGGTTGGTAGCCTGAGCACCGTCGAGATACTGGAGTAGGTAAGAATCGGATGGATGGTTTACAGATGGTGAAAGATTGTAAGATAAGATACCTGATAATCCTCCCTTCCTTTCCCAGTGTTAATCTCGAACATTCTCTTCAATATTTCCAAAGCTTTTTCCTCCTGACCATTACTTAAAAGAAACTTAGGCGTCTCGTAGCTGAGATAAGTTGCGACAGCGGCCAAAGCAGCTGGAGCCGTGGTCAGGAAATTGAGTAATCGCCACGGCACCAAGTTTATGTTCAGGAACGAAATATGGTACGAGAAGGTTAAATTTGATACTGGTATGGCGAGTACTGAAAAAGAATTGAGACTAATTTGAATGTTTGGACGAAAAAGATACGAAACATGTAATCACTGCTACTATTCAAGTAGAACTATATCATTTGAAATTTTATAGGCAGTTTTATTTCTTTTGTTTACTCTAACGGACTCGTCTGGTTTAATGGTAGCAGTGCGTGGCTGATAATCAGTTTATAATTTTTGAAACATAATGGACTACGTTTCGAAGTCTGCATTTTAAACGGGTGGTAAGAATATGCCGTCCAATTATAGAAAAGCTGCGTTTAGGTTTCAGTCAGATTTCCGAATATTCAAAGCCATAGGCGCATTTTGTTTAGATGTTATATGGCTGGAGTATTTCACCTTCCATCAACCCCACAGTTTTCTGTCATCCTCTATCATAACAAACTAGTCCAACCACCAGCCCAATATTATATATTTATATTATAATACTGATACTCACGTCCTATCAATCCAAATGACATCGTAAAGACGGTGCCGATCATCGCGACCATCGTCGCCCTTTTATGCGCAGGAGTGAACTCACTCAGCGTAGTGAGTCCTAAAGGATATGTACCAGCTAACCTAAAAAACTAGTACTTTTTATTTTAATTCTGACTCTATGCATGTATTACCAAAAGAGAATTTATTCTTGTGTATCTTAGATCCTACGATCCCACGTTAGGTACGTTTAATGATAAATGTTAGAATTCCCAGATGACCTAGAAACGAGTTGTTCGGACTACCCACCTCTTTACCGTGAACAACAATGATGTAAAAATTAGAGATGTCAATGTATGAGGAAATTAAAGGTAAGTAAATTAATGTAACAAGGTTACGAACACTTACGCGCTTGAAGACATAAATTTGCAAACGAACAGAAATATCCAATTCGGCGATAGACAGGCCAGTGTGCTGGAGCAGAAGGACAAAAATAAAGACCACACCACGATTATTCGTCTCCCTTTTATATCTGCTAGGTATCCCCAAATGTACGAGGTGAAAATGATACCTAGGAGTAAGAAAGAACGTGTAAAGTTGATATTAAACTTTGAGTTGTTTAAAATGCTTTGTAGCAGTCATGGTAGGTGTGAAGCATAACAAATACATATACGTTCAAACCGCTTTTTAATGTCCTACATTTGTGCTAAGAAAAAAATATATAGCAGAAGCCTTAAGTATCTAAATGGGGTACAGGATCTTGGATCCAAGACCCATTTCGTGGGTATCGTAATTAATATATAAATATTTATAAAATATAAATTATATAATACTACTCTCACCATTTACAACATTATCTTTGTTTGTGGTTCTAAAACTGCATCTGTACTCTTTCCACTAATTTTTATGTCATAGTAAATAAAAAAAATCAATAAACCTTACCTGCCATAGGTATACTTGCGATCAGTCCTTGCTGATAGACCGTGGTGTTCAGGTCGCAAGCGCTCATTGGCACCACATAGGACACGGAGTAGATCTCAAAGACGGTGCCCAATATAACTAGCACATTTACCAGTAACGTTATATAATTGAATTTACCGAACCCTGAAAGAAAACTGCTATGAGAACATATCCCGCAAGCCAGAGATGCAAGATCTATCTAAATTTACTCCGATAATATTTAAAAAGCAGTGAGGTAATTAATCAAAAACTGTTTGACATTTTCTTTCATCCGTAAATATTTTAGGCGCCACTGACAAAATCATAACTTTACTTATAACAGCTAATCTTGGCCTGTTCGAAGAACCAACGAAAACATCAGCAATAGGAAAATTAAAAATAAATGATAAAATACTGTTACAAATGTAAAAAAATATATAAATAAACATTTACAAGAAAAATCAACAGTCTATATTAATAACTTCTTAATTAATTATAATCAAAATATTGACTGCAAATACAAACATGTAAGTACTGTCTATAATTAAAGCTAGTAGTACACGTTTAATTGTTTTAACCCGAAATGTATTTGTTACATTTATTTACCGACTGCCAGGCAGTAGTTAAAATAATTTGTAACCTGAACAATTCACGTTTTAATCCGTCAAAAGTTTTATTTAAACACAATTTAATTTAAATTATATTTATAAAAAACATTTTCTCACTGACCTGTCATGTTTAAGGCCTCCTCAAATGGTATTTTATTTGTTTTCTCCATTTCACTTAATCTTTACAAGCCGCTAAAGTAATATTAATAATATATCTCTCTTCAATTGTTTATTTAATTTTATTTAAACATTACATCCATTTTAAAATATCATCAACGTACCTCGAATACGCGATACATAGTGAAATGTACGCATTCATGTCATTTATATAATGAATCTTATCTTCGGAGACTGAAAAAAACACTAATCATTGTGAAGCAATATAAAATGAGATCTTGCGCATGGTTCGCGCAGAACTTATAATGAGATAAACATAGGGTCATACGGGTGAACTAAACTTAATGTGAATGTCATTCAAAGTTTTAACTGTTTGGTCTGCGGTTCTGTATCTGGTCACAAAAAAAATATTATTAATTGAAAACTTTGCACCGTCTCATGGCTTAGTGGGAAAACGTGTTGCCAAATGAGACAAAAAATTCGCAGGTAGATTTTTATAATTTATTTTAACATTGAAGTATTTTTATTATCAACCGTACCGTTTAGTTAGTTTATCGCAAAAAATAAATGTCTTATTTTCCCGGAATATAATAACACGGGAAACATTTTTATTTATAACTAGCTGTGCCCGCGACTTCGTCCGCGTGGAATAGTGACTTGGGGTAGAATTTTTAATTATTGAGGCTGTTTATTAATGTATGTAAGGGCGCATTTAAGGCAGCCAATCTATGGTAAGTGCTACTTTGCCGCAACACTCTCACCTCACATCACTCCTACTCTAACTCCCACTCCCATTCCTACACTCACTTCCACTCCCACGTCTTCTCCATTCCCACTCCCATTCCTATTCCCAAAAAGCCAAAGAAGAAATTTTCATTGTTCTATCCTCAATTTCCACGAATTTCCATCCACCTTTTCACCCATAACAACCCCTTTTTCGCAATAAAAAAGCCTATGTCCTTTCTCAGGATCTAGACCATCTGTATACCAAATTTTATTCAAATCCGTTCAGTAGTTTTGGCGTGGAAGATTAACAGACAGACAGCGTTACTTTCGCATTTATAATATTAGTAAGGATTATATAATGATTATTTTATTAATAGACTGTATTGACTAGTGACCCCTGGTTTAATACAAAAGAGTAGACAAATAAAACGCTAAGAAGAAACAATCCATATTATTTATTGTGAATACTAATTAATTACGATTCCTTGTAAAAGTTACAATCCTTTTCTCCATGTAGACACAACGAAATTCCTCGATAACTATAGGCATCCAATTCATGACTCAAAACGTTTTTAAATTATTGTTTGTCACTTCTTTTTATCTGCCGGTAGCAGAAGCGCCACCAATATGCCAGCTGCAAGAACGATAAGACATAAAGCAAATCTAACTATTACTTTATATAGCAAATGATATATTTTTAATTGTATTTCTTTCCTAGGACACTTATGAGAGTAGGTATACTTCAAGTATATATAATACTAATGCTGTCTGTAATTTACGCGAGTAGTACACATCTAAATAAAACACTTTAACGGTTTAAAACGCGAAATATATTTATTAGTAATACTTATTTGAAAATTATTTTAACTACATTTCGACGTTTCAAATGGTTTGCAGCCGTGATCACGGGGGAGACTAAAGGGTATGATTCTGTATGTCAAAGTAAAAACTGCTACTTGGTATTTGGCAAAATTGGCCGGGTCCTTGTAGAATTTGGAATTTGCCAATTTAAGTGTCACTCGCGTAAAGTACAGACAATATGTTTATACTTACATAACAATAAAACGGCTGTAACGTAAAACAATAGATGACAGTGGGTTCTGATGATCAGCCCAACTAAAGCTGTACCAGTGAGGGCACTAAATCGTCCCACCATGAATCCTAAGCTTGTTGCAAGGCCTCTGTAAGAAATAAAGTTACAAGGGACACGAAATGCAAAATATTTGAAACTTTTAAAAATATATCTAAGATCTATACATTGAATTGAGCAACTTTAAACGTGACTAATGCCTGTGAGTCTTACAATTTAAGTGAGGGTAGGTCTAAACAAACAAAATATATGATTTGACATGATGTTTTCTTGCCTTTTAACTTTCAGCGGGCATTCATTTTGATAGCTTAGGAGCTTGCAGTTGTTTTATTATCTGACAGGTAAACTATATAGTAACGGGTTCTTAGATATAAAGTAACGGTCTTATAGACCATGCGCGACCACTACCGTTACAAAACACCGCGTGTCTGCTTGAGGGTTGAAACACTTCTAGTGGGTTCTTTGTCTCGTGCAAATAAATTGATTGCTCATAGCGCGTTTTTCAAGATAAAAGACCTATTACTACTGCATTACATTTTGAAAACAGCGTTGGACGAAGCAAACACCAATTTTATAATATTAGCTTCAATACAAATGTATAAACGCTATTACATCGAATAGTACTACGGTACTGACTCGTTGGTCTAGTGATAGCAATGTATGGCTAATACACAGGACTTCGTCTGGAAATCTGGAAGTTAAATGGGTGGTAGCAATATTGAAGCTCCATCCGGGTCAGGTCCACTGTCCACAGACGACAAAGCCGTGAAGTTTCGGAAAAGATCGCGTTTCGGTTTCAACAAAAAAATAGTTTGACCGCGCATCTTGTTTAGATGTTAAATGTCTGTCCTCTATATAAAAAAGGTAATGATACCTAATAATAATAATTATAGTAATAGTACTAAGTATACCTGCAGGATGTAGGATATAAATCGACAAAGAAGGAGACGACACTTCCAACGCTAACTGAAGTGCTTTGAATTAAAGTGTAAAATATAACACTAGCTATCGGTTGCTTGAGAACGGATACCTAGAACAAAGATATACGAGAAACATGTAGTTAAGTAGACAGCATAGGAGTAAGTATTTCTCTATTGTTAATGTTTAAATTGTAAAATCGTTTCAACTTTTATGCCCCATTATCATCACCCCTTAATTACTTTCCCCAGCTGGACTTGGGCCCTGTAGGTGTAAAATACCAAACTGGCCTAAAGTCTGTTGACATAGGATTTGCTAGTTACCTTCACATGATTTTCTTGTATGTACAAAAAGGTAATTTGTACACAATGGAAAATCGTCCTCATTCAGAATTCTCTAGTGGGTGTAATTGTTCTATTAGGAAAATCACTGTCTTTCTCTTTTGAAATCTTAGGTTTAAATACTTACATATAATACGCAAGAAATATACTACTTACCCTAATTTTAACGGTTTAAAACGCTCAATGTATTAGTAAAGTTATTTTTAATTTATTTCACGTCCCCCCATAACCGCGACTGCTGCAAAGCATCCGAAACGTTATCCGGCAATTGTTAAAATAACTAAATTAATATTTTTTGTGTTTTAAACCGTCAAACGTACTTTATTTAAATGCGTACTCACTAATGATCTTACTCTATCTTTATGTAAATTAAAGTGGCCTTGAATGACTTTCTAGTCCAGTTAATAGATCTTTTCTCATACTTTTTATAACAAACGTATGGAAATTCAACCTTAAACATTAGCCTTAATTAAATATGGTTTGAAATTTCAAATCATATTCTTAATACTTAGGTTTTTGACCCGATACCTACAACAGCATATTTATTCGCTAATGATATTTCTCAGTTACGACGGCTGATCAGCTCGTAGAGCCAAGTAGCCACAGCCACAAAAGCCTTTGACAATTAAACGTTTAGAATTCCATACTCTTAATTTGTAAGTATTAGCAAATGAAGATTAATTATAATTATATATTATTAATATTAATTCACTTGCTTCCTTATCTGTACTTTTCGCGTAAACTACAGACAGTACTTACCATAATACAACTGAAGGCTGAGATAAGGAATATCAACATTAAAATTAATCGACGTCTCGCAGCAAACTTTGAAACTGATAAATTGAGGATAGCTAATATCAGACTTATGAAGAAACCTGACACAATTGCCTCCTCTGATACTATTTCTCGGCAAGGGACCTAAAAAAGTAGGTGCAAAAATAAGAATAAAACGGTTAATATTTGACAAACACTAGATACAACCGTAAAATTACAACTTCCTATAGCTACAAATAAAAAAATCAATCAATACTTAGAGCAAAGAGCAACAAAAATTTGTTTCTATAAGCAACAATAAAAACACAGAAATCAAATCTTATTTCACAAAAGATGGTCTATAACGATTTCTTTCATACGACCTTTGCATATAAAAAGAAAAAAATAATAACAGTGAAGGAGTAAACGTCGTCAAGAGAAAAGAAAACATACAAGAATAGGTTTAGGTGCTATAACAACGTCAGGCGTTACATTTATGAAGTGACCACCACGCTTGTCTGTTCTTCAAAGCTATTAAAAATAAAAAGTATTTGTAGTCAAAACTGTTGCGCAAGATTTAGACTCTTTATCTTTTTTTAAGCAAAGAAAAAACTTACATCAGGATCCACATTAACACGAGAAGTTGCATTTTGGATGCTATAACAGAATCCTAAGTCGTCACTTGAATTTGAAATAGACTTAAACACGAAATCTAATAACGTTGGTAACCACATGATGTATATATTGCATCTGAAAACAAAATAAGGTTTTCCAACTTCTGAAATTAAAATTATTATATTACAAATTAGAATAATAAAGATTCCTATATTAATAGGTAAAATAGATTTTATGGGACGATTCTTGTCATAATAATGCCCATGGTAGCTTACATACAAATATAATGCATATTAGATAAAGAAAACATTACTATGTGATTCAGAAGTAAGATATTGAAAACTTTAATATTATTTTAAAAATCGAAAATAAATTGAAAAAATTTTCGACTCGCGCAGGATTTGAACCGGCATCGTCAGCGTTCCGTGCTGTTGCTCTACCAATTGAGCTACCTTAATATGCAAGTATTAAGGTTGAAATTATATTGCGCGAGAGGTGCATGCATCAATAAGTTGGAAAAATTCGACTATGAGGTGTAGGACTGGCCTCGGTAGCTCAATTGGTAGAGCAACAGCACGGAACGCTGACGATGCCGGTTCAAATCCGGCCCGAGTCGATTTTTTTTTCAATTTTAAAATTATATAGTGCCTTCATGTGCAATAACATGTAAAAACTTTAATATTTTTCACACGATGGTACAAAGTAAATTAAAAATCGATTATAAATTGAAAAAAAGTACACATCCTTAGCGTACCGCACGTTAAACGCAAACTCAGTTTCAAACAGGTTCAAGTCCTACTCGTGTGGTATTTTTTTTCCGATTTATAATCGATTTTTAAATTCTATATTGACTTCAAAAAGTAAGTATCGATAGAGCACCGGTGCAGATATTGCTGTCGCGTATTCATGTTCCCACACTTTATTCGATCATCGGTCTAAAAATATGTAATCTCCATACATACATAGCTTGAGCCAAAGCGAACACATAGAAGAGCTGCAGTGTTGTCCAAAGAAGCGGCGGCTTAAAAATTGGTGACGCATGCCTCCAAAGCATCGTAGGTAGCGAAACCTTCTCATCTTTTGCTACAGTACATTCCAGCCTTTTGACCTAAAAATGCCATTGATTTAGAACAAAACAATATTTACCGAAGCCGACGTCGGGACGTAGTTAAAATCAATGATCTAATATATTATGCATTTAAAACCGGTATCGGTGTTTTATTTAAGAGTATCAGTTGTGTAACAATGTATTTAGATATAAAGAAACCTTACCGAGAAATCTTCTCGTTTGCCCCCATTTGCTGCAAAAATGTTCTTCAAAATTTCCAAACACTTCACTTCTTCTCCTTGATCAGCTAGAAACTTGGGGCTTTCATTTAGAAGTAGCATCATCAGAGCTCCGATCCCAAGTGGAGCAGCCATAGCCAGGACGAGAAGTCTCCAAGATCGAAATATGGTAGTCATCCATGGTAAGTAAAGATTTACAGACAGCGGGAGAATCAGGTACGCAAGACCTAAAGATGCAAGAGGCTATTTAGAAAAGAACTCTTAAAACATGGACAATCTCAAAGTTATAAATCTAAATAAATTTCAACTAAACCACAGAAAATTGTCTCCCATATAATAAGTGGCTTTCTTTCTAGTGAACCTCGTTGTTTTACCGAAAGAAACGGACTCGGAAGCTAAATTCATGCTGTTCAGAATGAAAATAAACTGCTTCCTCTTCTTAAAGCCAATGTTTTCTCCAAGATATGTTATTGTGAGCATAAAGGAAGCCATTGAACTGAAAAAAAAAACTGACTTTAGTGTAGATAGATGAGAATGACAATAACTAATGATCCTACTCTATTTTTATGTAAATTAAAGTGGCCTTGAAGGATTGTTTAGTCTAATAAATCTTTTCTCACACTTTTTATAAGTTACACGTCACCGCTGTATGGAAATTCAACTTTAAACATTTGCTAAATTAAATATGGTTTGAAATAAGCCACTTAGGTTTTTGAGCTGTTTGGCGATATGTTACAGCATCACGACCTGATACATACAACAGCATATTTATTTGCTAATGATATTTCTCAGTTACGACGTATGATCAGCTCGTAGAGCCAAGTAGCTCAGCAAATGGCCACAAAAGCGTTGACAATTAAACGTTTAGAATTCCATACTCTTAATTTGTAAGTGTTAGCAGATTAACAAAATTTATATATTATTAATATTAATTCACTTGCTAAGTAACGAGTACATGATGAGTTTGCAATAAATCCACTAATACAAGAAGGATAAAAGCGCACAATTATAAACGGCTTATACGAATACTCGTAACGTTGACTTTGATTGACTTAAGCCATTAGTTTTTACAGGTTGGCATGAGTCATGTTTCGAGGACTACATGATGAGAATATCGGAATATCCCATTCAAATAGATGGAGAAAAGAAGGCTTAAAAGGATATATTATGTATTTTTCTGTGACACTTACAAACACGAGCCAATGATCTTAGATACCATCAAGACCTCCCATCGTGTTGAGAGGCTACTGAGAGTAGCACACACAAAACCTCCGGTTGCTGATAGGATCAGAGCTGGCTTCCTTCCTTTGGTATCAGCAAAATACCCCCAGGGGTATGCAAAAATTAATCCTGACAAATGAAACACGATAAATAAAAATACGAAGTAAGCGGGCAGGTCCCGCAGCGGTTTTACCTGCCTTATACCTTATGCTAAAAATAGAAGGTCCTTTTCGATATATAACAAGTTTCTATAGGACGGATATTAAGTTTTAGAATGACAGAATAAAATTAATCTTATGTATATCTGGATCCTATGTTTCAAAGTGTAACACAGGTATTTTTCACCGAACAGGACGTTTCCAATATAGAAGGATGGATGGAAGAGACGTAAAACTAAATTTAAAGTCACTATTGTCTACGTGTTTCGTATCGATTTATTTACATCTTCTAAGTATCATTAAAAAAATATTTTTACAAAAATCTGGTGAATCTGGTACACACAGTAGATTTCAAGATTTATAAATTATATTTTAAGAACAACTTCACACGCATAAAAGGTATAAATTATACGAATTAAAAATTGAAAATGATAAAATTTCTACTACACGGGCAGGACTTGAACCGACTTCATCAGCGTTCCGCTGAGCTGTTGCTCTAATTGAGCTACTAAGTCATATGCCCGTGCAAGTCCTGCCCAAGTCGCGAAATTTAAAAAAAAAATATTTTCGATTTTTAATTCATATAAAAAAAATATAAAATTTTCCATGTCCACAATAGTTAAATAATTTAGTTATGCTCAAAAACTGTGCAGAGTATTATTATTCAACAAACATTAACAAGACGTGGGTCGGGTCAAAGTTGGGTGACTTTGTTATATTATATTTTATATAAAAATTGCTCTGATGCAATCACGTAAAAAAAATACATACAAGAAGTTTTTTCGCACAGACAGTTGTTCCCACAAAACATCGTTGCTCAAAAAACTATAATTATAACAATAAAATATAATTTTATCGATTGTTTCATTATATTGATGGAAAGGGAAATATTCCAAACATATAACATTTTCATCTTGACAAGACAGTGTGTACAACTATGTTTTATAGCCTAAAGCCTTCTTCAATAAATACTCTAAGCAAACCTATCAATCGAATAGTTCCTGAGATTAGCGCATATAAACAAACAATTTTCAACACCTACCTGAAAAGGGTGAACTAGCGAGTAGACCCATTTGGCTGATGGTAAGATTTAGATCACAGTTAGTGGCGGCCACCACCACGCTAAACCCGAACAGGTCCATCGAAGCCGCCATATTTATTATGCAACATGCTAAAAGCACTAAGTAGTTGTACCGTCCGTGTCCTAGAAACAATCACAAATTAAATACTGTCTATAGTTTACGCGAGTAGTACACATTTAAATAAAACACTTTAACGGTTTAAAACGCATATGGCGCACGTCGGGTCGAAGTTAAAAATAATTTTCCAATAAGTTTAACTAATATATCGCCTTTTAAACCGTTCAAGTGCTTTATTTAAATAATCACAAATTCTTCATCTTTAATGCTCAAACGATTAAGGGTTTGTATCTCTGGACTAGCTGTGTCAGCGGCTTCGTCCGAGAGAATCGTTATTTTGGGCACCCAAATTCCTCTATCTTTATCAATTATAGCAGTTACCCACGACGTCGGTCGCGTCCCTTCCCGTCTTCCTTGCAAAGTAATCTTAATAGATAGATTCTTTAAACTTCGTTCTTTCATTTGTAGGTCAGTGGTTCATTATCCGAGCAGAATTTTCGATATCCCTATGTGGGTATGATAAACCTACATTTTCAGACCGAGTCCAACAACTTTTAGAAAAATTATAATTTGGTTATAAGCATGGTGGACCCGTTTAGGGTCGAACCCACGACCCGTTATCCATACATTGCTACCATAAAGTAAATATCGAATAGTCTATGAAGAAAAATATACATTTTAGTACTGGCCTAAAAAATAAAAAAAAAAATTCTGTTCTGATGAGTATAGGTCATTTAGTTAATAAGCTTCCGTAATTTTTAATGACTCAATATACAAATCGCCTTGCAACATAATAGTTTCGGCCAGGCAGGGCGCAGAGGTTAGTTCAACTTATTGTCAGTAAATGAAATAAGGCACTGATGTATCTGTATTTTATCTCGATTGCTTGGCAAAAACTATGGGTATACTTCCAATACCTTTGTACATTCGGAATTATATTGTGGAAAAATGTTACGCGTGTAGTAAAATCACTTATTGTAATAACGTATTGATAGTTGATTAAACGCAGGTACATAATATAATATTTATGAGCTTACGAGTCCACGCTGATTTAAACGGATAAATAAATACGCATATAAGTCAACTTATATTTAATTACGACCCGTCGCTTGAGATTATTTGCGTTACGTTGGGTCGCCGTCACACACTCTAACCGTTAAGTGATTGACTAAAGTTGTTTACTATAGATGAAATATACTTAAATAATTAAATAGATCCAGAGCTAAAATAGGACAACAGCGCATTGTTTAGATGTTACATGACTGGGGTATTTCAACTTTAATTAAGTGAATTCCTTATTTGTCTATTCTTCTATATAACACAAATCTATACATGAGTTAAAATTTGTTCTAGAGAAATATTTTATTCTTAATTTCATAGAGGACACTAATCAAAGGCCATGGGATTAGTCCACAGACTTAATAAATTTTCACCCAAAACAAATAAGTTAGATAAATTAAGTGAATAGCTTGTAATAAACAAAAGATACCGCTTTGACCGTGTAACTAAATGGTTATAGATGTGCAAGGGCCCTGGGTTAGAATCCTGGGGAAACAAATCTTTTGGTCGGACAGGCACAGATGATCAACTTCTTGCCTTTAAATCAAACCGATCAGTGAATCGAATTTTAAGAAGAGAAATAACACTTTTTAAATTAAAAATCTAGTAAATATAGTGTCATCATGTGAAAATAATTAAATAAAAAAAAAAAAACACTTACCAGTCGCTTCGAACGCGTCGTCGAACGTTGAATGCACTGCGCCGTGCTTATTTTCTATATCCTTAATCATCTCCGAGGCGTCTTCTCCGTGGAAGCTGCGCTATAATAATGCTGACCAGTTTCTCATTCCATTAGTAGAGTAAATAAAATATATTATCCGAATTTAAATAACAAAACTCGATCTGACACGAGATAATTGTAACTAAGGCCCTGATGGTGCATGCGTTTAGAAGCATTTTTATGAGTCAACGTCTTCCCTTTTATGGAATCATGTCACATACCTTTCGCACTCCCGGGGCTCTTTTGATCTGTGGTGAAAAGGGGATGGTGGCAGAGAGCCAAAAGCAAATTCATATTGGAATAATTTCTTCCGCACGATATATACAAAGTTATGTAGAATGTATTTGTATTTAAAATTAAATAAATCCATACTACAGTAAATAAATAAATACAAATACTACAAAAAAGGTCACAAAAACATTGGCATTGAAAATGAATTAAGTATTTTGTTTAATTGAGATGATTTGGAATATATAGCGCGACATATGCGGCGAAGAACACATTTTGGCATGACCCCGGGGTCTCCCCGTGACCACAGCTGCTGCAAAGCATCCGAAACGTCGAGCGGAACTTTAAAATAATTTATTAATAAGTTTAACTAATATATTTCGCGTTTTTAACAATTAAAAGACTTTAATTTAATCCGTTGTGAAATCATAATCCCGCCTTTAATCAATATAGACTGAATGCGCATTTTAATTATTTGTTATTTGGCTCTAATTTTTATTTTCTGGCCAGAACCGAGAGATCGGTTTTGGCCGTCTGTTTCATAGATAGTCATTATTTATTACCATTTATATTACAATGAATATAAAGAAAACACTTTACGTCGTTTAAATAAAACATGTGTGAATTAACTAATTTTAAATTTATTCTGGCCGTTGTTATTATATGTCACGGTGCTTGAAATTGTCGATTTAGGTATGTAGGTACAACTCGCATAAACGATAGTCGATATAATATTGTGTCGGTATACATTGAAATCCCGTTTCCCATGACTTGATCAGAAATAATTTATCGTATCCCCGGAAGTCGAAACCGGGGCTGCTCGCCACGTTTAAGCATTTAGCTACGGAGGCGCTCGGCATAATTATAGTTGCAATTATTCGTTGAATTCTACTCGTTCTGCGTCCTTGATTTGAAACAAGTACATAATAGTAATCAATCTATTTGACGTTCAAGTTCAGAGCTACCTTCTAGTATAATTATAGTAGAATTTCAATAAATCAAAGATAATTGCTTCGAGAATTGTTCAAATAATTCATCTGTTTTTACTTTGTACACGATTTTTATGACATTAAGGTCTACTTCAATTGTGAGGAAGACTAGCACTAGACTAGTTTTGACTAATCGGTCGTTGGCGAGGTGGAGGATAAAAGAACACGGGGCCAAGCACCTGCCCAGAACAGAAAAGCACAGAGGCAGAAGGTCAACAAGGCACTGGTTACGACAAGCACGTTCTTCGGCAGTGAATACGGTGTGAAATCGATAATGCTAATAAAAAATCAAAAATATTATATGGAGTAATAAATTCATTAAAAAGTTAATCTTGAAAGATCTAAGACATATACTATCTGCGGATATTTTGTTGGATCGTTGAAGCCTTCCTTAGATTAGCGCTTTTAAGGAAATAAAAAAAACATAAAAAAAAACAATTTAACGGTTTGAAACGCGGTTAATATTTGTTAAACTTATTATAATATTATTTTAACTACGACCCGACATTTCAAATACGTTGGTTTAAAATAATTTTTAAATAAGTTTAACAAATATAAATCGCATTTTAAACTGTTAGTGTTTTATTTAAATGTGTACTACTCGCGTAAGCTGCAAACAGTATTTAAACAAACTAACTCTTCAGCTTAATAATATTAGTATAGACGCATACCATAAGCAATCAAAATACAGCACATAACAAAATAATTAAGTTAAAAAAATATACCAAAGAATTATATAATTCATTGAACTATCGCGTCTCTGGATGTAGAAATAAAAAAGTATCAAAGGTTGTTTAATTCTTTATAAATACTGAAATTAAACATCGACAAAATTATAAACATAACTTTGATAGATGTCGTTCTTCGATTACCTTTAACCTTCCTTTAGTCTTTCCTTTACAATGGTAGGAACACTGACACGAGACATCCAGCTGTAAGCAAACAAACGTAATAAGTAATTAATGTTAGGTAGTATTTTTTGATAAATATATATCTTAATACTAACTATAATACAAACAAGTTGTATTATGAGATGTAAAGATATTATTGAAAAAGGCTTCAATCTTACTAAGGATAAATTTGACGTGGGTATGCCTGAAGATAGAACTTTAGCAAAAATGTTAATTGTCATTTTAGCTTATACATATGTATATAAATGTCAAAACATTAAATTAAAACATCTGTCACAGTTTGACACTCAAAAATGTTTTGTCTAAAAGCGTGCTAACATTAAGCTTGTAGTAAAAATTCTTCGGCCCAACGTTTTGGATGCTTTGCAGCAGCCGTGGTCACGGGGAGACAAGACTTAATATCGCGTTTTTAACCGTTAAAATATTTTATTTAAATGCGCACTACTCGCGTAAACTATAGACAGTATTTAATCTAAAAGATTTTACAAAATTGCACCCTCCTCCATATATTGTAACCCTATTGAAAACTAAACGAATTCTTACTCAAAGAACAATGGCCAAATTTCATAGATACTGGAACAGACTAAAATTTTCCACGACCAGTAATAAATGGTTTGATTTACTTTGATGTATTACATACTAACCTGTATCAAAATATTATTAAAAATGCCAACATTTAAACTTAAAAAAAACGTTTGAGATTAAAATCTATAAAAAAAAGAATTAATAATCTTACATAACGTTTCGTAAAGTGAATTAATAGAATGATGTAAAATGCGCGTGAGTTCGTGGGATTAAATAAGTTTTTAAACACATGACGTATCAAAACTAAATGTCAACTGTCTGCCACATGTAGTGATTCTAAATGTCAATCTATAGCGCAGATGACAAATCGATCCGTAACACGCAAATTATCAAAATACGTTTCGTTTCTCTTACATATAAAGAGCAAAAATAAAACAATTAATATTGGATATAATTGGGTGTTATTAACGTTACCTACCAATAAATTCGATACGCGAGCTCTAACTACGAACATAATAAAAATATAATATATGGAAGAAAACAATTCATTTTTTCCCGACTATATTATTAATATTTCCTAGAATAAAAAAGAATGGATATTTTACTTAGCACATGGTCGTCGTCAGGTACGATTTGGCCATTGTAATTTTACAAACTTTATAAACTTCGATTTGGTTCTCAATCTCCGCTCAGTCGAGGAGCACAAAACCGACGATGCCACGTCTCGATGATTCACATTCGACGGTGAAACGTCGAGAACAATTTCTCCACTGCGACGGCTTCACAGAAATTATAAGGAGTATTGCAAGGGTCCGCGAAATCTTATACAATTTGCTAAACTACACTGCTTATGAGTGCTGTTAGAGTAATAAAATATATACTTACAAAAAGCTAAAGCGGCGAATGTATAAAAAATTGCACTGCAGTGGTTGACAACGGTGGCACCAATCAGCACAACAGCTGATAATGACACTAATCGTCCAAGCATAAAGCCCAAACTCGGGGCTAGCGACCTGAAAACACCAAGGGTAGTTTTTAAAGCTTTGTCTTTTGTCTTTTTAAAACTTTTAGCTTCTTTGTAGTTCGATTTTCATGGACTCGAAAATAGCTTTATCTATTTCGTACTTTAGGCAAACTGTTACAAATAACGAACTTCGTTATCAAAATAACGAAGTTCGTCGTTTAATAAGAAGTTTAAACGAATTACCTACAAGATGTGGGATATAAGTCCACGAAATATGAAGCGATGCCTCCAGTACCGACTGCTGTTATTTGTGCTAAAGAAAAGAATATAACACTTGCTATTGGCTGCTTTATGACTATTATCTGAAATAGAATGAAAATATTCATCATCAAATACTTAGAAATAAATTGTTATAAAAGGCTTTTGTAAAGCTTATAGGCAAATTTAGATCAAACTATGAAATTAGTTATTAAGATTATTTTTATATCTTTTGTAAATATTTTTATTAATAATAGAAAAGGACTGCAATGAGTTCACTTAGAAGCTGAAATAACGATGCCTATTGCATGCAATGATGAGCGCTGTCGACTTATTTCGATCGACATTCCTACGATCAATTGAGTGTCCTTACACTATAGCCGGGCGCTGCTTAAATAGTTTAGATGAAATGTTAATCGTTTAGGGAGACACGTTTCACGTGGTTGGGAATAAAATTGTTGGTTGTCAACCATAGCTAGAAAGTAAAAAGTGAAAGCCCCTCGTGGGGCATGGGGCCAACACATTTCTGTGTCCGTTTCACCGATCCGCTCTTTTAACGGGCAAGAAGTGGATAAGACTTCTGTGCCCTGGTCGACCGAAACAATTTTATATTTCCCTGGTATTCGAACCCAGGACCTCTCGTGCTTAACGCAATGCAAGGCAATACGTTTAACCATTTGGCAACAGAGGCGTTCCATATATATCCATGGCTAAGCAGAACGTAAAAAAAAATATCCTATAGTTTCCCAATCGAAATTTAAGATTAAATTGGTAAAAATTCAATGAAAAATATTATAATTATTTAAGGTCACCAATATATACAGCGAAAAACCATTACTCATCTCATCTTATTTACATAAACGTAATAAGATAAGAATTCGAAACACCGTAAAACATATTAAGTTAATTTATTACTTTTATTTTTTGTTTGACGATGCACGTATTTGCACTGTGTCAATCGTTTATCTAAAACCCCAAAATATCTTACGCGAAAGACATCATTGAATGTTAACGTGTATTAAATATCGTAATTTTAACGTACGTAAAATACGCTTTAAGTGACACCCCAACTTAATAAAGGCATTTTTTTATTATTATTATACTAGCGGTGCCAGCGACTTCGTCCGCGTAAAATCGTTATTTTGGGTGTCGAAATTCGTTTTTGCAAACCCCGATAAATTAAGCTGTTACCCACAACGTCGTCAGCGTCCCTTCCAGTAGTTCTTGCAAGTTAATCTTAGAAGATAGACATGTAGTGTAGCGGATTTTTTTTTTGGATTATTTAAAGAGGAATAATTCTTTTGTACATATTTTTCAGGTCTCTTTAACCGTTTTTGCAGCGTACGCATCAGAAACCCACAGAGAAGTAATTTTCCCCTTTTTTTCCACAATTCACGCCGTTTATGATAAATGCTCTAATTAACACAAAAAGTTTTTTTCAATTTGAACCAGTAGTTCCTGAGATTAGCGCGATCAAACATACAAACAAACAAACTCTTCGGCTTTGTATATTATTATAGATAGATTGCCTCACCATGACACAGCTTAGACCAGCTACTCCAAGAACAATTATCAACAGCAAGCGTCGCCATGATGCGAACCTAGCGACTGACAAGTTTATTATGGAGAAGAATAGGCTGGCCACGATACCAGAAAATATTGTCTCCTCTGATAGTGTACCGTTGCATGTAGCCTGGAAAAAGGAAGAAGGGAGCACAATAGCTTTGAATCGTAGCTCGAATCACACAATTTTTGGTTTTCTTAGAATTCGAACCCCGGTTTAACGCAAAACTAGGCAACACGTTTAACCATTGGGGCCAACTATTTATATGTAAGAAAGTTTTATCCTGTTTCCCCCTCGTAGGGCATGGGGCGAACACATTTCTGTGTCCATTTCACTGATCGGTTCTTTTACATGCAAGTCGTTGTGCAGACTTCTGTACCATGCCTAACAATCTATTGACTCCCCGGGACTTGAACCCAGGACCTATTGCGCTTAACGTAGCTAGGCCACACTTTTAACCAATTACCTTATCCCTGACTTATATATATACATAATAATATCGGTATATAATTAGGCTAAGAGATTTCTTTCTATGCAGAGCTTACCGTTGCATTTCCGCCAGGAACTGAAACTTCATTAATGCTCTCACAGAATACAACTTCTTCGCTCTCTGTTGCTATAGCTTTGAATACAATATCCAACATTGTAGGAAACCACATCACAAACGCGTTGTTACTGAAAAAGAAAATCGTCGGTTATGACAGATTGCCATAATGTCTTATCTTTCGCACCTACGACCACAGCAAGCTTACCTCTGTAAACGTACGCCAGTATGGTTCAAGACACAAATAAGTAAAAAAACGCGCCAATATATTAATTTTTTTTTCTGACGTCACAAAAGAAAATGGTTATTCTCATTGGTGTAATGGTAGCAATGCATGATAGTCACGAATCGTGGATTCATTTACCAACGAGTTCAACATGTTTCCGAAATCAAGTTGTTGTTCTTTTTTAACATTTTAGTTCAAATGGAGTAAATGACAGCTCGTTTTGAACAATCTGGATCTCTAATCACCTCCCAACAAGACAACCCTCTCCGCCCCTCTTATAAAAAATTTGAACTACTCACATGGAGCAAGTCAGTGATATCACGTAAAATAGCTGCATCGTCCTCCAGAGGAGAGGAGGCATAAACAGTTGCTTCATCTGCTGCGCCATTGAACCACAAAAGGAAATCTCTTTGACTTGACACGTGGAATGTAAGGTTTCAACCTGTAATATTTTTGTTTAGAAGGCAATATAGTTAACATCTTTAAGTCCCTTGTTCTCTAGTCTATGGTGTGATGCAGACAACGATCTTTGTGTTGCAGCTCTATAGTTTTTGGTTTGAATTAATTGACTATTAAAGAAATAATAAGTACTTCGTAATAACAATACCTTACCTTTATATTCCTTTAAACGTAAGGACAGAAGGCTTTACAATTAAAATGATGCCATCAGAAATATATGCGATTTCAAACAAATAACCAACATTATGACTTATTTTACGTTACTTGTATCAGAATGTGCTATTGGTGATTTCTGTAAATTCACCAATACGCAGGTTAGCAGCTCAACTTACAGGAAAGTCATCTTCTACACCACCGTTAGCTATAAATATCCTTTTCAATGCTTCAATTGCTTTATCTTCTTCGCCTTTATCCGAGAGAAATTTCGGGCTTTCTTCTAAGGAGAGCATGAGTAAAGCTCCAATACCCAGAGGAGCAGCGAGGATTATATTAAATAACCTCCAGGAGTTAAAGGAAATGGCTAAAAGGGACATGGGTAAGGAAAAAGATAGGGGTAGGACGAGATACGCAAGGCCTGAAAAGGATTTGTACTTTGTATTCATATTTTACAAAAGAATGAAATTACCACCAATATTGGTATGCTAGCTGTTATCAACAACATCGTCCACGTCCCGTTGTTTTTGCAACTTAATCTTTAAAAGTAGGTCGCGAACTTCTTTTAGATCATTTAAAGAGGAATCATTCTCTTATAGATATTTTATTATATTTTGGGTATCTTGAACCATGTTCGCAGCGTACGCAACGAATACTCACAAAGATCAATTTCTACGCTGATATTAGTCGCAGTGCGATCTTTTGTAGTATATAACGTTTCTCAATAAATGCTCTAATCGACACAATAATATTTATGCAAGGTCTTTTATGGAAGTTCAGAGCTCAACTTACTAAAGCGAGTTAGGCAAAAAGTCTAGCCATTAAAGTTCACGATTAATATTCAGATAAGATCTTGTACTAAGAATCTATATTACCATAAGAAAAGAACTCGGTAGCCAAGTTCATGCTCATCATGACGAAGATGTACTGGCCTCTGTTCTTCTCTCTTGTGCTTTCGCCGAGGTACGTTATCGTTAGGGTGAAGGATGCTGTTGAGCTGAAAGTTTAGTATGTAGGTCAATTTTAATTCTAATTTCGTAGACATTCTTAACTTTGTACCAAATGCCAAAACAGTACAAATATCTTTAGTTCTTGACACTCTTAAACTAACATAATATGGCGCTAAATTTATATAATTATTTATTTCAAATATGAAATACTATATAAGCTGCAACTCAAGTACGACTTATCTGTAGTAACATAATGGGGCCACATAATATCACTGTTGGGACATTAGTCCCAACGTAGCTGAGAGGACCTCTTTTCAGAGGCAACAGTATTATTATATTTTATCTGTACTTAGTTATATAATAATTTATTCGTTAATCTTTATGTTATGTTTGATAAATGTAAATCTTGAGTTGTGTTTGAATAAACATATTTCATATTTGTAAGGTTTTATCCCGAAAAATACTTCATATTCATACTTCTTAGCAACAAAGAAAGCTAGTACCCTTGATTTGAAAAATACTTACAAGCTACACCCGATCACCTTCAGAACCAGCATCATCTGCCAATTGACAGAGAAGCTCCCGAGCAGACCGAAAAGAGATCCGACTGCCGTGGACAGAAGCAAGGCTCGGCGTCTTCCTCGTGTATCTGCGTAATATCCCCACGGATACGCAAAAAGCAATCCTGAAATATAAAAAGGAACTCTCTTTAGCCAAATGGTAAAACGCTGAGCGCGTTAAGCGCAAGAGGTTGTTTTTTTTAATGGATGGGAAGTGAGATAACGAGCCATATAACATCTACACAAGATGGGCTGTCAATCTATTTTGGCTTTAAATATCCGGTTCAAATCATATAAGTCTGATTAATTACTTGCCTGTAAAAAAACTCTATAAGCTCCATATAATTTTCGCCCCATTTCAAGCAAGTTTATGATGCAAATTTCTAATGATGTTACATTAAAATAAAAAAATAAAATAAAATATGTAAATAGTAGAAAAGCATATGTAGGATTATATTTCTGATAAGATTCTTATTGTTATACAAAATGTGTCCTTTTGTCGCATCCCCGGTTTCACGGGGAATGTCTGTCTGTCTATTCTAAACTTTAAACTTACAAAAATAATTATTTACCAATTAGGAAAATAATATACATTGAAAAATCAACATTAATTCGCTCGCTTAAATTAGATTTAAAATATTAATACTGTTTTTTTATGATTTGTTTCTTATTTTATATTTCGTAGAAAGGAAATCTTAATTTGCCTTGTGATTTTAAAAATGTTATAAATCCCGAGAAATATTAGGACTTTGTTAAAAAGTTATTATCTAAACGTTGCTTTTCGAACCGTGCAAATTACTTAATTTAAAGTACATTTTTTGTATTATTTTTATCAAACAGATTTTTTTCATTTGTATGTATACAACGAAAAAGAGTGTGTCATTCAACGCTACATTTGATGCGATAAACCATGAGCTTAACACATGGTATGAGATAAAATTTGCGCGTATCCAAATTTTCTTTCGTTAAGATATGAGAATGAACGCAGACGAAATACTTGAAGTGATAGTCACGACTTTACCATCAAATGAAAATCGGAATTGCGATAGTATCACTTTAGTAAAAATAATCGAATCATCATAATCAGTCGACAATTACGTTTGAATTGTTATATATAGTATATATATTTATATGGGTTGGTTAGGTGGGACCGTATAAGAGACCCACGCTTATACACTGTCGGATGCCTACAACTATCGCCAGTACGCCAGTTAGAAGTTAGAATCTGCTCTAGAGTACGAAGAGATTCGTAATACCTGCGCTAGTGTGATAAGCCTCTTAAATCGGCCTAACTTGCTTTTCTAACACGGAGGTGATGTCACCTCCATATTCAAGATTCTCGAGAATTTCTAAGAAAATAAGGTAGATATAATTTCCCGTTCCTATTCGAATCATGGGCATCGTTATCTGTATATATAATATACAGACGCGAAATATAACCTAAGGATTTATGTGTTTACTAATATATTACTAAGTCACTATCTATAACACCTCTTAAAACAGATAAAAAAGTTTTTTACCCCAATTTAGTTATTACCGTACCTATGCGATCACAGTCCTGTGTTTTACTGATCGATTTTTATCTACATCCGTCTGTGTCCCGTCCGACCGAAACAAACAAAATTTCTTCTCCTATAATCGAATTCTGGTACCAAATTGTGCCAGGATACATTCAGTAGTTTACCTGCAAATGGAGATCCAGCGAGTATCCCAATCTGACTGATGCTCAAGTCCAGGTCACACGAAGCAGCAGCAACAGTTATAGCGAAGCCAAACATATCGAGCGCCATAGCCACTGATATTAGACTGCATGCTATCAACACCTTGTAATTGTACCAGCCGTGTCCTGGAATTGTGGAGAAATTTAAGGATAAATAAAAAAAATACACAAGCGGTAATCGAACCAGCGACAGTTGAATTATATTGCCGTGTCAACATTTATATGTATTGGAGTTTTATCTAATCTAAAAAATATATAAAAACATTAAAAATACGTCAATAGCCAATTCTGAAATAATAGATATAAATTAATACACAAATACATAACTTAAGTTTTAATTTTTAGTGAAATCTGCTACGCTACCGCGATCTGTTGCGTCGCTGTTGATATTTGGAAAAAAACCTTGAGCCGTAGTCGAAACAAAAATAACTAATATGTTTCGCGTTTGAAACCGTTAAAAGTATTATATTTTAATGTGTACTGGTCGCGTAAACTACAAACAATTATCGAGAGACAAATTTATTTACACCTATAACTGGAAAGTTAGAAACTAGAAACAATATTATTTGTTAGTATGTTACTTAAGAACAAACGAATATTTAAATAAAATAGATTAAAACGCGATGTATTAGTTATAACGAATATTTCTTAGCCGCGAGATGTCGAGTTGATCATTCAAAATAGAAAGAGTAGAATTTATGAAGCGTTACCAGTCAATTCAAAAGCTTCTTCGTAGCTCCAAGAACCGTTTTTAACATTTTTCTCTGTGCTTTGCTCATGTTTTTCTCCACTTGCACACATTTTGGACACGCAACCTCAACGAGATCTGAACCACTCTGAATGTATTGTTTACTAAAATTAATTCACATCAAATATTAAGTGTTTAATTTGCATTATCATATTTATCGAGTTATTTTAGGTTGTATTAGTTTTGAGGTTGAAACAAACATTAAATCAAAAATAAATTCATGTGCAAGGTAGAATACTTCGTCTTAACAAAGAGATTTGTGCTTTCAGCTAAACAAACTAAACTCTTAGCCATTTATTTTAGGTAGATGTCTGATGATGTCTGATGTCATGATGGTCTAGGTGACCTGCGCAAGCGCATAATCCTAATAACGATAACAAAATATTTGTTACTCGTTGCATTCAATTGCAGTAGGTTCCGGGTTCAAATCCTGAGTCGAGCGAAGTTTTCTTCTGTTATATAAAAATGTATTTCGGTATTTGAAATTTATATAATATAATTTCGACCATTACCGGAGACTTTGGAAGTGTGAGGTGTGGTCATCCGCGTGTATTGGAACTTTAAGCCGTCACCTCCGATGGTGGCCACTAAGTGGGGTAGTTAAAACGCCCCGAATGGAATTGATAGAACGGTGGGTCTGAGCTTGTACAGCTCTCTCCTGTACAACAGGCAACCTGTGCCCAGCTGTGGGACTATGATAAATAATGATGATAAATGATGGTTGCTGGATGTGTAAGAAGATGTGAAAAAGATTTAAAAATCCATCCAAACATATCGCATACATCATGAATATTTCCTTGGTTAACCATATATGTAATATATATTCAATAACGAACAGTTTCACCGTTCACCAAATACATATATGCTTACATGTATCTGTTGTTTTGGATGCAAATCTCAGTAGCTAAAGATTAATCGTATTGCCAAGCATTGCGGTAACAGCGAGAGCTCCTGGATTCGCGTCCCGGGGAAACAATACATTGCTAAGGTCGGGCTGGGCACAAAAGTCCAAACTACTTGCCCGTAATACAATCAATCAGTGTAGCGAACACAGAACCGGATCTGTTGTTTAGTATACCATTAACTATTAAGTAATTAAATAAATCGATAGTTTAAACAAAATTTTGTGTTTTTTTAAGTTTCCCGAGAATTTAAAAGGAAAGTATAAAGTGAAGCATCTTAAATACTGTCTATAGTTTACGCGAGTAGTACACATTTAAATGGTCACTGTGGCCGTGGTCACAGGGAGAGTGTCTCCCCGTCTCCCCGTGACCACGGTTGCTGCAAAACATCCGAAACACCAGGCCGAAGTTATAAATCATTTTCAAATAAGTTTAACTAATATATCGCGTTTTAAAGTGTTTTATTGAAATGTGAAGCATCTTGTTTTTCTTGCATTACCCTTGCTCGTTATCATATTACGAAATATAGGAAATTATTTACATATTAGGTGTTTGCTCCGCTGAGATTTGAAGATTAGAATTGTTTACTTTCTACTGATAAATACATTTTCTTCGCATATAAAATGATGATGATTGCTACCGCAATATCATCGCAAAGGTTGATCGTGTTTGAAGAACTTACAGGAGAAAAATAAACGAAAAACATTATTTATTCCGCAGTCATTGTGTTGAGACATGTCGTTGGCCGTTCGTTATTCCGACGAACAGCAAGGTTTTGCTGCAGAAAAGTGTTGTAGCATAACTGTGCTGCAAACTTAGGCTGACGCAAGACCCTTTTGGTATTATTTTTTCCTTCAATTTGAATAAATTTTTTATATTCATTATTTTACTTTAATTATATTTTTTATTCACCAGTATTGTACAATATAAATACTAAATAAAGAAAATTATTATTATTATATTTCCCCGTTCATACAGCGACTTTAACTTAGGTACAATTTTAACAAATTCGTTATATTTGATAAAAAAAATGTATGGTTTTAAACGCGAAATATTTGACTTATTTTTACGAACGGCCCGACGTTTTGCCTTTTTACTTGATGTGCAGTACCTACTCGTCTAAAGTACTGTCAAGATTGGTTCAACAGTGCAGTCATTTCCACCAGGACCATTTCTAAAACGTACCTGGTAGTAATACCAAACTTCCGGGCATGAAGACGTTTCGGCTTCAGTTCGTGGATTCCCAAATGTCCAAAGCCCAAATATTCCATCATAAAATTTGGTAAATGTTATGATGAAGTACGCATACCCGATTTTTCTTCGTCAGGTAGTGACGTGATGTGTTCACCATTAAATATCAGCATGTCCGAAAAAATAAGTAATTTGCCAGCTCGCACTTGGCAATCTTTGTATATTGATAGTACTTAGTCTAGTAAGCCTTGTAACGTTTGAAAAGTTTAACATTTTTCACATGTTATAGACACTATATTGTTAAAAAAATCGATTAGATTGAAAATATTTAACGACACGGGCAGGACTTGAACCGGCATAGACGGCGTTAGAAGCTGTTGTTCTAACTAATTTAGCTCCAGGCCTTACACGTCATCCTATAATCGATTTTAAAGTATTTAACACTAAAAATAAATTCGGTATAAATGACTTGATCTATCCATCTAGTTCTGCTAGACATGACCTAGTTTTCCAGCAGCACCTATAAATAGACCTTTTGTGACAACCACTCGCGACATTGCCGCTGATTGTAATAAGTATTTCCTATTCACTTTGATGTCATGGATTAATAAAAAATGCTCAGAGACTAGAAGTTCAAACGCTAGGGAGATCTATTAAAGGTGTGAGTGGAAATGTTTTCCCGTTTCTTTCGCCGCATGATTTCCGTATAATAAGATACTTTTCAACGGTTTAGCTTGCCTTCAAAATATGACCCGACGTTTAAAACACTTTACCTAACACCATAGTAACGCACATAGTAAGTAGAGAATTGTTATTTTGGGCATCCAAATCTTTATAAAGTTAAGCTGTTACCCACGACGTTGGTCGCGTCCCTTCCCGTTGTTTGTCACATTTCTCGCTGTATTTTCGCTTATAATAATAGTCACAGGGCGATGTTTTATAGCCTTCCTCGATAAATAACAACACAAAAAGATTTTTTATTTTTTTTTTAATTCAAACCAGTAGTTACTGAGATTAGCGCGTCCAAAAAACAAAACTCTTCAGCTTTATATATTCGTATAGATAAGAACAGTTCAAGTTTTCAACCCTTCAGCGTAAAAAAATCTACATATAAAATATACCTATTTTAATTTAAAAATCGAAAATAAATTTAAAAATGGAACGCTGACGTTGCCGGTTCAAGTCCTGTCCGAGTCGAAAATTTTTCAATTTATTTTCGATTTTTAAATTATATAGTGCCTTCGTGTGCAATAAATAACATGTAAAAAATAATAAAGTTTTCAAACGTTATACCTATTTGGTCAAGTACGTCTTCACTCGCTAAGCTATATTAATTAATTTATCAACGTAATTGTTTCATTGGATAAAATGATAATCTGGAAAGCGTGTGGATACTAATCGCTTTAAGATACGTCACGTAATACACTTCATTATTTAATTCTATTATTATAATCTCAATCTCTCGTTTACGCGAGTCGTAGACGATGATGAGAAAAATGTATTAGTTAAACTTGTTTACATTTTTTTATGGATGCTTTAGAGCAGCCGTGGTAAGGGTGGGACTGCGGACTTTTTGTTTTAAATGTACTTGTTAAAAATCAGTACGTTAAATGTGGTCTAGTTTTTTTTTAGTTCATTTATTAAACTACAATACTATTCTGTACAGCATATCTTACGTCAAACTCCGTTTATCTTAAGATTAATTTACCTGATCATTGTTGGCGCCATAAGTCTATACACAAATAAAAAACTCGTATTACACTTTGTCAAATTTTTGCTAGTCATTATTATTTTTGTTTAATTTTTATTGTTTCATAGCCATTTTAATATTATCAAAGTAATATAATTAAAATAGAGTTTTATGGAACTTTAAATATGATAAACAACTTGACAATTAAATATTTATAAATTCCGCGGGTTAACCTCGACAGTTAAAGTAAATTGATGTTTTGAAATTTGACAATGACAGCTCTTTTACGGTTGTCAAACATTTTATCATTATAATTTTTATTAAAAAATATATATTTAGGTTATAATATTAAGTTTATTTATTTTAATTATATTAAAATTACAATGGCATATTAAAAAAAAACATAATAAAATCCTAACAATAAATTTAAGTGATGAAATTAATAAAACAGAGCCCTCTAGCGGCACTACTACAAATAGAAAAAATATTTAACCCTTATATCTTCATTCATATCATCCTTTCTGTAGCTAATACGAGTTCTAACCGTAACTACAGCTTTTATTCTGAAAAGGATTCATAGGTATTACGTAATTCGTAAATGCTATGTATAGGTAAGAAATAAAATTTACTATCCATTTCTCCATTTATATTATACTAGCTGTGCCAGCGACTTCGTCCGCTAATAATATTTATTTTGGGCAACCAAAACCGTTTTTACAAACCCTGTATCTTTATATACTTATACTCACCTACTTAAGACAAGTATTGCGTTAAGCGCGAGTGTTCCCGTATTCGATTCCCGGAGAACACATTGCATCTATCAAGCAGGACACTAAAGGCTGATCAACTACGTTTGTGTAAATAAAACGGACACATAAATGTGTCCACCCGATACCAAATGGTGGAAACGGTTTCACTTTATACTTATTGCTAGGTTACATCGTACTAACTATTCGTTACTCGTTCGAACATTTTCGGCTTGACCAATATTGAAAAAACGCAGAAGATAACATAGTCGAAGTACATTATCGCCTCAAGACAGATAAGCTCGTCGAGATAACTTCGTTCACTGTATTGACGTGGCTCTAAGCCAGGTGGTTTCTTCTGTTAACTATTCAATCAGTAAAAACCAGGATATAATCTAGCGAAACGTGCTATCGATCTGTCAAACAGAAGCATCAATCAAGATGAGAGCGACATTCCTTTCCAACCGATAAGCAGCATTCTGCGACTGGCCATAGATGGTGAATTGCGATTTTTTTGTATCGCGCACAAATCACTCAAGCAGCACTCAAGATTTCTGACCATCTCCATATTTTTAAAGGATAGACGAGCATGGGTTTCACATCCATCAAGAGGAGCTATAAGCTATTTTGGCTTTGGATATTCGGAAATCCACAGACAGAAACCGAAACATGATTCAACTTCACGGCTTCTTCGTCTGTGGAATTAGTATCCATGGCGTTGAGACGAGGGGCTGGTGATAAGGAGGAGCTGGAAGCCGGTCCTCTTTCCGTCACCTCCTTTTTTATTGTGTATATTCTTATAGAGATTAAGGAAGCGTAATGGAAACTGATTTGACGTCTTCGTCTACGAAACGTCTTCATCTTCGGCAACGAAACGCTGCAAATGCCTCTTCAAGTCCCGGCCGTATCGATTTTTTTTTCAGTCTAATATCGTATTAATTAATGCCATGATATTCACATGTGAAAAATATCAACGTTTTCAATACATTCCTTTTTTACCGGGCAAATGAAGCTAGCTAGTGTTCTCACGGGGAAAAAAATTTCGTAATCGGCACAGTGATTTTTGAGTTTATTCATTACAAACATACGCACAAAATTATCAATCTACCTCTTTACTTAAAGCCTAACACATACAAAAATAACACCTTACGGTAATTTCTTTGAACGTTCCACGTTTGCAACGAAACTAACAAAATATGTATGTTTTATAAAATTTGGTTGATTCCTAAAAATCCCGTCAGACCTTCTAAAGCCTTGAGTCTTGTCTTATCTATCAAAATCAGGTTATCAATTTGGATCCCCTACTCCGGTGACCTAGGATCAGATTGAGATCGAATTTCAAGTGTTGGGGATTATCGTGACGATGAAAAACCTGAAGAAAAACATCGGAACAATATATGTACAATACCTTAATAAATCATGCATACAGTTACTAGTTAGTGAAACCAGGATAAGGAAGTAAGTTTCGCATGGGCAGATAAAAAACTCCAGAAATAAATCCGTAGAGTATAATAATATTTCACTCATTATTTTGCTAGTGTAGTGTAATCAGATCATCTGTTCCATGATAGGCATCTTGTTCTCTACCAGACCGAAATATTTTTTCTTCTAGTCATCTCTGCTTCTATACACGACCAAAAACAACTGTCAAAGATTACTTGGTAGATCTTACTTAAAATAGACCGAACACAATACAAAAATTTAAATTCTACTTAAAAATTATCAACATTACAAAGAACATCATTCAATTAGCTGTGATATTGTTAACCACTATCTCCTTAATTCTTACATTTTGGCACCAAGCGATAAGACTTCATACAATAAAAACATGAATACATAGTTTACGCGAGTAGTACACATTTTAATAAAACATTTTAACGGTTTAAAACACGATAACGTCGAGCCATAGTGAAAATAATTTTCATATAAGTTTAACTAATATAATATGTATATGGCGTTTAAACCGTTACAGTGTTTTATCTAAAAGTTGAATCCCGTTTTTCCCATTTGGGGTATGGCCAAACACATTTCTGAGTCCGTTTCACGGATCAAATTTCTAAATAGACATAATTTTCAGTACTTCAGCGAAACAATTTAATTCTCTAGAGATCTTTCGTGATTAAAGCAATGCTACACGTGTTTGACTACTAAGATACCGAGGCGGTCTTGCCTGTAATCAGATGAGAATTCGATGTAATAAGAAACATTTGAAAGTGAATTAAAAACGGATTTTAGGCTTAAAAAAATTACCACACCAGCATGATTTGAACCGGCATCCACATCGCTCTGTGCCGTCGCTTTAACCAATTGAGCCACGTGTCCTACACGGCATCGTCTATTTTTTTCAACTTATTGAGACCTCACGCGCCTATGCAATTTTAAACTTGCATGTTCCAAGTTTGTAAGACTGGAAGACTGACTTTTTTATTTCATCAGTTACTCGTAAGAACACTAATTTCGATTCAACCGAATTTTAATTTATTCGTACTTAATTATTTCTTTCTGTATTTTAGGGAAAGATTGTGTTTTTTAACTTCAAGAAAGTTGGAAAAGTGTCGACGAAATACTGCTAACTAATATACTTTTTAATCTATACAGGTACTGATAACAAGCTCACAAGAGGTTAAAGACTTTCTTTTCCCTGAAAACGTTTTTAAGACCTCATTTGAACCGAACAAAGGCAGAAAAAATACGCAATTTACTTTCCTATCTATGTAATCTTTGTCATCAATCAAAATCGATAGATATTAAAATAAAATACTGTCTGTCTCATGTTTGGAAATCATTTTGAAATGTCCATGAGCAAACTAAAATATAGAATTCAAAATACTTATACCAAGCTATAACATCCTAGATCTATCTAGAATTTTAGGGCATTAGGAATTTGAATTTTAACTGTACAAGTTTTAGAAAAATCGTCTTCACTATTTTACACACCCACTTCCTTTTTATAATTATCTACAGAGTGCAGTCTTATCACTCTGTACTATTAATCTAAAGACGATTATAATCAGAATCACATCAGATTTATAAATAAATTGTAATTATAATTGATTTATGAAGATAACATTATAACGTTTTTTATTGTTTCCGGAAAAATGTCTAATATAATTAGAAAATAAATAGTAGTAGCGTTTATTATTTAAGAACGAACAAGGTAACTAAATTCGAATACATGTTCACACTTTTTCTTTTGACTTAGGCTATAAACTATATTTAATATTATGAAGGACGAAATTAGCTCTGCATCCTACCGATGAAAATTGTTTTTCTATTTCCATGGTTTTCAAGCCTTGGAATATTTATTTTATTAAGTATAATTAACACATTTCAATGAAACATTTTTAACAGTTTAAAATGCTAAATATGTCAGTTAACATTTTAATTTATTTTGGTAACGAGGGGCACACACCTGCTCCAAACCATCCGAAATATCAAGCCGTAGTTAAAAATAAATAAGCTTGATATATTTCCCGTTCAAAACCGTTAAAAGTGTTATATTAAGATTGACAATATTGATGATTTGTTACTTCTTTATCGTCTATAGTTTACGCGAGTAGTACACATTTAAATAAAACACTTTAACGGTTTAAAACGCGATATATTAGTTAAACTTATTTAAAAACGATTTTTAACTTCGGCCCGACGTTTCGGATGCTTTGCAGCAGCCGTGTCCCCGTGACCACGGCTGCTGCAAAGCATCCGAAACGTCAAATTAAAATAACTTGTTAATAAGTTTAACTAATATATTTTGCGTTTAAACCGTTAACAGAGTTCTATATAAAAATATTATTAAATTTAATAGACATTTTCAGAGATTACGGTGTACCCGTGTTAGTGGCTTCCCTCGCGGAATTTTTATTAGAAAATTAGTTGACCTGCGCGCGACGCATTCGGCTGTCGATTGACATACAGGCTTCAAGAATAAAATTATTACTCTTGAAAACCGACTTTTTATCGTATCCATACTTTAATCCAGACGATATCTCCGTGCCTTACCCAAACAAAGTTACCAATACAGCATGAGTGTGCGTAATTAGATTCATGCTGTTTTCTATTCAATTTATAATTTGTGGTATAACGTCTGGAAATATAGACATGAATAGGGTGGAATATCGAAATTTCGTCCAAGGTACAAAACACCGTCCGCAAATCACAAAATCATCAAGTTTAATTGCGTTTTATTTCAGTTGGAGGATTTCCGAATATCCAAACCCACACCAATTTTTTTCACCTCCCTTCCTTCTTCAAGTGAAGTGCTGAACTGTCCTCCTTTATCATTAAAAGAACTTCTCTGTCTGTCTGTTACCAGGCCTTGTCTCAAGAACCGTACGGTTAAAATTTTCACAAATTAAAAGGTAATTCATTTTTATCGTAATCATAGAAGGCTATTCTTCGACTTATCAGAACATCTCAAGTCAGTTTAAAAACCGATAACAACAATTAATTCCTACACTATTTGTAACATTTAATTTTTATCTAATTAGTTATAAATCTAACGATATAAAATTTTAAAACCCTGACTTTGTCTTGATTTTACGAAAGATTGTAAAAGTAAATAGTAGGCGTATTTATCTGTGTCGTGTTTCGTGTAATTTCTTTCTACGGTATTGCGTTATGTTTTAGTCTTAAATCATTGGTTAATTTGGTAACTGTTTCAAAAATTACGTGAATTTGGTGCCGTTAGACGAGTAGTTATGAAATAATGTATTTTAACGGTTTATTACGCGTAATATATCATTACACTTATTTTTCACTATGCCCCATGTGTCGGATGCTTTGCAGCAGCCATGGTTATATCAATAACAAATTCTTTCAATTACATTTTTATACACAATATGTGAGACCGCTAGAGGCAGAGCCTAAAAGCAATTTTAAGACTTGAGTTTTTTTTTTACAGTCCAAAAATGGGAATCTACAAGAGCACAGTTACCGTAATTTATTTGCATAATTGTTATATATAATATATATCTACCTATATAAAATCTACGAACAAATTAATGAAATAAACGTAATTACGTCTACTCTTTATTCTATTTTATACTATAAATGATAATCGATAACACTAAAAAGTGCCGATTAAAAATTTTCAAGTTCACGAGATACAAAAAATTACCATAAAACCTAACACCCGATAACGTGTGCTTATCAAACTGTCAGTCTGTATGTCACGGTGGATCGTGGAGAATTTAGCAGTGCAGCACGGACTTACGACGCGTTCCGTTCCTTATGTATATATTATATATGTACATAAAACACAAGTGTACAAACTTTCTGCACTAGTTCGCGTTGTTATTTGGCGGGGTGGCCACGGATACAAAAAAAAAATGTTGCCTCTGGTGATCTTGTTATGTGTAGCCGGTGAGTTATATTTTTATTAAATACATTAACGTATGAAAATATTAATATTTTACAGTCCTAAAGCTATATAAGTGACTCTTGAGAACAGGAGGGTTTTGTGAGTGTTAGCTTATTATACTTAAGATTACTAAAGAGGCTCTTTTAAATATAGCAAAGTTTTTATTTAATCTAAAATAATAACGTCTTGTTTTGTTTGAATTTACTAAAGTTATCATGTCTAAGTAGCTTAAAAAAGTTTTATAATAAGTTTAATGACTTGTCTTAGTTGTATGTTTGTTGGTGTAATGTTTCTAAATTTCGGTCACAACCGGGTATCGAACCTACGCTGTTCGTGAGTGCTAGTCGTTCCTGTGCAATTAATTTTTTCTTTGGAAACTTTATTATTATAATTAAAAATCGAAAATAAATTGAACAAATTTTCGACTCGGGCAGGACTTGAACCGGCATCGTCAGCTTTCCATGCTGTTGTTCTACCAATTGAGCTACCGAGTCCTACACCTCATGGTCGAATTTTTTCAACTTATTGATACATGCATCCCAACATTGCGCAGTAAACGCATGTAAACGAGTCGAATAATTTTTCAATTTATTTTCGATTTTTAATTATTTTTTTCTTTTTCATATATAAGATACTTTTAATAACTTTATTCTTTAGTATTATTGAACTCCGAACGTTATAATTTAGACCAAGTTATATGTTAAAAATGTTTATATAATTCTATATTGGTTTTATTTTTAAATGCTCTGTTATTTATTAATTTACATAATAAATTTACTTATTATATTTTAACCTTTGCATTTTTTATATTAATTCTCTAATTTCGCTGTTAAAAATAGTTTTACAATAATTATAAAACCATCAATCAATTGTAATTTCCTTTGTAGTTTAAAAACCATTTCATGAATTACTGTTTTTTGCAAATAAATAATCAAGTAATAAAAAATAAATGGAGTTTAATAATAAAATACTTATGCATTTGAACAATTTCCTACTTTGTAAGTAGGGAAATTTTGAGTAATTGCCTTTTATAAACTAACTAGAAAATAAAATATAGGACACAATAAAACACACACAACTGTTTAAAACGCGATATATTTCAGTCACTCATATAACTTGTTTGTTTTAACTACGGCACGACGTTTCGGACGAAACCGTTTACCGTTTTAAACCGTTGAAATGTTTTATAAAAGATATTGCTTTTACAAACGAAAGGTAAGGAACAAAACTCTACGCACCAATTTTTTTTACTTTTCTCTCTTATCTCATATTGTCGTTTTATTCTGTTTTCCAAATTATCATTAGGTGAAATTCGAATAAAAACATTTCCATCAGATAAATTGATAGAAACAACGTGATAGTTCTACAATAAATTGGCTCAATCAGGATCGAACCTATGGCCTTCGCACGCGTATGTAATTACCACGGATTGTATGAAAGCGCTATTAGGCCTGACATTGATAACGGTCAGGTTCAAGACCTCGCATTGTAGTTAGAAAACAAAGCACTAATTTGGGGTATGGGGCATAGAACAATTTTTGTGTGCAAATATATTTTTTACTATATTAATTTTTTACTACACTTTTTTTACTTGCTTTTTTCTTTCGAACACTTTTTTAAGCTCCCCAATACAAAAATATAAAAAGCTCTTGGTTTTTTTTTTCAGTTTCGTGAACTTTCTTAAGTCCGACGTGTATCAAAAAAATACTGTTTAAAAATTTTGCATTTCACTGTACTGTTGCTGTTTACCTTAAATTATGTTCCTAACAGGCAAAAGAAAATTATTTGTTGTTATTACTTCATTCAAAGTAACAAGTTTTGTTCAATGTTTCTAGTAAAATATTTTGAAGAAAGAGCGAAAAACGAGGGCAAAGGGCTAGTTAAATTTATTATTAAAACTTATAAGGCGTCCACGAGCGGGGCTTCGTGCATATTTGTTTCAATTCCCAAAAGAAAACGCGGGAAGCTTTCGCACAAATTGCTTCGGCGTTTACGTAATATTGAGATATTTTATATATTATAAGTTGATGTGCCTACTATATGTTAAATTAACTTATACTTGTTTTCTTAGTAGAAAGTAAGTTGATCAGAATTCTGTGTCCTGCCTAAGTTAAACATGTCCCGGGTCTCGAACCCAAGGCTTTTTACAAGTCCTTAATACAATGCTAAGCAGCACACGTTTCTTTCAGCTATGGTAGACTGTTGGTATGTCAGTGTATAATTACCGTTCGAACAATTATTTAATTCTTCAGCCAAACTTATCTTATAGTATAGTTAAACAAAAAAATAAACCACTATGTTGGTACTGTCAAAAGAGGATTTTGTAATTTCACATAAGTTTTAAATTTACAACAAAAAGAAACACTTGTATATTGTTCAGAATACTGTTCGTATTCTGATTTGGGTCTTCAGAAATTTGTCTGTTCCATGTCCCAACTAGTAGAAGCTGAAATTGTTGTCTAATATTAAACTTAAAAATTATAATTGTTTCTTAAAACACCCTATTGGTATAATATTAAATGACAACGGGGACAGTATACAAAATGGATATAGGTCTTTCATTTTTTGTGCACAAACGAAGTTACGCGCCATCGCTAGTTTTTTAAGAATTTGGAACATACACGCCTCCATTTCACCAGGGGATCAACCTGACACACATGATACAAAACCTTGCTGATTAGATATGTTATGATCTTAGTACGATGCACTTTACGAGAAAAATTGTCTAGAAAAATTTAACGTCTGCGAACACTGTTTACAGAGCAAATATTAATTAAATAAAGTAGAGTTAAAACGTGTTAAGTTGATCGATAAATTGTTTCTTTCTCGACCTACTCGTTACGAATCGCAAAAAATAAAATAACGTTTAATTTTTTTATATCATTTAATAGCATTATATAATTTATTATTTCTTTCTGAGTAGACTTTTAATTAGTTATGATATAAGGAACAGATCGTGGTGTCTCGATTTCTTTCGAATCTATGATGTTTATAAAAATCAGTTTATGTCAGACTATCTATAAAATCTGGACATTAATGCATGGAATGTCCCAAATAAGTCTTAGTAGCTGGAATATTTCACCTTCCAACAATTTAACTCCAGGTTTGTCTGTCCATCTGTGTCATAAAATCAAATCCTTGGAAAGCTTACTTCTAAGTTTATTATTAAATATTGACAACAAAGTTGTGGGACAATCAGTTTATATCTGGGAAAAACTTTTGTAATGTATCAGAACAAACTTCTTTAAATCGGGGTACATGTTCTGTAGGTAACGACTGATCTTCATGTAGGCTATTGTAATGAGTCAACGTCTTTACACGGTTTTTTGAGTGCAGTAATTTGATATTTTTTAAATCTGCAGTTACACTTTGCTTCATTAAATATGATTCAAAGGCTGATTACCTATTTATCAAAGAAAGAAGATCAGTTTCTGTATGTCAGAAAAGTGTCTGCTCACGATCCCTCGTAAACCAAACGGAATTTTACGCGTTATAACGCGCGTAGCGACGTTCGCTGGCGGATTGATATCGCCTGTCTGTTAATACAGTACGAACAAAAACAAATATTTTTCTTAAAACAAATCTGTCAAAATGACCAAAAGTTATGACATATCTCTTGACATGTAATATCTGGTCGTCAGCAATGATATCTGCGTACTTAATGTAATCTGACATGTGTCGTCACAAATCTTATGTCACTTTTATCGCGGCTGGAGTGGCTCTTAATTTAGGGATATCTTTGGTTTCGCTCTATCATCTTTGTGATCCTTCATCCGAGTGTTATGACTGGTGGTGAAGGGGTATTAAAACCGCCTACTTAATGGTTTATGGATATATATTGCCCTATTTCACTTTATCTTCTTCTTCTCGTGCATCTAAAGGTTGGCCGTTAGCTTTTGAAAACGGGCGGTTACCGTTGCGAGATGTAGCAATGCCGCCACCGTCTCTATCCGCGTCCACTCCCTAATGTTCAACAGCCATGGTTTATTCTTTCTTCCAAAATATAAATAAACATTAATCATAACAAAAAAAAACAAGTATAATTTACGAACATACTTGCTCAATGGCTCTACACGTATAAGTACACATCTATCAAATCTATTACGAGACATAGAAAAAACAAAAAAGGTCGTCAACTAATTACTCAAAATGTCTATTGTTTATGCCTTTTTATTTTGTTTTGTTGCAGGTACAGTCTATGGCGCCGAATGGTCTTATGACTGTAAGTACTCAAAATGCTGAAGGAAAATTTATAACACTTCATAAACAATCTATTGACGAGCTATTGATTCAAAGATGAACTTGACGTTGAACCGCGGGTTTTTCTTGTTAAAAACCTTGACAGAAGAGCTCTTTCATCATATACTTAAGATAACTATCATGTTTCTAACGGTTAAAATATAAGCTGAAATAAAAGGCATGAAATGAAATAGACATGATATTAAGAATATTAGTTAAAGAAACTTTTATTCCTAAACTTATTTTGACTTTGTTTTGAATGGTTTTGACGTCACCCCATGACCACGGCTGCTGCAAAGCATCCTAAATATCAGGCCACCAGTTATAAGTTTAATAATGTGTATCACGTTTGAAACGGTTAAAGATGTTTTATATGAATGTGCGCCTAAACCACAGACAATCTCAAAATGGATAAGTTTGTGCAGACTTATCGCCTTTTCACGATTTCTTCCAGGCATGCTATAAAATAGACCAAAAGAAGACTAAAATTATAGCGTGATACTAGCTACAAGTTTTCGTAAACTATATAACTCATAGAGATAGTGAATAAGTTGGTCTCTAGTAAGTTTGGATCTGTAACTCCAATTAAACTGAGCTGCACTTCGGAATATAGGTCAGCGTGCCACCATGCAATTTGGATGAGTTGTGCTTTATGCTTTATGCTTTCCGCTTTCCAGATTCGTTTACACAGGTGATGCTACTTTTGTGACCTTTGAAAATAGGACGCAAAAGATAAATTTAACTAAATCTAAAAAATGCTGAAAATGTTATACATGTACTGTCCATTTAGTGGGGAAATATAAATTTAAGGGAAACGTTTTAGAGGCATATAAATAAATTAAGAAATTTTCTGCGTGAAAACTTTAAGCATTTTCCACTGCACATGATGGCACTATATAAATTAAACATCGATTATATGTATATTGTTGCCCGTGTCGTTATTTTTTTAATTCGTAATACATTTTTAATTTACTGTTGGCTATTAGTAGTAGCTGATGATTCTTCAATTGACACAATATAATTGAAGTTTTTCTACTAACTTGCTAACGTAAGTTTTTAAGTAATTATTAATTAAGATTTCCTCCAGTTTTTTCTGTAAAAAACCCGAGGAGAACCCTTTTAATTAAAAAATTTTTTTCGTTTTAAACCCCCCCCCCCCCCCCTTTTTTTTCCCTTTTTTTTTTTAAATATATATAAAATTTGTTAAGTAATATATTTCTTGTTTTAAATATTTAAAAGTATATATGATAGTAATGTAATATGATAAACTAATATTTTTTTTAGAACACGTTGCCTAGTAATGCGTTAACGTGAGAAGTTAGAATCCTCCGGGGTTAGAATCCTGGGGAAAACATCTTTCGATCGAGCTGGTCTTATCAGCCACTATAAATAAAATGGATACATGCACACACTCTTACGATACTTGTATCCCTTTGTCTTAGATGAAACGCAGTGGCCAGGACAATGTAACGAAGGAAAGCTCCAGTCGCCCATCAACATTATGAGTCGCAGTGCGTTGGTGGACCGCCATGCCTTGCATATCAGGGGTCCCCTGGTTTTCCGGGGGTACAACAGAGTCAACGTCACAGCTTACAACGACGGACATACTTGTAAGTACATATAAATTCTAAAATAAAGAACGGGATATATACAGGGCATTAAAATTATTGCTCCCCTTGTATCAAGCTAACGTAACATAAAGTATTATAAATATTTCGTTTCCTCAGTAAAATGGTCGGTGGTAGAAAACGAGCCGGCTCCCATGGTGTATGGAGGTCCCTTACGTGGAAACTACACCTTTATGCAGTTCCATCTTCACTGGCTCTCTGAACACGCTATTGATGGCATGAAGTAAGTACCATAGCGTCTTGTTAGAACCGCCTCTGTTGATTTTAAAGCTAATAGTTACGAGTGATTGCCTATAATTAAAATGCATCACATCACTTAAAATCGGTTTCGTTTTTTTTTACTGTCTGTAGTTTACGAGAGTAGTACACGTACAGTTAAAATAATTCAAATAAGTTTAACTATATATCGTGTTTTAAACCGTTATGTATTTTATTTGAAAAAGAAAATTTACATGATTTATGAAAAATACACAAGTCTAGTTTTCATAGTTTTTTTACAATTACAGCCTTCCATTTAATTATACATTAAACAAAAAAATACTTCCCTTCAGAATGTATTATTAGTTCTCAAATAACGTCAGTCTATTTCCTCATCTCAGTGTTTTAATACTATAGTTAACTGTACGCTCTTTGTGACAACTCTTCATTCTCCACCAGGTACCCAATGGAAATTCACATGGTCCACATAAAGACGGGCCTGACGATGGACGAAGCATTGGTGCGTCCGGACGGCCTCAGTGTCATTGCCATCCTATGTCAGGTAACAATGGGCTCAATAGCACAATGCGTATTATATTCTGAGTCAATTCGTATTAGGATACACTTCATAGATACCTTGCAACTAGAATCAATCTGCTGAACAAAGCCATACTTAAAAAGGTCAATTTATTTTATGTTCTAGCGGATTCGAAAAACGCTATTTTGTTGTTTACTGATATACCTCGATACAACTCTAACTAATAATCGGTAATTAATTTCGTAAAAATTAAATTACCATAAAATACTTACTATCTGGCTTATATTTAGATTGTATAAGAGGAATCATTCTTTCATTCATATTTTTTGCTTGAACCGTTTTCGCAACGCACGCAACGGGAGCCCTCAATGATACCTAATATTCCACATAAAACATACATTAGAGCCTATCTCTTTAAATTATCTATCCAAGACAGAAATAAAAAACAGTTCCAGTATTTCTGAGATTAACATTTCTAAACAAACAAACAAATATAGATGTAATGGATGCCTTTTTTCTTTAGCAAAATCAATTAATTTAAATAAAACACTTTAACGGTTTAAAACGCGATATATTAGTTAAACTTATTTGAAAATGATTTTTAACTTCGGCCCGACGTTTCGGATGCTTTGCAGCAGCCGTGGTCACGGGGAGACATAATATATATTGTATATATTATATAGACAGTATTTAAAATCAATTAATGTTTTGACGGAGTATTTTTATATTTTTAAATAGCATCCGATTTATGAAGTTCCCTTAGATCTTGTAGAAATAATTGATCAAATAATCAAATAGGTCAATAGTGGTGGGGCGAGCGAATACGCTTTGGGAGAAATAGACCGCTTCTTCCCGAAATTGGCAGAGAGAAACTCAGCTTACCCAAACACTTCAGTGATAGATTTAACGTAAGTACGCTTTTGTATATAAAGTTATTAATAAGACACGATACACACAGTAGAATACTAATTAAAAGTTTATTTTTATCATAGAAGACGATTAATAAACACTTGATGGAAGATGAAATACTACAGCATCTTAACAAAATGCGCTTCCTACCGACTATTTAAAGTCCATATTTCCTCACGAGGTCCTAAAGTGTTTCACAAATGTTATAAATTTTTGTGGGGATCGAACACACGTAAAAACAAACGTGATTTTTTAAGTGATAATTATCGTTTATGCTTCTTCTAACTTTATATTTTGTCTCTTTAGCCGCCTCTTGAGTCCTGAACCGCAATCCTTCTACACCTACCACGGATCCCTGACCACGCCCAACTGCCAAGAAGTAGTCACTTGGATCATCATGGACAGACCGCTCATCATATCTGACACACAGGTACAATAAAAAAAATCTTCGTCTACCTTCTGCTACTCTGATAATAAAACAAGAAACAAATACAAGATTTTGTTAAGTTTAGTATGGTTAAATCTTCGTAAGAGTAACAAACAGCACGATCGCTTTGGGTCGTCCAACTATCTGTGCGATCGAGGTCTTTACGTTTGGCAAAAGAATAATCAGTAATTATTAGTTGTTATGATTGAGGCTATGTTACATAATTTTAAAACTCGTCGCCATGGCAACTGTAACAAACTACCTGTTATTCCAACCTCTAGACTTACTCTAGTCGCTGCCACACTATAATCATAGTCTAAATAATCAATTCTATAGATAATAAGCAATGTTATACACAATCAATTCATTTAATCCCTAGTTCTATAGATAATATTCTTTTAACATCTTCAATAAATTTTATGCATCGTATTAGGTGACCATGTTTATTTTTTTTCTTCAGTACAAGCAGATAAGTCGTGTAGACGTCGGTAGGATCGACAACTACCGAAGTCTACAAACGGTAGATCGGGAGATATACCGAAGCATTGCATCGTCAGCTACCATGGTGTTGCCTGGCCTACTAGGATTCCTGCTCACTCTGATGAATCTCTCATCGTCACTGTCAAGTATCCTGAGTAAAGGGGTGTGTACACTAGTCAACATTAAGAGAAAATTCTTAGGCAATAAAATTCGTAATTGTATTATGAAGGAATCGAATTAAAAATAGATAATGCATCATTTGATATGAAACTAAAATATGATGCATTTAAAATTTTTAATTATTTTTTTAATCATTAAAAATCTCTAAAATTGTTTTTTCGATTCGTTATGACTTTTGGTAATAAGGAGTCATAGTTTACGCGAGTAATTAAAATAATTAATTTAATTATTAAATAAAACACTTTTAACGCTAAATCCTGTCTATAGTTTACGGGAGTAGTATACATTGCATGTTTTGTAGCACGGGGAGTCTCCCCGTGACCACGGCTGCTGCAAAGCATGCGAAACGTTGGGCCGAAGTTAAAAATCATTTTCAAATCAGTTTAACTAATATATCGCGTTTTAAACCGTTAAAGTGTTTTATTTAAACTTTTAGCGCTTTCAAGCGCTCAACTACAACACGACAATTCTCTTTTTCAGAATTCATTGTGTCTGATGTTTTTCAATAGTCACGTTTGAAACCGTTAAAAGTTGAGATTCGATCATTGAGTTCGTGTAGAAATAACCAAAAGACTTCGGTTTGAAAAATCTAATCAGGCTAATAGCTATATTGCCAATTTTAATGACTTACGCAAATGAAACAAGAAATCAATGTTATCGAAACAGATTATCGCCTTATCAAGTTGAACATGAGTTGAAGCGGTGAAAATAATTCATTTTCATAGTTATAGTGAGATTATCTCAATAAATAATATTTTATATAGGTAATTAATGTGTCAGTTTTATTTATAGCAATTCAAGTCACGCTCAATTATTGTGGACAGATAAATAGCAAAAAAAGGTAATTTAGGTAATTGTTAAAAATAGACCTTATCTTCCGATAGGCCATACCTTTCTAGTTAATAGTTTTTAGATATTAAACTGTTAGAAGCTAAGTATTAAAGAAGCAAAGTGTCTTAGATTGGTGGGACCGGTTGAGTCAAATCTATTTAAAATATCCACGTTAATAGTAAAAATTTTAATTCAATGGTTAAATTTAAGCATAATTCCACCAAACACCGTGCTCTTCTGTTCCCCTCTCCCATTAAAAGAAGATATTTTAACTACGATACGTCGTCACGATTAAAGACCAAGAACGGCGGGACGTGGTTAAAGATAAGACCGTTGTTAACGACACAGTTATTGTACAGATCATTTTAATACATTTGTTGAGTAGGCATGTTATATAGCCGTTAATGGCCTTTTGGTTTATTTTAGAGAAAACTGCAACTATACATTATTTATTGTCATAAATATCGAGTGCTGTCATATATATGTTATAAAGATTATTTCATAAATGATCCATCAAACGTGTTTGTCAATAAATTTTATCTAGTGTTAAGTCACGCTCAATATAGTGTTTAAAACGTATAAAAGTCTATTTTATTGTTATTGTTCTAAGTATATTTTATGATTGTAGCTTAGAAAAATTGTGTCAAATTAGGTAGATATGAAAAAGTACTTGTATATAATTTTATTTAATCTTATATTGATATTCTAGGCTGTGAGATTGTATTGCTTTTAATTTTGTAATTTATTTTTTGGTTGTGCATCTGTGTTCTTTTTGTTTTATTTTAATGATGAAATAAACAATTACGTGTAAACGTACATGAGCTAATAAGTTTTTTATTCACCTCCTTGTAGTCTTGTAGAAACGAAGTAATAGGTGTTGAGGAGGACCTAGCTAAAAGCAATTTCTTGGCACTATAAGGAATTAATCATATTTAATATAAGGATTTAATATCTTAATAGATATTAAGATTGGATATTACTAACCAAATTATACTAATGTATTATATTATAAATAAATGTATACATTAACACAAACTTAATCTACCTTCTTGACTTTATATTTACAATAGTATGCCTTTATTCCCACAAGTGGTCCTGGGCTTTCCAGAGATGTGTTTGATGAAATAGCCATTCTTAGCGTATTTAGGCTACCCGTTTGTTCCATAACTAGAATGGAAAATCTTTTAGAAGTCGGAAACTAAAAGTATTCGAACATAAAAATAAGTCTATTCTAAATACTTACTATTTAAAAATGGCGTCAGGGCCTGATCGAAAATTTGTAAAAAAAAGATAGGGTATACAAAAACTAAATGTACAATAGTATAATGATTTATTATTTTACCATAAAACTTAAAGTTTTATACTAAATATTAAAGTGAATCGACATTTTCCTTAACTTTTTCAGAATTTCAAAAATGCACATCTTAATCTTCAAGTTTTCAGTTTTTTCTCGTCGCTGTAATGGTAGCAACGAATGGCTCATATCAACGGGTTTCTGAAAAAAATCTTTTACATATTAATTGGGTGGTAGGAATATTAAAAAATTCTTCCTTCCGGGCATGGGTTCGTTTCCAGCCCATGACAGCGCATTAATTTGAGTTATTGTATGCCATTGTTTGTAGGCATTTCTACCACTATCGAGTGAACTCTAATTTTGTCTGTCCTTCTCTATCATAAGAACATAAACTACCAATGTGCAGTTAGTATTTTCTAGGAAAAATGTTGTCATGTACAAATGTGTCCTTAAAAATAGTAATGACTTGTTTCACCGATAACATAAGATAAAATATTTAGTTTTGCCATTATTGACGCATCCGGCGGCATTCGTCTCATAAAAATTAAACAAGTCCTCGTAAATACATAAGCATTCCATAATCTCACGAATTGCCTCATAAATTATCGCATATCTCACCTAAATTCCCTTCTTTTATTACACTTGCAAATGTACGATATGGAGATTTTGTTTTCTTCACATTCAATGATTCGTGACGTACTATCGTTCAATTACTTTTAACAATTAAATCATTTTAATACCAATATCTTTTATCATCATTTAACATGGAATGTATAAAACTCGCGAGTTATTTTTGATAGAGTCCACGAAAATTATCTTAAATTCTTTTATTTATTTTATATATTTAACAACACACACAGTTATCTTTTTTAATATTTTAAAGAAAACGTAGAAGAATTTACCCACTTTATTGTATTTGAATACAATTCTACTACAATACTATGAATAAATTATTCATTCTTACATCTAATCAGTGCGTTAGTAACAATTTGACTTCTAGTCCTATATTAGCATAATTATGTTAGTAGAGAGTAGAGAAAAAAATTAAAGCCGAACGATATATCATTTAAATATAGCAATTCGTTATCCAGTAGTAATAATCGATGCTTATCACTGTTTTAGTAATTTGGACAATTTTACTTATTCTGGATTATAAATAAAAAAATCTATTTGTATTAAAAAATTACGACACGGACGGGACTTGAACCAGTAATCACAACGATAAGCGCTGCTGCTCTTGCCAATGGAGCCGCTGTGTCATCAGCTACTCATTGTTAACAAAGTCATACTCGAATAAACAATTTCAAGATACAATTTAGCTATTTTAAGAAATCCGCCTACAAAGCAGTTAAGACTGCAATCAGAACCCTCAGGAAACGTTCGTTAGTCTAGTTGTTGTCACCTACATGTAGATCAAACTTCATTGAGAAAATCCTTATTGCAAACAGAGATTTGCTTCATCAAAGACAAGCAATGCAATGCAAGGTCACCTTAGGTCAGCAGCATTTTGCCCATCTGGGTAAAGGATCGACACTTGGTTAAGTAATGATGATAGGTTAAAAGAAAGAACTCTGCCAAGCCATGGGAACCACAGGAATGAAACGCAATGTCTCTAAATTCTGCTGGAAAAAGGGGTATCCGTAAAGAATCGAAAATTACTAATATTTAAAGAGGAAAGATTTGTATTTCTTTATGTAAATAAACTCAAGAAGGGGAATAATAATTATTTTTTGTCTCTATATGAGTAACAGGCTTATTTAGACTTTTATAAATTTTTTTTAAAAAAGGTAAAAATTTGTTTTTTTCTGGAAAAGTATTTATGATAGGACAAAACTCTGTTCGACAATATTATAGAATATATCGATATCTACAAAAAACATCCCAAGAGCATATATGTCTAACTATTTACGTCACTAAACTACTTTTTTACATTTAACGAATTGATAGAAATGCCGAACAAACACAGACCGTGTTATCCATAACATTTATAAATTTTTATCCAAATAAATAATTTAATATTCAAGACCTGATGTCTCAATACCTGATGATTACTTTTTAATTATTGAAAACGGTTTTTCCATTTAAAAGATATCATGAAATTAAAATAAAAATACATGCTGGCGGAAGCCGCTACGCATTTTAACATTTTATGTTTTACTTAAAAAGTCCTTTACAGAGCTACTTAGTTTTAGTATTAGGAATCACACTTGGCATAATATTTGTCAAAGTTATTTTCGGAATTATCTCTTTGAACTGAATATTGCATCTATACGAATGATAGTCAAGCGCCGAGCGCTCGCAGCGACTTGAAGGAGCTAGGAGTTCGCGAACGCGTGCACGGGACTTTAACAAAACCTCGCAACGGCTCCTGACAAGCGGCTAGACAACGATCGCTAACAAGAAGCTAGGACGCGCATTAATTTTTTTTTCTAATTTAGGTATTCATGACGACCAGAAATTATTAATTAGGATGCTTTTAATTTAAATATCTGTACCTATTTATGTCTACCCGTGCGAAGCCGGGACGTGCCGATAGCAGATAATAAATTAAAAAAAATACGACTCAGCCAGGACTTAAACTGGCATCCTCAGCGTCCCGTGCTGTTCCTCGGTACGCTGACGATGCCGTGTATAAGTCCTGCCCGAGTCGAAATTTTTTTCAATTTATTTTCGAAATGAAAAATATAAAAGTTGATTTTTTTCAATAAGAATTTATTTTTAACCCGAAAGTCCGAAACACTCTTCACACTTAACGCTACAGTGAGTGTTTATTCAAAGATCGAATTTCCATATTCGAAAATACAATAGCCGAACAATATCCGAATATTTAATAAACAACATAGTATTTGCATCATGTGAGAAGAATCCGTGCCTCATCGGTCATTGTCCGCGAAGTGTTCGCACCGTTCGCCTGAAAGAAAGAAATGAGATTAATTATTGTATTTGTTTTTTGCACGGGTACGTATAAATATATCGTTTAATTCATTGTAAAAATATATTATAGAAAGGGGGCTGATTTGACGGACCTGGTGCTCCAATGGTAGCACAATATATAGCTAATAATTTTCGTGGTCACGGCTGCTCCAAAGCATCCGAAACGTCGGGCAGTAGTTAAAATAATTTCCAAATAAGTTTTACTGATATATATCGCGTTTTAAACCGTTACAGTTTATTATTTAAATGTGTACTCGCGTAAACTACAGACAGTGTTTAATACTCTTCGTACTGATTCATACTCCGTTCTGAATAGCTGGACTTTAATGGGTGGTAGGAATATCGAAAGTCCGTCCGGATCACGTAGCACCATCTACAGATGTAAAGTGTAAATCTGTATTTCAGTTTCAGTCTGTGAACTATATGTTAATATTCAATTTAAATTGTGCTACGGCGTAGCTGTTTTGGCTACGCGAATTCTATACTTGTGATCTTTAAGTTCTTTTTTTTCTAGATATCGCTGGATCAGTTAAGTTCGGACCCGTCTGGAGTTATGATGGTATGCACCAAAAGCAATAAAGTTAAAATACGTATTATCTCATTAAATATAAACATCTGTAGCTCTAAGGTTAAATATTTAAAAATTCATATAAATCAAGATAGATCCTTTGAAATTCAATAAAAATAATAAACATTTCTTGTCTTGATCAAACATTCTACAGAGGTCTAATCATACATTTGCCCCCGATTGGGTAACAGATTTTTTATACTTTTAACATTTAATTGAAACATGATTTTTTTTATGACCTTTAATCATGTTTCACTCTGTTAGACGAGAGTTCGTGGCCAGGTGGATTCTGTAAGAAAGGAGGGAAACGACAGTCACCAATCGACATTCAGCCCAAAGATGTCATTGTGGACTTCGAGAAGCAATTCATCAAATATGGCAAATTGGTCTATAAAGGCTATGAAGCAGTGTTGCTGACAGGAATCAATAATGGACATACAAGTAATTACTTGATCCAACAAAATATATATGCGGTTAATGTTACATGTACTTTGGGCTAAATCATATTTTTATATGATAGAAGACAACAGACAAAAAAAATGGCTGAGCCATATAACACCAAAAAAATTTAAGCCAGCAAGCAAGCATCTTTTGATCTGTGGACGGTGGAGCCATTAATATCTAGTTGTCCAAACGAAGTCCAACATGTTTCAGAAAAATTATAAATTGGTTAAAGACAAGTTTACCCCGTTAAAAGTAAAACCCAGGATGATGATGATGATTTTGCTACCATTAGACTGACGAGAACGAGAAGTTTAACAACTTTAGTTAGTTTTAATTAATCTTGTATTTAACATTTCTGTTAACTTTTTTAAAATTTAGAACTGATATTTGTTATTGTTATTTTATATTAAATCTATGTCTTGCCTATAGAAGATTATCATTTCTTCCACATTATTATTAACATAAGATTATTTCTTAAGTTCAGTTTAGTACGGAGGGAGACAATTCAATGCATCCAACGCTCACTGGAGGTCCACTTAAGCACGTGTACAGACTAGAACAGCTTCACTTCCATTGGCTATCAGAACATGCGGTTAATGGCGCAAAGTAAGATATTTAATAAGAAAAAATGATTACTTTTTAACTACTTATTGATTTTCGTTCTATACAGTAATTTATTTTAGATTGCTCCAAATGCAAAGCATATTGAACCTAAACACGTTAGTGTTACGGTCGTTTTCGTTGTGGTATGCAGTGAAGATATAACTAGACCAAAGATTTAAGCTGTGGAACACAGTAGCACAATCAGTAGAGTATGGAAAATTGTGGCCAAGGGTTTTTTAGTCTAGATCATGTCTTAAAGTTCTTTAACCAAAAAATATATTTAATTTATTTAATCCTTATTGTTTCATTGCTTAAGTATTTATTATCATTTCACAGGTTCCCCATGGAAATCCACTTCGTGCATGTTCGTTCTGATCTTAAGGTATCCGAAGCGTTATCAAAACGGGATGGTCTGGCGATTGTTTCCGTTTTCTGCAATGTTAGTAGTATAGCTTCTAGATTACTTTTAAAAAAGTGACCTACAGAAACTTATTTAAGTGATGTTATGTCATGTCATATTATATGTTATGCTATGTTGTGTAGGTAAAGACAGAACTCAAAACTGAAGAAGCAGACACGTCAGACGAACTGTTGCAGCACATTCCTCTCCTCATGAAGACCGCAAATAGAATCAGTGGGGTACTAATAGATCTCGAGTTAGTAATATTTATGAGTTTTAATTTTGTGTGTAACAGACAAAAGCTTCAAAAGTCAAGATTTTTAATACGTTTAATTTAACCGTTTTTTTAGTTTGTAAAGTACAAACGAACTTTAGACCGCCGATAGTTATAAACAAAATATTTTGGTATTACTTTAACAATAAAGCTATTTACATAATGGGATTTAACATTTTAAAAGTTCAATCGTCTTGTCTTGAGGGGCAAAGATGGACACATAAGTGTGTCCGTCTAGACCGACCAACTTTTATAGGGCCCTGCCCGACTAAAACAGTTTATCAATTTTCCGTGAATCCAGAACCAACAGTCTAACTAATTAACTCGAATTTGATAGTATTTTATTACGAAAAAACTATTTTATTGCCTATACATGTAATTTAGCTTAAATAGGAACTGTAGTATTAAGACCATTAAAGTCGGTTTTGCACAGACGTCGCAGAGGTATTGAGTTTCTTCTGTTTAAGAAGGATGTTTTCAATCAAAATTAACTTTTATTTGACGATGTTAAACTAAAAAAGACTTCAATCAGTCCATCATTTAGATTGCCTTGCTCTACATTTCGAAAGAGGAAATCTATTGGACTGTTTTTAGTCCTTATTAATTTAAGTTTACTTTAAAATGACGTTAATTTACTCAGCCAATACGAAGGATATTGGTTCCAAAGAGGTTTGGAGAAATGGGCGAAATGAGGATCGCCTGCCCTTAAATTAGTTAAAGTAATCTAAGAATAATAAGTTTATTTGAATTACACTATAAACAACAAGCTAAGAATTACGCTATGTTTTTACTACAGACATAGTTCTGACCGAACAAAGTTTAATAAAGACGGTGAGTTTCGATCTTTTATATCCTTACTAGACAGTCTTTCTTTTCAGAAAGCTTATTCCACAAAAGCATTCATACTACTCCTACATGGGTTCCCTGACATCACCAGAGTGCAACGAAGTGGTTATATGGATTATTTATGATAAGCCGATACACATATCCGACGCTTTGGTATGTCATTATAATTGGCTTATGTGTTAACCTAATAGTATGGCCCATAATGTATCTATAATTGTTCTAATCTTTATCCCCTTTTTTTTCCCCCTTTTTTTTTTCCTTTTCCCGTGTTTTTTCCCCTTTTTTTTGCCCCCGGGGGGTTTTTTTTTCCCCCCCCCCTTAAATTTTTCCCCCCCCCCCCCCCCTTTTTTTTTTTTTTTTTTTTTTTTGGGGGGGGGGGGGGGGGTGCCAAACCCCCCCCCCCCCCTCTTTTTTTTTTTTTTTTTTTTGGGGGGGGGGGGGGGGGGGGTTTCCTCTTTTTTTTTTTTTTTTTTTTTTTTTTTTTTGGGGGGGGGGGGGGGGTGTGTTTTTTTTTTTTTTTTGGGGGGGGGGGGGGTTTTTTTTTTTTTTTTTTTTTTTTTTTTTTTTTTTTTTTTTTTTTTTTTTTTTTTTTTTTTTTTTTTTTTTTTTTTTTTTTTTTTTCTTGTTCATAATGTTCAAAAACATTCATATCGATTTTAGAAGTTCTCATCGGAACCCGATATAGTTTTCTCTCCTGTTCGCATTTTTTTATTCTCTGTTCGTATTTTCACTTGTCAAATGAGCGCGCAAAAGTTAGCTACAGAAATTTAATTTAATTTATGTTATCTTGTTAAATGAAGTATAAGTATATAATATTTTATACTTATCGTCCAAGTCTTAAATGATTCGTTGCAGTACCGAATCTTCGGCAACGTAGGTGTCGGCAGACACAACTACAGAAGTCTCCAGCGCTTGAGCCATCACATGATATTCCAACCACCTCCGAACCTCATCGCAACACCTCGCGCTGTTCAGATGCTACAAGACGTCGTTAATGTAATAAGGAATTTCTTCAGGAATGTTACAAGGTATACCTCATTTACCCGACTAGCATATTTGAAAGAAACACTTTTGAGAGTTTAAACGGAAAGAATATTCGTCGCCCCGTGGCTGGGACCGTAGGCATTAGTACTTTGAAACCCTATGAATTCATAGTGAAAAAAGTGAGAGATTAAGGTCTCCTAAGCTTCCTCAATTCGATAATCGCTGCCCTACCAAACCGAAACAGTCTTGTTTCGGATATAACCCAGTATGGTCTAAAAGCCAAGCCAAAAGCAGTGGAAGCATACCACTTTTCCCGGGCGATTTGAAACCGATCTGTTTATTAATCTACATCCATGACTTAATAATAACATTATTTTATTACTTTATTATAAACTGTATTCGACAAATTTGAAAAACTTGAAGTAGTTTTTAAATTTGATTTTAAAATCAGATGCATTCATTTGGTTCTATATCTTAATCATGTGCATGCGCAACTGAGACGCGTCGACTGCTTTATGAAGCGCATTGCAATGTTTTAAATTGTCAACTAATTCATTCCAGTGAATTTCCTGTTGCAGCTTCGTGTCCAGAGGTCTACGGTCAAGATAAATCGGGGAAATAAATAAAATAATGTTTTTGTTAAATTGTCTATTTATTAACATAAAACCGTACATTCGAACTCGGAAATAAATACAAGCGAAGTCGCACGATTTACATTCATACTGTACAACGGTAATATATTTTAGGCTAAGTGAAATAGAATAGGGTTTCCCTATGGACCTAGTTTACAAATTAATAATGTGTAATTTCTTAGAAACGAACATAAAAGCTATAGGGTCGATTAACAACACAAAAAGCGCAAACCACCAAGAGCAGTCCAATATATAACTTTCATAATACACGAATATTTTAAATTGACTTTTTCTTTAAGTACTCTTTAATATTTTGGTGTATATAATATAAAAATGTCCCTGAATATTCCAATGTTTTTTTTATCCACACTTGAACATGTACAGTGAAATTTGAAATTATAATCTTGACTATAATTTATTTTAATATGATTTTATGAAAATTAAAAACCTACTATACAGGTGCCTTGTCTGAAGCTTGAAATTTGCGTTTTAACGACCTTTATTGGAATAATTTACTTTAGACCCCTTTGGAGTTAATGTATTCAGAAAAGCAGAAACATATAAATATACAATAACTACTGTTCAGTTGCAAGACAGTTACCGAATCAAAATGTAGAAATTGAATCCGTTACTGATCTAATAATCGTAATATGAAGATAATTTTTTTTTTAAAGCTTGATAATACGAAACAAAACAGTGTTTTAAATTATTTATACATTTTAAATTTCAAAGACTTGTAAGTTCTTGAAGTCTTTTGAAAATATTTGAATAACTGGTTCAAAAAGGTACGATTCAATACAGTTCCTACTAGATTAAAAAATAAAACTACCCACTTTTTTTACAAACGTAAAATTTACAATAACACCCCTTTGTACACTATACATCACTTTCACACGAATTGTCATATTAAAACTAGATAATATTATACACTATTTTACATCTATGAAGCGATGAGTTCTTTCATTCGTTTCTCTATATATTGAACACGAGTCACTAATTTGTCCTTCGGGTTGTATTCTGTGTAGGGCACCTTTAGTACTTTTAAACCCTGTGAAAATAAATAAAGATAAAGTATTTTAAAATGGCAAAATTAAGGCTTCTTTCTGGCTTTCTTAGTTTTAGTTATAGATGATTATCTCTCCCTATTTAACCGAAACATCTGTAGTTTCCGATAGCGCCATGTATGGTCTAAAAGCCAGCGTTCGACAGACTTAGAGTAAAGTAGAGGCAAGTTTCTATGTGAAGTGAAAAATAGTTCCATAAAGATATAAATTTATTACAATCACTTACTGCTTTAAAAACAATTAATTGCCTTGAACCTAGCTAGAACCTTTTCATACAAATGTCATTTAAGGTGTGAAAGAGGGAGACAACACGATAACAAAGCAATAATAAAATATTACTTACCCTAAGTTCCAATAGTCTTGTGTACAGTCGAATGACGCCCAGTTCCTCGGGAACCTTTCGCGTCATGTCGTGGTAGTCCAATGCTAGAACTGCTATCCGGTGTACACTATAATAAGATATAAAAACAATCTTCAAAAGATACAAGGAACGAATAAATTAGTAGTGTAAATGGTCAGACTCCTTTTATTTCCCCGTGATTCGAATCCAAGCCCTTTGTATTTAGTTACACAATGCGGTCAGTTATAAATAAGCAGTGTTACAATAATTTTGATAATATTAAATTCTAAAAGGGAATAGGATAGATTTGGATATTAAGAAATCGGTGAATGCAAACACACTTCCGTAGTCTACGCGTCACGATCGACTGCCCAATAAACTACTCAGTTTTTCTTATCTTTTACTTTTTTGTTTAAATTGAGGTCTAATCACACACCAGGTTGCACTTACTTCTTGTTGTTCACGGCTTTTTGTAAAGGAACTGGATGACATTTTGCATCAACTGCAAATTCAGCATCTAGAAATTTATTATTCATAATTAGATACGTATACATAAACTTCAATAGCCAAAAACTTTAGAATAGAATATCGTCCTCGCTAGAACTTTGCCACATTATATCAAAATATGGCACACTTTTATAATTCCATTCCAATAATATATATAGATCTAACATTCAAATAAGCAGCATAATGTTCGTCTATTACTGTTATTTTTAAATTCTTTCACACAATCGCCTATAATGACTAAGTTGCGTTCTTCCTAGTATCACACATTATACTTGCCATATAAAAATCCCATCCCCGAATTACATTCCCGTTGAAGAAACGTCTCCGCCGAGACGAGACTCTTGAACGTGTCCATCACACTGGTGACGTATAGCGCCTTCTCTTTCGTGTACAGCAGGGCCACGCCCACCGATATGTCTTCGGGGAGGCGGGGCGAAGACGGGTACTTTAGACCTACGTACGCGTCTATGGCCATCAATTTGCGACGCGATGGAATGGATATTTCTAGAAAAAAGTTTATAGTTTTCTTAGTCTCATAGTTAACTAAATGTTCAACACTCGACTATATTGGGCCCCGCAGCGTTTCTTGCAGTACAACATATTAATGAAAATATCATACTAGTTATACAGTCAGTGTTTAATTAAAAAGGTCAAGTTCATTTACATTAAATTTCGTAGTTTAAAACATTAAATTAGAAAATTAGATAATTCATATTTAAGTAAGATGTATCAAAGTCAAAACTGCTTTGCTAGTACCTTCTGTTACTGTTCTCCTATCATTTATATGTATTTGCAAAATTATACATCTGTCAGGTCATAGTAAAAAATTAAACTAATTTATTTCGCGATTAAAACAGATAAAAGGGTTTAAATCCAGTATATTCAATAAAATGTTTACCTCCAACTGACAGTAGCTTGTCAATGAACTCAGGCTTCAGTGTGGAGGAAAGGTGATGAAGTTCCGCCTTCTCCAGGATTAGGAATGAGAAGACAAGGTCCAACCACGACAGAGCTTTCGTCATTTCTTCCTCTTTCAGGAGCATTGCTGACTGAGGACAAGTTAATATGTTATATAAAATAAAAACATTTTATTAAACTAAAATGATATTAAAACTTCACCTCAAAAAATTCATCTGAATTAGGTGGTATATAATTCAATGTTGCAAGTGTGACCACCGCTGATGCAACATCGCTCGGCCTACAGACATCCTTGTTTGTCTGTATCCACTCCACAATAGCTGAGAGTGCTCCTTCGTGTCTATACTTCAGAAGGCCAAGGGAGACTACTATGGAAGTTACGACCGCTGGCTTGTCTGCATTTGACGGCAAGTTAGTTATGACGTCACTGCGACAATAAATCATTATGCAAATTTTAATTAATTTAAATGATAACAATAAAACACTTTAACAGTTAAAAACTTGAAATGCATGAGATTAACTTATTTAAAAATTATTTTTAATACGGCCCGACTACTTTTCAGCAGCCGTGGTCATGGTCACTTCTATGGTTCATGGTTTCTTCTTTTATTTAAATGTGTATTACTCGTGTAAACTACATACAGTATTTCATTTAAAGGAATTAATTAAAATATTATACTAAAAAGTAAGTGAAACTCTTTACACACCTATTAATTTACTTCCATACTATACTATATAATATATATGTTTAAAAAATAAAAATACTTTGAGAATACCATAAGCATATAAATACAAAGATTCAATTGATTTTATTATTACAAAAAAATCCTAATAGAATCAATAAGAACAATAAAAAACATACTTGCAAATCCTATTCAATAAAACAGGATCAGGGAAGCTTAACGCAGACATTGAGAACAGCAGATCAGCTGACTTCTTCAAATCTAAGCTATCTGGTTGCTTTGTTATATTGTAGGATAGAGCTCGCAGTAATGGTATACTTCGGCGACCCTTTTGATGTAACGCTTTCATCACCTTAAAATATAACAGATATTACATTTACACTAATATATAAGGCTAAAGAAATTGTTTGTTTGAATGTGCTAATGTCAGGAACTACAGGTTCGAAAATTTTGCTCCGCGCTGTGACTAATAGAAGTGAAGATACAGCGGGAAATGTAAACAAATTTATATAAAATTTTTAAAATTATTAGATTTATATTAATATTATAAATATTACATTTTTCATCTCTGTGGGTTTCACATGCGTACGCTGCGAAAGTTCATGATACAAAAAAAATGTGTAGGAATGAATGATTTCTCTTGAAATGATCTAAAAACATGTCCACGACACCATATGTCTATCTTTTAATATTAACTTGCAAGAACGACGGGACCTGAATGATGGGTCGCGAGCGATAGGACGCGATCGATGTTGTGGGCAGCTTACATTTATAAATATGTAGAGGGTTCCAAAAACAAATTTAGATGCCCAAACTAACTAATCTACACGGACAAAGTCGCTGACTTATTATATTTCTTACTGCTTTGGCAACTCGAGAAAGAAGTTAAAGAGTTACCTAGAAGATTTAAAATAGCCAATGAATTATACCCGTTTAATATATGTGCACGTTCCGAGGGATGATAATCTATAAACTTAAAAGGTTTACCTTAATCATTTGTGGCAATGATAGATTACCAATAAGTCTAGCTGCTTCATCATCCCCAGTTATACCTAAAACAGTGCTCAAATCTTCAGCCATAGTCAAGCTAGATAAAGAGTCACTGCTTTGTGTCCTAGCCAAAATCCGACAGAGCTTTAAAAATCTTGAATCTTTCTCAAAATCTGACAACTTCACTTTATTTGAACTAGACCATTCTGAGAGGATGGATACCATCTGAAAATAGAAAAAATTCTTGAAAATCATTAGCTGGAGCTTTTTCAACTAAAAGTTTTAAGAATGTACTATTGTCTTTTAATCTAATCTTTATTTCTAACTTAGATTAATTCTCCTATGAAAATTGTATTGTGTGTTAAGGAACAACTTAGTTACTATTGTCAATCATAAATCACAATCCCATTTTGGAAAACACAAAAATTCCTGTCAGTTTCTAAAAAAAGTTTGTTGGTGCAGTCACAACGGTGAGCTCAGAACAAACTTTGAGAATATATCAGTAACAGAATAGTCAAGCACCACAACATTGAAGTATTTATGGTTTTAATACGATTTTTACAACTTATTAACATCCATTTTTATTTACTATGAGAACAAGTCTATGTAAATGTAAATACCTTTAAGGCATGCCTCCTAGACACCACAGGGTTTTCAGCGACAGATAGAAGACTGTTAACATCAACAGCTTTTAGTATTTGATTATCAAGTATTTGTGTCTTTGTCATTTTAAGTGATTTGGAACTGGGCTTACTTATTTCACTTTCTGGTGCATTAAGGGTTGCAAATGCAGCTGCTACAAGACCTATAATTTAGAGTATAAAATATGAGGGAATCAAGCAAAAGTTTATAATTATTAAAATGTAATTCAAACAGTTTAATAACAGTGTAAAGAAAGTCAAATGGACAAATTAGCCAAACATTTACAGTATGCTAAACACTTAAATAAAATTATTTCTGCCAGAGTAGCTCCTCAAAAGTAATACATTTATTTTACATTATTCACCTGTTCTAGAGTTACCATCTGAAGTGTCAAAGTCATCCTTGCCTGATAAATCTTTGGGGTGTTCCGATTTGTCGGATTTAAACACGGTTGCGCCGGGTCCAGCATAATTCCTTATAGTGGAACGGGATCCTAACCTCCAAGCTACTAAGCCTCCGAACTTCAGCATTATCTACAAAAATGGGTAGGCAAATGTCACATACTTCAGCATATGATTTCAGTTTCCGTACATTATAGCCCCTAAATAAGTATAAATCTTGACGGATGATCTATTTCAGATCTTAATCAAGGAAAGTGTTCATCTTACATCACGCTTAAAGTCATCCGAGAACAAGAATGTCTTGATTCGAAAAATCAAATTTATTTTTGAATACAATATTATGTACCTTTTAACTGATATTGTGGGTTTTAATACTAAAAATAGTGTTTTATAACATTTACAAATGTATTTAAAAATCAATTCTCTGTCACTTTGTGGACTTCATATTACGCGATATGTCTATTAAAATCTGTGGCAGAAGGTTGTTTATAAAATAATGATCTGTGCTTACGTCATTTTCTTTAAATTTAGTCGTTGGCTGTCAACTGTCAACGTAATATTCAATGAATTGTTTATTGCGACCCTAACAGTTTGTCTTTGAAAAGGATAATAATTACGAATATGGATGGCATATAAGTTACTGTAGATAATTTGAAATAATTATATATACTTAATAAAAATAGTGACCATACGAGAAGCTTATATAATGGTGAGTTTTAATGCTACTTATAGATATAACAATAGGATACTTAATACAAATCGCTGCATATATCGGTGCGCATCTTTCTGTTAAGGGTGCATGGTATTCTGTACATTAATCTTGCACTGTAAAACCCTGTTGGTTGCAAATAGATTATTTTAAACTAGGAGATATAAATGCGTCACGCTTACATAGCTCTAATTAAATTCTTATTAGCAAACCTAGTTAAGGTATCTTCACTACATTTGCCTACCTACCTGGCTTGTGCTAACAAGACTTGTTTTAAAAATGTTACTCTTAGTTTATAATTTTCGTTAAATAAAATATGCTTTGCAAATAATTCTCATAATTTAAATCTTTATAAGTATTTGTATTGTGAGATAACTGATATTTGACATCTTAAACTATCGTATCTTTCCAACGTTGTGGAAATCAGCTTACATAGTGCCAATTCTCAAAAGTGGTGATGCTACCAAATGTGAAAATTATCGGCCAATAAGCATGTTATCAACTCTAGCTAAATTATTCGAAAAAGTAGTTTACGAATACTTTTATGCTCACTTTAAGCCCTATCTTTCTGAAAACCAACACGGTTTTCTAAAAGGCAGATCAACGATTTCTAACCTGTTGCTATACAAAAACTATATTTGCTCAGCTTTCGCGCGTCAGGGTCAGGTAGACGCAATATATACTGACTTTAAAAAAGCATTCGACAAGGTTGACCATAATCTTCTGTGTCAAAAGCTATCTTCACTCGGGGTGCACGGTAATCTGCTCAGGTGGATAAAATCTTACCTCGAGAGGCGAAGTCAACTTGTGATCTTGCATGGCTATAAATCGTCACCGATTAGTGTAAAATCAGGAGTTCCGCAAGGCTCCCATCTCGGCCCATTGCTCTTTGCTATATTTATAAACGATCTTGCTACAAGTATCACTAGTCCTTGTCTATTATACGCCGACGACCTCAAAATCTTCCGTACCATTGACAGTACTTCTGATTCTGCTCTTCAGATGACATTAATCGTATTATCAAATGGTGTGATGATAATGTGATGTACTTAAATGTTGATAATGTGTATCGATAAGTTTCAGTAATAAAAAAGTAAAAGCCACCTACAATTACAAAATAAACGATATACAATTACCTCTCAAAAGCTCTGTAAAAGATCTAGGTATTATATTTGATGATAAGCTGTCTTTTCGTGAACATTTTGGCTATATAATTAATAAAGCACTCAGAATGCTAGGTTTTGTAATACGCTCAAGTAAGAATTTTAAGTTCAGTAATAGTTTCATCTATATCTACAAATCGCTGGTCAGAACAGTTCTTGAGTATGGTGCAGTAATTTGGTCACCGCACTACAATACATGATAATAATATTGAGCGTGTCCAACCAAGGCGTTAAAGTATCTATGCTTCAAATCTGGCCTTAGACCACGGTCAATAACTATGACAGAGATCAAAAAATTTCAGTTAACTTCTCTGTCAAACCGTCCAAGCCCAAACTACTTACACTTCATAAAATTATACACTCTCATATTGATGCCCTTCTCTTGTTTCTCTCCTTTCCTTAAACAAACAACCTAGACCGATGGCCTTTCAAAAAAACGTTTAAGAAAAACCTCTTTTCAATCCTATTGTTCGCATGTAGACTATATAACGAGTACTCTTCACCAGTTCTTGCCAGTTGGACGTTTTCAACAGTAAACATCTAATTTTGTAAAAAAATAAACGAAACCATTTAATTTAGGAATTAGTAGTAACAAAAAAAAAAAAAACAAAAAAATTTATACAAAAATTTGTTACCGTAAGACAACATAAATAATTTTTACTATTAAATTACAAAAACCTATACGTTATTTTTGATAACAGTACGATTTAGTTTCTCTGTCGCATGTAATTGAGAAAAATATTTTCAATATTTTTTAAGACTTATTGTTTATAAGTGTTTGTGTTTTGTTTGTGTACCTATGAATAAATAAAATAAAATAAAATAAACATTCTAAGTAGAAAATGTATAATAGTAAAAGGTATTTTTTAAGCAAAATAATATTTATTTATGAAATGTTCTCATAATGTATGCTGTGTTTTGCTTTCTTAAAATATACAAGATCATTTGGTCCTTTGCTTGTTTTCTTTTCTATTAAAGTAATTAGGTATTGGCTTTAATTTTTTTTTGTGTGGTGTAAACTTGTGAGTGTTATTAGAATTGATCATAATACCACGTAACAATGTCTTCAATAGTGACATAAATAATCTATTAAAGGCTCAATTATGCCTTTAAAGTATAATTAAGATTTTCATTGACTTATTTCTACAGGCGGGGGCAGATGGTGCTGGTGTGGCTCAATGAGTCAACACTGCTCTGCGCCCCCTCCCAAGAAACACCAGGTAACTACCCTCCTAATACTATGAATAGCAATAGCTTATAAATGATCGCTGATAAAATATTTTAATTAACTGTTTATGCCCTATAATCCAGGTATGCACAGATTTATTAAGACTAGGGGCCACTCGGGCAAATCATAAACTGATGGGTACCTGCTAGAAGTACACAGAAGGCAATACAGAATTTATAATAATGTAATGAAATTGAAAAAAATATATTAATTTGAGTTATATTGTGCCTGTCAGTCGGTCACCAGTTTCCAACTATATGAGTCCAACTGATCTTAGTGAGATTTGATATTGGTTTAAGGGATCAAAGGGCAACTTGTTGTGACTTAAAAATATTGCCAGTGTATATTTTTTATTTATATAACGCTTTAGATAAAAAAATTATTTATTCTAGGCTGCTTCTGTCTCGACCAGCTAATTGACAATATTCAATGGCGAAGCAGATGCATATTACTGGGTAAGTATCTGTTTTGTATGTTATTATTATTAATTTTCAAATGTTGAGGGTGAAAAATAATGAACAGACCATTATATCATAAGAAGGATTAATGTGACTTAATTACTATCAATTCTTTCAATATTACTGTAATGTAATACATGTTTACTGACTTGTTTACGGATGTTTTACAGTCTTTGGAAATGTTTAAAAATAGCTTAATGAATTGTGATGAGATTTTCTTGAAACACAGTTGTTACACATAACTTTTTATTTATAAGTGACACACTATTTTTTGAAATCTATTTATAAGTTACGATAGGATTAAACATATATATTTGGAATATTTCTTTCGAGTCTATCCAGGCAGCTAGTTCCCGTTTTCCCCTTGGGTACCGAGTACTCGCCATAGCAATAATTGCAAGTGGATCAATACAATACACCGTAGTTACGCTTCCTGTTCGCTATTTTTCGGTCTTACCAAACAACCCCTCGGTCTTTTACGCTTTACCTTTTAAAATGTGCTAACATTCTTGCATTTAGTATTACTTTTATAAGTAAATTCTTTACTCCATCAGTAAACGTTTAACATAGAAGTTAGTCAAACTACACGCCGAATATTTAAAAAAAAATTGGTCATGTCCTTACGGAGGAGTAATTATGGTGACTTACGTTCTAACACGAGAATTTAATACACTTGTTACAGCAATCAGGCCGTGTTCGAGAAAATTCCTTTAAGCGTTTTATAAGAACTTAACATAGTACTAGTATTTTGTTCGTAATTGTGCTGTCAACACATAATATAATTATTATAAAGTATGTAATGGTCGGCTGGTCGGCCCTCGATGTTGAGAAAGAATCTAGACATTTTGCTATCACGAGTACTTGGCATCATCAGGTGTTGAGCCTTCCTCGATTAAGCGCATATTCGATTTAGTTCAACATACGTGCCCCTAAAGGGACCTTACCCCTAAGTCACGTCACACGCAATGACGTCACATTTGCGCCTTAGACACGGTCGTTTTGTTTTTGGGGTAGACGGTTCATTAGTGTTTTTGTCGAACTCGAAAACCATAAGTACTTGGATATATTGTAAAGGGAGACTTGATTGCAATCAATTGCTTAGTATCCCTACCTATATTTAATAGATAGACGTAAACAGGTTGTATGTTAATCTATATAGTGCCATCATATGCAATAATATATAAAAAATATAAAAGTTTTGAAACGGTTTGTATGTTTGTTTTTTGACATTCTATATATTTAGTACCAGCAGTGCCTACGACTTCGTCTGCGTCCCGTTGATCTTAAAAGATTAAACATATACTGTCCCGGACCTTCTTATTAAATAATTTAAAGAACAACAAGGCTGTATTTTTCAGTTTATTGAACCGCGCATTTTTCACACCGAACATTTACTAATTTTCCCCGTTTTCTCTATTTTTAAATCTGTCTCTTTGCTTCTATTAGTGTTTATATGTCCCGATTTCCTCAATAAGTGGTCCAATCAACAAAAAATAATTAATTCCAACAAGTGGTTCCCGAGATTAGCGCGCTCAAACAAACAAACTCTTTAGGTTTATAATATGAGTCTA